ACTTTGTGTTTGAAAACCTCTGCCCTCTATTACTAAAGCGGTTTCACTCCAGGGCTGGCTTTAGGTAAAATGTCTAAGTGGTCATCCAATATCTGGTCTCAATCCCTGAGAATATCATCCAGGAAGACCCAATGTCTTTTAACCTACAATCAGATTAAAAGTCTCAAAAATGCAAACATTTGAGAGAATTAAATAAAAAGCAATGCTTTTGTTAAGAACAAGGGTTAAGGCACTGGGTACCTGGAAAAAGTGGTGGTAGGCTGTCCTTAATCTATAGACAGCAGGGTCAGGACAAACCTTAGGGGTGTCAGCACTCTGAACAGAAATGTGAGCCTTAAAGCCTGGTGGCTGGGACTAGAGGACATTCAGCCAGCAGCTAGTGCATGGTAGGAACCAAGAGTCCAGTAGCACATTATTTGTGAAGATACAAACCTAGAGATGTCTATCTGAAGTTCATGGAACGCCAGACTCTGGGCAGAAACTCAATAAGTGGGAAGTGAGTCATAAGTTCAAGGAGAAATCCAGCAAAAGTTGACTCCATGCAGTCCTCATCTGTGGAATGAGGGTGCCCTAAATTCTAGGCAATGGTAGGACTGAGAGCCCAACTTGGTGACACAGGGTAGTCAGCTGTTGAGAGCTCACCTGGGAGAAGTTGGGGGCCATGGACACAGGGAGTCAGGGGAGCAGACAAGGGAGGGTGCTGTGAAATGCATATGGAGAAACCTCTAGAGATGGCAGTGGAAGTAATACTATACCCCTGAGGTACTGGATGGTTCATAGGCGATATGCAAAACAGAGAAAGTGTCACGAAACAGAAGGTTTTCTTAAAAAACCAACCAACCAACAAAAACCCAAAAAACCAAAACACCACTCAGAGAAAAATACTCTGGTATTTCTATCCATTTTTTAAATTTTATTTTTCATAGTTGAGCCGGTCTCCAAATACATAATACAGTTTTATGTTCTTTCTGCCTAATATTATGGCGTAGATTCCCACAAACCATTAAAAAGTCTTCATTGGGCTGATTTTTAAAATGTTTTTTTTCTCTAGGTTACTTTATAGTAAGAATACAGTATATAATCCATATAACATACAAAATATGTGCTAATCAACTGTGTATGATATCAGTAAGGCTTCTGGTCAACAGTAAGCTATTAAGAATTAGTTTTGGTGGAGTTAAAAGTTATATGCAGATTTTTGACTGCAGAGGGCGTGGGGTGCCCCTAACTCTCACGCTGTTCAAGGGTCAACTCTCCTTGCAGAAATCTAGGCTGATTATTTATTTATTTATTTATTTGAGAGAGAGAGAGAGAGCAAGCACAAGCAGAGGGAGCGGCAGGCAGAGGGAGAAACAGACTACCCGCTGAGCAGGGAGCCCGATGCAGGGCTCCATCCCAGGACCTTGAGATCATGACCTAAGCCTAAGGCAGACGCGCAACAGACTGAGCCACGCAGGTGCCCCTGGGCTGATTTTTAATGACTGTTAAATAACTCATGCAAAGAAAGAGCAACCATTTAAAACCAGCCTTCTAGAACTTATGGCTTCTGAAAAAGCTCCAGACACGGAAGCAGCAGGGGAAAGCCTCTGAACCACAATAGTAACAGTAACAACAATAGTCATGAAATCCCCCGAGCACTTAGCGGTAAATAAATATTTGAGAAGAGTCAAAAAAAGACCCCAAATTATACCTTTACATTGTGATATTTATCTTTCATTAAACCAAGCAGAAGGTGCGCACGGATAGATCCCATTTCCATCTTCAAGCCTCAGGGAAGGAACGTGGAGAACATGAATGTCAAATAGCCCGCTTTTGCGTTTCAACCACCAAGGTCCCAGGCTAAAATAAAATTTTAATTTGATGATAATGTAGCAAAACCAAATTGCAGACCAGAAACTGAACTTTGTGCTTTTAGCTTCCATTCCTCTAGGCTGGAACCTTGGCCCCTGAAACTCAAAAGCTAATTATTTAATATTTTCCTTCTTTGCCTACTGTGGCATCATCCCTTCCCTGAGACATAAAGATGAGAAGCGCTGAGTGCAAGAGACAATGAGACAAATGAAAGACAGTGAGAGACAATGCCCCCCCCGCCCCCCCCGATGCCACCAAATATCTCACCAGAGAAATAATTATTGCCCTGGTGATGACCAATATATACCTTTTGGCCAGTTTCAAGGTTCAGCTGCTGTGCTGTGGTAGACCATGATCAGGTTCTAGTGGGCCTGGCAAGCAGTAAGGGATGATGGCAGAGGTATGTGCATGAGGAAGAATTGGCTTGTATGGCAAATTCTTCAGGCTTTGAAGGTTGGCATGGCCACTCTCCAGTCTGATAGTATAAAAGGCCATTGTTTGGGGCTCCTTTTGATGACTGTAAAATTTAATTTCCCTGGAGTTATATGATACTGATGGAGTAGGGCGCCTGGGTGGCTCAGTTGGTTAAGCGACTGCCTTCGGCTCAGGTCATGGTCCTGGAGTCCCGGGATCGAGTCCCGCATCGGGCTCCCTGCTTGGCAGGGAGCCTGCTTCTCCCTCTGACCCTCCCCCCTCTCATGTGCTCTCTCTCTCTCATTCTCTCTGTCTCAAATAAATAAATAAAATCTTAAAAAAAAAAAAAAAGATGGAGTACAACTGAGTCTGAGGATGTACATTCTGTATTTTCAATAAATATAATTTTAGAACTCAGATATATTTGATCATATCAAATCTATACTGTTGCTAATGAATTATAATTATTATTTCTAATAAAGAAATAGCAGAGAAGTTTGTTCTTAATGAAATTCTTCACAGTTACTATATTGCGGTAACTAAAGTTTGGATTGTATTGTTTGAGGTCTGGTGTTATTTAACTAAACTATGGTAACTAAGATTTCTGCCTCTCAGGGGTGCCTGGCTGGCTTAGCGGGTAGAGCATGTGACTCTTGATCTTGGGGTTGTGAGTTGGAGCCCCATGTTGGGGGTAGAGGTTACTTAAAAAAAAATAATAGAATTTCTGCCTCTTAGAACCATGCAAATGATGACTGCCTATTTGGTGGCAGATTGTATTTTCCAAAGGTAGTGCAACAATTTCTTCTATCCTGCCTGTTCTTCGCAAACCTTGCTATTTTCACATCAAGAGGTGGGGCCTATTTCCCTCTCCTCCAGTCTGGGCAGTTTTGTGACTCTCTGGCAACCAAAAAAATGCAGCAAAAGTAACTATGATTTCTCAAGCTGACTCATAAAAGACAATGCATCTTAACACTCAACACTTCCACCAAAGCTAGAAGCTACCACGTAAGTTCTCCAGTTGCCTGGAGACCATCATGCTGGGGAAGAAGTCCAAACAAACCCATGTGGAGAAATCACCTGGAGGAGATATATAAAATGACTGACCCAGTATTACACGATTGGACTGTTAGGTTGTCTCCAATCTTTTGATGTAAGTAATTCCATAAGAAATATCTTTGAATACAGGCCATTTTTCATGAGTGCAACTATGTGCCAGTTAAATTCCAAAAAAAACAGAAGAAGCACAAACTCTTGAAATTGGAAGGGTATTCCTTTTTTTCACATTCCACCAATAAAGCTTCATCAAGGAAGTACTTAGTGGTCCATTTTGTTAGCGAAGTTATAAATATTATCTGTGCTAATAAGGCAAAAGACATGGATAGCACAGTGAAGGAGATAAATTTCATTGGAATGAGGAAATCCCGTAGGCAAGGTCATGTATTCTCTGATTTAAATGTATATTTTGTAGAAAGATGGTCATATTCCTCTGACCAAGAAATCGGAGAGTTGTATATTCTTTAATCTACAATCTTAAAAATACAGAAAATGAACAAAGATCAGGTAGACAATGGGGAAGTTTTTCAAAAGACCAAGTTTTAGGGGTCAATTCTGGGGTCAGTACCATTTGTCTTTATGTTATACAGCAGTTTTGTCAACATTTGCCCAAAGATGTTCAGCTCAAAAAAACAAAACAAAACAAAACAAAAACCCATGCCTGTATTGTTCACAATGAGAACCTCATGCCAATAAGAAAAGCTGAAGTTTCATTAGTATAATTTATTTAAGAAGACATGGAAGTTTATTTGATACTTAAATCATTAAAAAGGACACCAACACAAAACTGTCTGGCCTGAAAGAGTTAATCGTCAGCCATCTAAAAAGTAGCTCTTGAGAATGACTCACTTCTGTACCTTGCAGATTGCAAATTCTTAACTTTATCTTGATGCGAGGCTAATTGAAATTTGTACAATATTTCCTTCTCAAGACAGCTACACTTGTACATATCTCAGGTCTGTGGTGGCTAGTTTCAGCTCTCTGTCTCAATAGACTTGATAAGGCAGTATTTTGGTTAATATGTAGTGAAGTTCTTAAAGTACTCGAACAGACTTCCTCATCTTTAACTCACCCTCAGACTGTTTGTCTATTAATTTCAGCTTTGTTTGCTTTTTAATTTTGAAATATATATTGGGTCTCAAAGGGTTCTGTTTTTCCCCTCTGCGGTGTCGTTTGACTCTGTTTTTCTGATAGTTCTTCATTATAATGGTGTCACTGTTTGCTCAGGCAGAGATGGTAAAAAACCCAGTTTGCTGCAGAGCTGAACCAAGCTCAGAGAAGTGAAACGGTGGATGATCCGAAGTGCTCCAGTTTCAGACGGAGTGTGTCCAAGTGACACACGCTTGCTGAAATGCAGCTTGCATTTTCTACGTTGTTCGCTTCCCATGCGAAGCGCACTGCTAGGATCTAACCTTTAGATAGGGTGTGACTTTCTTTATGAGAGTAAAAGGAAACTAAATTATGAAATAGCTCTTACGTGACTATTATTACACGCTATCTAGGATTCAAAGCTCTCGAGTAAATGGTCTAAATATTACTTTAAAAGGCAAAGATATTCTCACATGTCAAAAAAACCTCCCCCAAACTCCACCAGCCACTCTTTCAACGGAAACCTAAAGAATTTATAGTGGGATGGAGAAAATGAGAATAACAGTCATCTAAAAATGGCCATTGGTGAAGCGATGAAGAACATTTGCTGGCTTATTCTGAAACTTGTCAATGTTGGGACTCTTGGCTGCATATGGATTTCTGTGGTACAGTGTATGGTTTTACACAGCTGCCTAAAGTCATGTGTAACTAACCTGGTAAGTTTTGCTGCTCTAATATTTGTCTTTGCAGGAACTGGAACATGTAGAGTTCAGCTTGTTATAAACGAGTGAATGATTTTCCCATGGGAAGTGGTAGCAAGGCAAGAAAGATTTTTTTTCCCCCCAAATAAGTTAGGAATGTTTTTAATTACAGAAGGTAGGGGAAGACTGTTTTATTTCTTTAAGTGATCTGTTCATAGATTGTGTGTGGGGGGGGGGTGTAGGAATTGGGTTAGAGAGGCTTACATGCGATAAATTTTGCTTGCTTTAAAAATGCCAGTTTAAACTCATTTATTTCAAAACCATTTATGTTTGCCTTGAAGCAAGAAATAGCTTTGGCCAGAGGGCAATGCCTACTGGTTGCAGACCGCAGCAGCATTTATATTGTGGATGGATGGTTGTATCAGGAGGTGGATGCCAAGGAAGCAGATGCAGATGCCATATAGAACAATGTTTTATTTGAAAAAGCAAGAATTGTTTTTAAGGTCCTTTCCTTCTACTTGTGCATTTGTAGTTTTTTCAGTAATGTGTTTTTTGGGTATCCTTCCCCTATAAATTGTTTCATATCTTTCAGTTATTGTGACGTTGTTTTGCTTCAAAAAGCCCCTGAATCAACTGTAAAAACCAAATACATTCTAGCAAGGGAAAGATGCACTTTTCTTATCTAGAGACAAAGGAAATAGCCTGATAGCTTACATGTTAGGCTACTTATAGTCCTACTTTTTAGAATAATAAAAGTACCCAATACAGTACTCATTGTTATGCTAGAGTATTGGAGGTAGAAATCTGCGCGGTGGTTAAAAAAGATAATTATCTGCGTTACACTCCTCTGGCTTAATTTAAACTATAGATTAAAACACTACTTGAGCTTTCTATGGGTAGTAGCACTTTTTAAAAAAGTTTGGCATTTTATATAAATCACTGTTGAAGACCTCATTGCCATTAATGTGGAATTGTATGCCTTAGGATTTTATAGTCGTCATCCAAACTTAAACATGGAAAAATAAGACTATTAGATGTATTCGTTATTGAATAATTTAAAAATTTCCCCTGATTATAATAAGAACATATATTCACTGTAAAATATTTAAAAGGTAGAGAAGTAGAGAAGGATAAAGAAAAAAGCATTTTCTCTTCAAATATGTATATAATTTTACATATAGTTGTATACCCATCTTTTTCACTTAACATGACATTGTAAGTTTTTCCTACACCCTGACATTTTTATGGAAACAGGATCTTCAGTCTATTTAGAATATTTCCATCCTCTAAATGTACCACCATAATTTGTTAATTTCTCTTTACTGTCAAAACTGGTATTGTTTGTTTCCATTACTGTAGTCTCCATTTTATTTGTTTTATTTTTTTTCGGTTTTTAGTTATGTTTAGTTTCATCTTATCTTTGTGTGGGCTCCTGGGTTTCAGGCAGTAGGAGTAGACAGCTTGTTCCTTCCGCTCACCACCCACAGACACAGGCTCAGCCCATGTGGTGGCCACTGGGAGAGACAGGGTTTGCCAGTTTGCCTAGTGCCTGTCATCAATGTCCTCCATCTGGGGCTCCCACACAGGCCCCGGAGGGAAAAAGCTAGGTGAATGAACAGTGAATATAGCCGTGGATCAGGGGAAAGGATATGTAAAATGCTTGAGTTTATGATACTGTTTGCATTTTTTGTGTGTGCCATTCTTTGTAGCCTGGACACTTGCTGGGAAGGTCATCTTTGATTTCCCTGGGTGGTTCTTGATCCTGAGGCATATTTGCTTTTTAAAAAGAAACACAGAGTCTTATACATAGGAATGTTTAGAATTGCTGTCCAAATGTGCACAGATCATAGTTCTGTGCTGAGCATGAGTAGTTTACGTCCATTGACGGATCTGTATTAGTTGAATGTAGTAATTGACTTAATATTTTTGAGTTATATGTGCCTGTGCTGCAGAGAACAAAAAATAATCAGTGTTCTTCAGAACACTAGTATTGTGGTGTCCTTCATGAAAGAGAAACAAAAGAGACTGAGGAACTAGCATTGAGAAATGCTCTGTTAGAAGTATCAATTCAATGCAAGACTATTAGAAACAAGAGTTCAGAGGTTATCCTGTTAAAAAAAAGTACAAACATCAATACCTTTCCTGTGTATCCATATATAACTTTATAGCAAGATGATAGAACAAAACCAGAATCCAAAAATGACATAAAATGGGCGCCTGGGTGGCTCAGATGGTTAAGCGTCTGCCTTCGGCTCAGGTCATGATCTCAGGGTCCTGGGATCAAGCCCCACATTGGGCTCCCTGCTCAGCGGGGAGTCTGCTTCTCCTTTTCCCTCTTCCCCCCACCTCATGCTCTCTCTCTCTCTCTCTCTCTCTCAAAGAAATAAAATCTTGGGCGCCTGGGTGGCTCAGTCGTTAAGCGTCTGCCTTCGGCTCAGGTCATGATCTCAGGGTCCTGGGATCAAGTCCCGCATCGGGCTCCCTGCTCCTTGGGAGCCTGCTTCTCCCTCTGCCTCTCTCTCTTTCTCTCTCTGTCTCTCATGAATAAATAAATAAAATCTTTAAAACAAAAAACAAAACAAAACAAAACAAAAACCCCAAAATGCCATAAAATATCCAGGAATGAGCACAGTTTGTATTGGTGTAGGAGTGCGCAGATCAGTAAAATGGAATACAGTCTGGGAGTTAAGCCATGCACACAAGGGAGTGTGGAGTATGATAAAGATGGCAGTTCAGACCAAAGTGGGGCTGTTCATTTAGAATACAAAATAATACCTTCCTTCTGTAGGTGAATGGATAAGTAAACTGTGGCACATCCAGACAAGGAAATATTATTCAGAGCTGAAAAGAAATGCACTTTCAAGCCATGAAAAGACATGGAGTGAACTTCAAAAGCATACACTAAGTAAAAGAAACCAATCCGAAAAGACTACATACTGGATGATTCCAACCATATGACATTTTAGGAAAGGCAAAACTATGGAGACAATGAAAAGATCAGTGGTTGCCAGGAGTGGGTTTGTATGTGGTGGGGAGATAAATAGGGAGATCACAGAGGATTATTAGAAACAGCAAAAATACTCTATATGATATCGTGATGGATACATGTCACTATACCTTTGTCCAAACCCACAGAATATACAACTCCGAGAGTGAGCCTTAAGGTAAACTATGGACTTTTGGGGATTATTATTGTGTAGATTTATCCTTGGTAAAAACTACTATTCTGCTGAGTGATGTGGATAATGAGGGAGGCATGTGTGGGGGCCGGAGGTATTTGGGAAATCTCTGTATCTTAATCTCAATTACACTGTAAATCTAAAACTGCTCTAAGAAAATGAAGTCTTTTTTTTTTTAAGATTTTATTTATTTATTTGAGAGAGAGAGAGAGCACGGGGGAGGGGCAGAGGGAGAGAGAGAGAGAAGCAGACTCCCTGCTGAGTGCAGAGCCCAGTGCTGAGCTCAATCTCAGGACCCTGAGATCATGACCTGAACCAAAACTAAGAATCGAATGCTTAACCGACTGAGCCACCCAGGTGCCCCCAAAAATAAAGTCTTTAAAAAAAGTTTAGGCAAATTTATTAAAACCCAACTCCTTACAATACTACCAGATTCACATAGATTCCAGGAGTTATTAAAAAATACTGTGATTTAAATACAAACAACAGAAACAAAACAAGACTTCACCCTATAGATATATTACAATAAATTAAGGATGAATATTTCTACAGTCTTGGAGTGGCAATGCGTTAAGAAGCCTGCTTCAAAAATACAGAATCCCTACAAGAAATTATTCATAATTTAACTACTTAGAAGCTTAAACTATTTGGCAATAAACAGAATACAAGAAAAACAAAGCCAAAAAAAATGGAAAAAGTATTAGATTTGATGAACAGAATTTTACCAATCCTTATATATAAAAAAGTATTTTAAATAAGTTTAGGGGCACCTGGGTGGCTCAGTCAGTTAATCCTCACAGAACTTTATGCACTTTATGCAACATTGGTTCTTTGGTGTCTGTGTCTGATTACTTAAGTGAACCCCCACAATGCCAGGCCATTGGATGAGGCTTTCAAGAAACAGGACTTCTGGAGCATTCCTATGTAATGGGACATCTTGAGTTCATCGGTTTATTCCTTCTGTATGTATTTATTGAAGACCTCTTATCCCTCCAGACTGTTCTAGGTACTAAGGATAGAGTGAAGGGCAAAAGGAATGGTGCTTACCTTGAAGGGGAGAGAACTCAGTGAACTTAGTGATAAACAGATCTTCTCTTCCCTCTGAAAAGTGCAGGCTATTCAGAAGCCCTTGAGATGCTTCAACCACCTGGAGTGGGGTGTGCCTGGGTGGCTCAGTGGGTTAAGAGTCTGGCTCTTGGTTTCGGCTCAGGTTGTGTCATGATCTCATGGGTCATGGAATCCAGCCCCACGCCCTGTGCCGGGCTTCCCGCTGGGCCCGGAGTAGCTTCAAGATTCTTCCCCTCTGCCCCTTCCCCTGCTTGCATGCTCATGCGTGCTCTCTCTCAAATAAATAAATCAATCTAAAAAATGCAAAACCAAATGCCTCCTTTAGATTTTCTATTATCTCCTGGGACACACCTTGCTTATAGCACTGGGTCAGCCAAGGTCAGATGGCATGCTCCTTGCTGGATTAATCATCTCTTCAATTCAGTGGTTCAAATCCAGCAACTCTTCAGGGGAGGTTCTGAGCAGTACCAACTAGAGGTACTAGGAGTACTCACTTAGTTATCCTTTGCTCATACTTCTAAGTCAGTCAGTGAGGCAGGCTGATGATTGGATCATATCCATATAACACAATTCAGGCACATGTCTGATCATCATAGGCCCAATATTGTCATCCTTTGTAAGCCTTTCAGTTTATCAAGGACTCTAGTCACATAACAACCAGGGAGAGGGTGAACGATTTATAGATTTTCCCCCCTTAGTTACTATTTCTTTTATTTTCTCCCAGCACAAAAAAGTTCTTAAAATTTGTGAAAATATGATGAAAATCTGGTGTTTTATTATATGTAAAATTCTGAATTTGTATTTTTTTCACTATTCTTAGTAACACTGCTTAAAAAAAAAAACAAAACTGACCATAATTCATCTTTAACCCCCAAGCCCTTTGACTTGATGAATTGACTAAAGTCACAGGCTGGGCGCCTGGGTGGCTCAGATGGTTAAGCGTCTGCCTTCAGCTCAGGTCATGATCTCAGGGTCCTGGGATCGAGTCCCACATCGGGCTCCCTGCTCCTTGGGAGCCTGCTTCTCCCTCTGCCTTTCTTTCTCGCTCTGTCTCTCACGAATAAAAATAATAAAAAAAAAATCTTAAAAAAAAAAAAAGTCACAGGCTTATTTCATACCATGTGAGACTTTATCTGTCCATTGTCCTTAACCACTCCTTACAGTCCCCCCTCCTTGATCATTTCTGCAGAATTCTTAGGCATTCCATCTTATAATTTGCATTGGCATTTTACCAGATTTCATAACTGATTTAATGACTTTAAAACATCATACTTTATAATTAGAAAACACAGAGGAGGCAACAGTATTCCAGGAAGCTTTTTTTAAAAGAAGTGTGGTAGTCGTACTGAATGTAATATTGATAGCTGTTGTTTATGATCTCATTCTTCATTTCAGGGCCGGCAGCTTGACATTGGCACACCATATAATCTGAGTGAACCTGTGAGTAATCACTTCCATCGTCAGGAAGTTTATAATGTTTGCGTTTATAAAAATGGGACAATGGTCAGGTTTTATTCCAATAAGAATAATTCTTAAGTAAAGTCTCATTTATTTGTCCTTGATGGAGGAAGTTCATTGAAAATAGTGAGAAGTCTGAATTACGGAATATTAAAAAATGAACTCAGGCACAGTGTGTTGAAGAAGAAAGAACACAGGACTAATCCAACTCCGTGATTTTGATTCTACTTGGCTGTGTGGCTTGGGGAAAATTACTTAATATTCCTGAGACTTAGTTTTATTACATGTTATCTGAGAGGGTTGGATGAGATGGTTTCCAATGTTTTTTCCAACAATTACATTTATAGTTTTATTATTTTTCTGCACCTGTATCCATTTATTCATCGTGTTTAGTGACTCAAAATATAAACATGAACACACTTCCAAAACTGTGGACCTATTTAGGTTTTGATATGCTGCTTTCCAGTTGAGTCCCCAGTTTTGAGTTTCGCTTGTTGTGTAAGGACATGGCCAGGACCCACGATATGCTCGATGCCACGGTGTCCAGGACTTTACCTGCTGCCAGCCACCCAGGGGACAGGGTGCTCCCTGAAGGTTGGGTGATCTCCGGGTTCTAGGCCTGCCCACGCCACCTCCCCTCAGCAACCCCGCTGTCCTGCAGTGAGTCACACCAAGCCCGCTTTGCCTGGAGACAGGAGAGTTCTGCTTAGGATTCTAAAGGTCCTGATCCTTCTGAGGCCACAGATTCCTGGGTAGATACATTTTGTTACTATGTTGCACTAGTCAGGTGGCAAGAAGAAAATCACCCTTCTCTAGTCACCATTGTCTCTTAATATATCTCTTGCAGTGCATCCAAGGATGTCATTTTTGGAACTCTGTAGATCAGGAAAACTGTGCTTTAAAGTGTGTAAGTATTAATTATGTTTCTGTTTTGATACTAATATTTCCTTCAAAAGAAAAGTTATCTAAGGGGATTCCCATTTGAATTTCCATTGGTTTTCAAGGAGTTAAAGGAAAAGTGTGAGGGCCTGAGTGATACATAATAGTGGGGAAAAATTGAAATAAACGCTATCAATGCAATTGGAGACCCAGGGACGTTAACGCAAACTGTGGAACCCAGGGATGCCCAGTTGCTCCAAACTCTAATGGCCTTTTAGTAGAATGTCAGGCCCTTATCAAATTTCCTAGTCCTGTGCTTCTCAAATGTTAAAGTACAGTTATCTAAGGATCTTGTTAAAATGCAGATTCTGATTCTGAAGACCTGGGGTGGGACAAGCTCCCAGATGGTGTGATGCTTGTTGTCCCCAGATGACACATTGGCTAGCAGGGTCCTAGATCACATTCGAAGTTTCTCTGCAGGGAACATGGCAGCAATCCAATCCAGAGATTACAAACCCCTACGTTTACTCCACTCTATGTAGAAAATACATCCCGAGCTACTTTATTTTTTACTTTTAATTAACCCCAGCTTTGCCACTTAGTGTGTAACTGGTTAAGGTACTTAACCTCTTGGCACTTTACTTTCCTCCTCAAAATTAGGATAATAATAGAATCTCTCTCTTAAGGATAATGCCTGACACACCGTAATTATTCTGGTCTAGTGAATAAGAATTTCGTCATTTAAAAGCGGGTCCCTTTGTTCAGGTTGTTCAGGTCTGAGGTTGAATCATGGTATTTTGGGGTAATCCTAATATTGTTTTCTATTAATGAGTGAAACTGTATCATTGAGATTTAAATAAGGACGTTAACTTCTCCTTCCCAATGGTGCTCATAGCTTTCTGGAATGGTCTGTGCTCAGGTCTCTAGGAGAGGTTTAGGCTTACTCTCACGTTTGTGACTATGTGCCCCATAGAATGGGAGTTACCGGAAGTGGAGCTGGCACTATCTGGATTTGGGAACTATCACACATTCTAAAAATTCTTTTACGCCTCTTTGGTGTCACTTTTTATGAAGTCCAGTGGAAATCATCCTTTGTCTAGTCTGTGTTTGCTGGCGTTTGCTGCCGCCTGTAAGCCCCTCAGAGCGGGTCTCTCTCCTTGCTCACACTGTCTGTTTCACCCAAGACCGTGAGAGGCACAGAGCAAGTGCTCAGACAGCACTTGCCAAGTGAATGAGTGGGAGGTACCAAACGGTGACAGGTGCAGGTGACAGTCCAGGCCGTACAGTGGGCATCAGAGCCGCTAGTCCGGGCAGGGGAACCTTCTCTGGCCAGAGTTCTTGGTCGTTTTCAGGTCAGGTTCTGTCTCCACTGGGCGTCTGCCAACACCTCTTCATTCTCTCACCCGGTCCACCACAGATTACCTCTTAGTTGACTGGGAGTTTCCAGTAGACATCAAACTGCACCATTTCTCCAGTGATGCAAACGTAGTATTTTTTTTTTTTAGAGAGTGAAAGAGCACATGAGCGGGGAGGGACAGAGGGAGAAGGAGAGACGGAATATTTAAGCAGCCTCCAGCTCCGTGCAGAGCCCAACACGGGCTCCATCTCACGACCCTGCGATCACGACCTGAGCCAAAATCAAGAGCCCGTCGCTTAACCAGCAGAGCCATGCAGGCTCCCTGCAAACATACTTTTTAAAGCTATTCATACAGTGGCCTGCCTGGACAGAAGGCCCAGCTCTGGGCTCCTTGATTTTGATTGTTTTTATTGGTTATTTGTCAATGGTGGGGCAAGAATTTAATTTGAAAGAAATATAAAGCCAAGTGTCATTAAAATTATTTACAACCTTAAGAATTTCAAGTAATTTCACTTTTCTTTGTTCTTATGCAGAACAACACCTATGGCACTGTTTATGAGGTGAGTTGGCCATCACAAAAAAGATGTCATCAATCCCCATGTCTTTATCTCTTATGTTTAAAAAGGTATTAAAATAAGAATGAAGAAACCTGACTAATTCTCAGTGCACAAAAATCTTCCTCATGGGAGTGCTATTAATCTGGGTATAAAAATGACTGTAAGATTCCATTTTTGACACAAATATTTGCTGTTTTAAATACCTGTGTGCATAGGTATGTGTATGTGTATACACACGTATTCATATAGATACATATATACTACTCTAATCTGCTTGGACAGGTTCTAATTCTGGGAGCCTGGTGGGGAGAGGGTGGTGGGGGGAGAGGGGAGGGGACCCATCTAGGAATACGCTTACCTCTGCTGATTCCATCTTCTTCCCCATAAATCATGGTAATCTATCATTAAATATGTATATTAAAAAATAACACTGTAGTTGCAGTTTTCTTCCTTATTCAACAAACTCCTTTGACTACATTTTTAAAGCACAGCTTTTAAGATATTTTATTTTTTATTTTTTTTTCCCTGCTATGATAGTAAGTGTCTTCATGCTGACTTTGGCAGCTCAGGTCTCTTTTTTCAGCTCCTCCTCCCTATGCTGGCCCCTCCCCTGCACTGGAGCTTTTCCTCTTTTTCAGAAAGACCTTAGGGATTTTGATTTTTTTCCTACTTGATCTTATTTAAGGTTCTGGATTCTATGGCCCTCAGAATTAGTTTTAGGTCAACCATAGAGGTTTATGAAGAAAATACATTATTTCTCAGTTTAAAACCTAGGTTGTATTCTATTTAAATGACCTTCAAACCAAAGAACAGAACTATTTTATTCTGCCTGGGAAAGGAGTATAACTTACCATCCATCAGTAAAACAGAAAAATTTCTTTTTACTAGAGAATAAAAATAAACAACAAAAAAAGTTACATTGGAACATTTTCTCAATAGTCTGTGCTTACTCTGCACCTGAGTGATTTTCCCCTGGGAGTAGATGGAGAGGTCAGGGCTGGCTAAGAAGAGGTGAAACGGGGCAGGGGGTGGATTCACTCCATATGTAAAAAAACAATTATAGGTCTTTCCTGATTGAGATTTAAAAAAAAAAACAAAAACCGCCTTAGAATCTTTTTATGTGATTAAAGTAACATTACCACCCTTCCCCCCCCCCCCCCCCCCCCCCAGCCAAAACCATTCCTGGGAAGATTGTGTTAAGAAAGTCAGGGATGGTTCAAGCCTCTCAAGCATGGAAACAGCCCGAGATTGGATTTCTAATGTGGTAGCTCCCTGGCGGTCAGTGAGCCGACCCACTGTCTGCGTCTATATGACGTCCAGCTTTTCTTTCGGTGTTATAACTTACATAATTACTCTGTCTTTTCTTTGTATACTTGGTTATTTTACACTTTAAATAAAGTAGAACTGAACAGCCATACATGCTATATAGAAATCGAGATAGATATATGGATACACAGATGTTTGAATCATCTACATACACCTGCAGGAAATCAAACTCTTCAACCATTAATGCTTCAACCTATGAAGCTGGGATTTCTGCACATGTTCCTTGGAGGAAATAGTGTTGAAAGAGTTAGCTTAGCAAACTACAACTTGGAAAATGATGTTAGCCAGTGAGATGGCTTATCCCTGATAATTAAAAACACAAATTAGATCATATTGTTCCTAAAAACCTTTCTATGGCTTTGTGTTGCCATTTGAAAAAGCTCTTGGAACTACCATTTGCTGGCTCCCCTGCATCACCTTGCACCCCGTCTCCCGTGTTCTATGTGCCCGCCACATTGGCCTTTCCCTCTTTGGAGTGTAGGGGGAACATTCCTGTCTGCTAGCTTTTGTCCTTAAGACCTTTGTGAGCCCAGATTCTTGCAGTCACTCAGGTCCTGCTCCAGGCTCCTCTCTGCATGGTTCTTCCTGAGCACCCTGATGAGATGAAGCCTCCTTCCTGCCTAGTCATGCCTTGTGCCTTTAACTTGTTTTATTTTCTTCATAGCACTTCTCATTATCTGAATGTATTTTATTTAAAAATGTTTTTACTCGGTTGTTGTCTGTCCTCTTCTTAGGGAATGTAAATTCCATGACAGTGGGGAACTTACCAGTCTGCTCACTGCCAGATCCTTAGAGCTTACACCAGTGCTTGGCACACACACAAAATATGTACTCAATAAGCATTTTTTGAGTGAATGAATGAATGGTTTTTAAGGAAAGGAAGCCACAATTCCTACAGAGCGGCTGTACTCGGGGCGTCCCAGGAGGGGGGTGGGTATGTCCTCCTTGTGTTACAGGAGTAAGGAAAGGCATTGCCAGCGCGTGCCTGTCTGATAAACACAGGGGTGGAGCCAGAGGGATGATGAGAAAGGTGGTTTTACTACTGTGGGAGAAATGGGAGTGTGGACTAGAACAGAGACAGCAGACAGATGTAGCTAGCCCCTGGGAAGCATGAACTTGGCTTCTGCAGTGGGAATGGTAGCTCAGTGGCCTGGGATACACTACTATAAATGTCTCATCCAGGGGCTCTGGGCTCAGATTCTGTGATTTCCTTAAATCTGACCACTTTTAGATTCTCTCTAGGCAATTTGAGCACTGGATAATGTCATTGTAAGCCCAATGTTGGATGAGAGAGAGAGGGAGAGAATCTAATTTATAGTGTTGCCTCCACTTGATATAACATTTAAACTCCTTAGAATACAAGCTTCCAGTTTTAATATTAACAAGTTCTGGTGATCTAATGTACAGCATGGTGATTATAGCTAATGATACTGCATTCTATACCTGAATGTTGCTAAAGAAAATAGATCTTAAATGTCCTCACCACAAAAAAGAAATGGAAATTATGTGATGGGATGGAGTTGTTAGCTGATGCTATAGTGGTAATCATTTTGCAATATATAAATGTATCAAATCAACATGTTGTATATCTTAAGCTTACACAATTTATATGTCAATTGTATCTCAATAAAGCTGAAAAAAATACAAGCTTCACAAAGTAACAAAATATTTAAACTCCTAGATCGATCAGAATTTTATTATATATTTTCCTCTGAAAAGATGCAGGAAAAATAAACCCACAATTTACTGGGTAATCAGGACTAGCCATATTTCCAAATAAACACTATTCTATTTCCTTTCTCTTTCCTTGGTTTTACCTCTTGGAAAAAAATTCCATGTTACATGATAATTTTGTTGCCACTTGGTATATTTATTCTCTGCAGTTAATAAACGTGTTGAATGTATTTTACTGAAACCAAAAAGAATGTGAAAAGTATCCTAAGCCCTTAAATTAAATAATCCTGAGCCCAGACTGAGGTATTTAAATTAATCTTTAACTAAGCAAACCCGAGCTTATCAGTCTGCACTTCCCTTGAGTGAATAGGTCAAACATTGTGCAGCTAGTATTTGCAAATAACCTGGGATCTTTAGGGCAAATGTATTGTGTCATGGTTTCCACTATCACCAGGAGAAACAATAGCACGTTGTCCTAGGTATTATAATTGCAAATTGAATGAAAGCAGGAAGATGGATCATGATTGTGTTATAGTCTTAAAATTTGTGCCTTTTCTCCAAAAGTTTTATCTTTTCTTTTTTCTTTTCTTTCCTTTTCCCTTTCCCTTTCTTTTTCTTTTTCTTTTTCCTTTCCTCTCCTCTGCTTTCCTTCTTTCCTTCCTTCCTTCCTTCCTTCTTCCTTCCTTCCTTCCTTCCTTCCTCCCTTCCTCCCTCTCTCCCTCCCTTCCTTCCCTCTTTCTTTCTTTCTTTCTCTTCTTCCTTCCTTCTCTCTTTGTAACGAATGCTAATGCATCTGTTAAGAGTTGCAGGAGATTTATGTCTAGGTCATGAAAATGTTTACTGTTTTAAGTTAATGAAGTAAAATGCTAATGATTCCTAGGTTTTTGTAGACCTTAAAATGTAACGTTAGTATTAGGATATTCATTAAAATGTTCAAGTTACTATAAAATTTAGTCAGTTTTTAATTTCTGAAGGAAAACATGGATATATAAAATAAATAGGCATCATCTTAGGCTAGAGTTTTAGGTTATTAACTCACTAAACCTTTGACCAAGATGGCAAATATATAATTGCATTGTTGAGCTCAATGCTTCCTCACACTGTGGGATGTCACTCGTTAGACAATTATGAAATCAACTTAGTGAATAAGGAGTCACAACAAACAAAATGAAAGAATAGACTAGAATAGAACGGCTATGATTGCATTACAGGTGTGAGATTTCTTAATGGGATGAACTTGTTCTAAAATTAGGTTGTAGTGATGATTGCACAATTCCATGAATATATTAAAAACCACTGAATCGTGTACTTTAAACCTTTTTTTTTTTTTAAAGATTATTTATTTATTTATTTGAGAGAGAGAGAGCAGGAACACAAGCAGGGGGAGTGGGAGAGGGAGAAGCAGGCCTCCTGCTGAGCAGGGAACCCGATGTGGGGCTCGATCCCAGGACCCTGGAATCATGACCTGAGCCAAAGGCAGAAGTTTAATGACTGAGCCACCTTTAAATGGGTGAATTTTATGGTATACGAAATATACCTCAATAAAACTGTTAAAAAAGGAAAAAAAGTACTGTTTCGAGATGTTGTTTTGTTAAATGTGTTTTGGAATTTGGGACATGGTCAAAAAGTTTGAAAGGTGCTGTTCTAATCCCACTAGCAAATGGAAACTTAAAGTATTGCAGCTGAAATAATTGATATATGGGTATACTTATATACCAGGCACTAGAATGTCACAGGTCGTTGAAATGTATCAGCAAACGCAGGAGCAAGGCTGCCCTGACTGGGATGCTACCTGTCTCCACAGCGAGCATCATGTGAGGTCGGCTGCAGGAGTGCTGAAGGTGCATTCGAGGAGGAAGCGCTAGGTAAGCAGACATATGCAACAGTTATTAAAAATCCTCGACACCACTCTAGGGGCCTGTGCTCATGTAAGGAGAATGAGTCATCTCTTAAAATATTTAGACTTCTATATCTCAGCAGTGTAAAAATATATAAATATAATTTCAAATGTGGAAGCCATTGTGATAGAAACTCAGCAAGACTCTTCTTTCAGAGCAAAATAGGGGGACCACAGCACCTGACTAAGGTTTAGAATTTGAGATTTTTGCCCTCAGTTCAGTAAGTGAAATCACTTCTGTCTTAATGAAAGAGATGACTATGGATCTTAAGCAGACTTGATGTCAGGAAATGCCACTATTTTAATGAACTGAAAGCACAGGAATATTTTATTTAATGTGCTTTTAATTATTCAGCTACTAGCTAGTCAGTGGAGTACCTATGATATGCGTGGCTCCCTACGAGGCTTAGGAAATTTACTGCAAGTATAGAAGCGATGCTTCTTGCTTTTAGATTTTGAGTAAGTAGGGTACTAAGCTGTATGTCTTCAGCTCCCTCTGTCTGATTTCAGAGCAGGTTGGGTGTTGTCTAAATGGCTTTGTCCTAGTGTGTTAATTCTCCAATGGTTTCTGAAGGACCAACTCTTTGATAAGTCACAGCCTCAATGTTAGTAGCTTTCTTTTCCAGAATTTCCAGGGTCTTCCTCCCACTAAGAGATAGATAGTTCCTTCCAGACTGGGAAATGATCGATTCTTCCATAAGCTGTAGTCTTTGTTTCGATGGCTTGCACCTTGCTCTCAGTGGCTGATGGAAAATGGGGGGATCTTGTCTTGCTGTCCTGATTTGCTTCTGTCTTTTAGACAGAACCCCTTGACATTTCTGTGGAGAGACAGTGATATTACATTCTTTTCCTACTGTGTAGGGGGAGTTAGCTATGGATAGAATTTATATTCTATGGTTTCCAAACTGTGCACCGAGGTACCCCAGTGCATTACATCTACCTCATAGGAAGGGATGGGGCATTTTGAACATTCAAGGGAAACACAAGATAGTTGACAACTTCTGGATATCATTGGAAGTACTAGTTGGAGGTAGTTCATGGTATAAACAATGAAATGCACTACATTCCTTTCTATAGTATATCTTTGCAATGCTGAGTTTTTTGGTGAATGCTGTGATAAAAAGAAAGTACCATAAAAAACTCAGTGTGGAACGGGAAATGGGGTTGGTGGTGCCCAATCTGATTATAATATTGAGAAATTGTGCTGTCCCCAATAGGCACACAGATCCCATTAGTGTGCAATTATTTTTATTTAAGGATTAAATACATATATTGTCTTTCAGTTTATGTGTGTTATTTCTTTCAAACATCTACTAAGTTGAAAGGACACGCATACTTAAGTTATAATACTTAATTAACGGAGCTGTTAGGTAATTCTTTTGGTCCAAGGAGTTATGAAAAAATTACTGAGAAACTAAAGATGCCAGAACTGAGAAAGTTTAGGAAACATTGATTTACATTCTTTTCTTATATTCCAAAGTTACACTACCATCTTAATTATATATTCTGTTAGAATACAAGTGTAATCAATGCTTTACTTAAAATTTCTCATTGACTATGGATCAATGTCTATAGACCATTAACAAATGAGATATACCAAGGCTAAATAAAGGCATATAAATAATATGCTTATAGACCATATCTTTAGTTTGTTAGAATGAATCCTTTTGCCCATACATCTAAGATCGTGTTTGTCTCTAACACATCTGGTACCTGGTCCATTTATCTGTGAGTCTGCTACATTATTCTATTTTAGATACCATCCATGTCTCTTTTCCACAGTGGAAATGGTAATAGTTAAGAATATATTAAAGTAAAAAAACCTATTATTTATTTATTTATTTTTTATGAGTCAGGCACTGATAAAAGTAATTTATAGGTATTAGCTCTTTTTGAGCTCAAAGGGATAAATACTATTATTATCCCCATTTTACAGATGAGAAAAATGAGGCACAAAGCATATATATATTTGCTTGGGGCCACATAGAAAGGGATCAACTTAAAGATGAACTAGAAAGGGAGTAACTTGATTTTAACCTTCTGATCTGACCAGAGTCTTTTCTTGTCCATTCAGCAGTGTGTTGAAAGTAGTATACAGATCAGTTCAGTTTCTCCTTCTCATTTAGTTAATTCTTATCCTGATATTTTAGAACAAACCTATTTGACCTCTGATTTTCCATACACATTGCCATGGCTTTGAAACACATATCTCCAGTTAGCTGTGAAGTTTACATTTACTTGCACTTACTCATATAACTCTGGTTCTTTTTGCCAAGTTCTCAACTTATGTTCTTTCTGATTCTTTTGGATCTTCTTCCTTACTCTGCTGACAGCTCCACACTGGACCCCTCTTTAAAGTGTCAGGCTTAAAAATAAAATAGCCAGTTATCTTACTAGCAAAAGGAGTTTATTTGGGAATAGCAAAGGAATTGTAATTCGGGACAAGCAAACCATAGGCAAGTCTGGAGAACAAAGGGAAGGTCAGCTTTTATAGAAGAAAGGAGGAAATTGGGGAGGGTTGTTTTGAACAAAAGTTCACTGGACAAGAAAGAGAGCTCTAGGTTGTGATGGTTTCTTATTGGCTGCAAGTGATGGTTAGTGCATTGTTGCTGGAGCACGGAGGGATCTTCCTTCTTTTTCTTAAAAAAAAAAAGAAAAAAAGATGAAATTCCCGTGTGAAAAATGTCCTCCTTGGCAAAATAATTCTTAACTTCCTTCTTTGTTCTACAGGCTGCAACCAGTGGCGAGTGGGTGAGAGAGCTCCCCCTTCAGGGCTTCCTGACTCCATTTTAAACCAGGTGTCCTTAATTTTTTGACAAAGGTTTCCCACAGACTATTGCAATCTCCGCTATTAGGTGTCTCACACCATAAAACAGGGGAAAAAAATGGAACTGTGCTTTGCTCGTATAGTTATAACAACTAAAAATGAACCATAATTAGAAGAATCAGCAGAGAAGTGTTGTGCTAAGGCTCTCTGGGCTAGAACCTCAGATGACAATGGCTTTCTTTTTTCTGGGTCACAGAGTATTCTGGTAGTATGGACTTCAATTAGTCCAGATTCAGTATCTATAGCGATCAGAATGGTGTCAACTTTTAACCAGAAGGAGAGAGGTCATGGAAGTTTGTATTTAGCCATTTTAAGCTTCTTACAAGAACTTATTATGTTTTCTCAACCAGAGTAGTCATTGTTATTTTAGAAAAGAAAGCTTATCCTCTAAGCTCAGGAACAAGGCAGGGATGCCTGCTTTTGTCACTTCTATTTAGCATAGTACAGGCAGGAAAAAGAAATAAGCCATCCAAATTGGAAAGGAGGAAGGAAGATTATCCTTGTTCACAGATAATATGATCTTACATGTAAAAAATGCTAAAGATAGCACAAAAAACCGTTAGAACCAATAAATTCAGCAAAGTAGCAGTATACAAAGTAAACACATGAAAATCAGTTGCATTTCTGTTTGCTAATAATGAACAATCTGTAAAGGAAATTACGAAAGCAATTCCATTTACGAGAGCATCAATAAGCATAAAATACTTAGGAACTAACTTAGCCAATCAGGTAAAAAACTTGTAAAATAAAAACTATAAAACATTTCTGAAACAAATTAAAAAAAGACTTAAATAGAATCCCATATTCATGGATTGAAAGACAATACAGTTAAGATGTCAGTGCTAACCCAAAGCAACCTACAGATTAATGTAATCCCTATCAAAATTCCAGTATCTTTTGTAGAAATAGATCCATTTGAAAATTCATATAGAATCTCAAGAGACCCCAAATCTTAAAAAGAAGAACAAAGCTGGATGACCCACACTTCCTGATTTTAAACTTATTGCAGTAATAAAGACAGACATATAGACAAATGGACTAGAATAAAGACTCCAGAAATAAATCCTGTATAGATGGTCAAATGATTTTTGACAAGGGTGCCAAGACTATTCAATGGGGAAAAGACAATGGGTGCTGGAAAAACTGGATATCCACATGCAAAAGAATAAAATTGGACCCTTACATAATATCATGAAAAAATTAACTCAAAATGGATTCATGGCCTAAATGTAAGACCTAAAACTATAAGCCTCCTGGAAGAAAAAATAGAGTAAAAGCAACTTTGGATTTGTCAATGACTTCTTGGATATGATACCAAAGGCACAGGCAATGAAGGAAAAAAATAGACAAATTGGACTTCATGAAAATTTTAAAAATATACACATCATCAGACACTATCAACAGAGCAAAAAGGCAACAATAGAATGGAAGAAAATATTTGCAAATCATATATCTGATAAGGGATTAATACCCAGAATATACAGACACTCCTAAAATTGAACAACCAAACCAAACAATCCAATTCGAAAAATAGGCAAAGGACCTGAATAGATATTTCTCCAAAGAATATATACGAATGGTCAATAAGCACATGAAATGATATTCAACATCACTAACTGATTAGGGAAATGCAAATCCAAACTACAACTAAATACCACCTCACACTCATTAGAATTGCTACCTTTAAAAAACCCAGTAAAATAAAAGTTTTGATGAGGTTGTGAAGCAGATGGAATGCTTGTGCACCATTGGTGGGAATATAAAATGATAAAGCCTCTGTGGTAAACAGCATGATGGTTCCTCAAAAATCAAAGACAGAATTACCATAGAATCTAGCAATTCCACTTGTGTGTATATACTCAAAATAAAGCGGGTTCTTGAAGTGATATTTATACACTGATGTTATACACTTCTTGTTGAATTCACAATAGCTAACACATGAAAGCAATCCAAGTGTCCATTGACAGATGAATGGATAAGCAAAATTTGATATATACATACAATGGAATGTTATTCAGCCTTAAAAAGAAAGAAAATTGACACACGCTACAACATGGATGAACCTTGAGGACATTATGTTAAGTGAAATCAGCCTGTCACAAAAAGACAAATATTGTGTGTTGCCACTTACATGATGTATTAGAGTAGTCAAAGTCATAGAGGCAGAAAGTAGAATGGTGTTTGCCAGGGGCTGGGGGGAGGCAGAATGGGGAGTTAATGATTACTGGGTAGAGTTTCAGTTTTGCAAGATGAGAAGAGTTCTGGAGATGAATGGTGGTTATGGTTGCACAACAATAAAAATGTCTCAGTACCACTGAACACACTTAAAAATGGTTAAGATAGTAACTTTTATGTCATGTGTATTTTACCACAGTTAAAAACTGGGGGGAGAAAAAGCAAGCTGAAGCATGATATCACTCACAATTTTGGAAGATAGAAAAAGTAAAGTAAAATAACTTCATCCCAGTGGAACATACCATTCCAAATTCTAGCCTTTTGTACGGGGCCTGGAAGTAGCAACAATAAATGTGTGTTACCAGTTGCAATGTTGATGTAGGAAAAACATTAAGGTTTGAAGCCGATGGCCAAGAAAGAATTCTTGAGACATCTTTGGTGCAAAAAGGTGGTTTTATTAAAGCACGGGGACAGGACCCGTGGGCAGAAAGAGCTGAGGGGTGGCGATTTATATGCTTTCAAGTGGGGAGGGGGTTAGGGATGGCATAAGTCTCTCCAGAATTTTAGAAGCAAGGTTTCCAGGACCTTGAGGGGGTTAACTATTGTTAGAAAAAAGGTCATTTATTACTGTCCACTAAAACCTTAGTTAAGAGACCCTCCAGATGTATATCAGTGGGTCATATGCTTGGGGATGATTGCCAACATGTATCTTGGGGAGTAGAGATAAAGGAAGTTTCTAAAGGAATTTGTTTTTGTTAAAGAAGACCTACAGGATCCTGGGGGTCAGGCTAAGATTGCCTTTTGCCCTAAGCAAAGTGTCAGCATCGAGGCAGTTGAGTCCCTAGAGGAATGTCACTCTGCCTCTTTCAAGGACTTGCCAATGGGCTGTAAGCATTAAGGAAATTTAATAATTTTTCTTCTGCCTTTGTTTCCCACATCAACGTTACTAATGTTTAGAAGTCACAAAATACTTTACAATATGGAACAACTGAATATAGAATCCTTTGGAGTAGAATTACTTGTACATATAAAAATAATTTATTGACAAGATGAGCAATAGCAACAGGATTGTAGTGTAACATTTTAAAAATGTCTTGGGATACCTGTTCTGGAACAATAGATGGTTTTGTTATGTACCATACACGCCCCTGGCACCCACCTGTAAGGAAGTGGTAATCATAAGAGAAAACTGTACAATGCTCTGTGTTGCTTGCCTGTAAAAAAAATGATGATAGTGAATTCTACGGGGAAAACAAGATGCCAGACTGTCTAGCTGATTTATAAAAATAAACCAATTGAATATGTACATCATTTATTATTCGGGTAAGCTATTGTGGCAAGATGTAGTTGTAACAAGAGACTCCTGAGAGCCCGAGATGAAACAGACACCCTTTCTCCTGACTTGACAGAGGTGCATGGTGAATGAAGTCCTGTTTTCTCCCCAGAAAATGCCGATTTCCCCACCGCACCCTTTGCTTCTTCCATTGGAAGCCATGGTGTGACCTTACGATGGAAATCTGCCAACATTTCTGGAGTAAAATACATCATTCAGTGGAAATATGCACAACTTCCTGGAAGCTGGACTTATACTGAGGTATGAAAAGCTGCCTACGTACGTACACACAGGTTTTTTTTCCAAATTATTAAAAATGCCCAATTACTACGTGTTATTATAGGTATAAAGACATTCTAGAGAAGATTCAAGTGTTAAGATGAATGGTTGGGTTAGATGAACTTTAATCTCTGCTGCTCTGTAACATGTTGATGCTAAATCCTTTATTTTTGAGGAAAACATATTAGACATACATCTTGTTCCTTCAGCGCAGCGTCACCTAACCAACTACTCATATCATTGGTCATTTTCTGCCCACCCCACCTACAAGGATTCCAACTAGGATGGAGGGCAAGAAAGTCATCTAGGACTGTCTCTTTTAAGAAAGCATGAGCAAGTTCAGAGGAAAATAGCCCCAAGACACTAAGTATATTAACATAGAAAAATTATTAAAGCCTTGAGGTAAATGCCAAATAACTGAATCCATAATTTTGCCAATTTGAGGAAGGAGAGACTTTGGGTGTGAATTATGGAGGCTGACATCTGGACGGCTCAGCTCCGAGCTCCAGGCCCATTTCTTCCGGGCTGGCAGGCCCCGGGTCACCCCATATCCAAGAAGTCCTGCACCTCTTACAAACTGATCTGCGATCTTGAGCCGCACTGTGTGGTGGTGATTCTGTAAACGCTAATTATTAATCTCTCCCTGACGTAGGCCGTGTCCAAGCTCTCATATGTGGTACAGCCCCTGCATCCCTTCACTGAGTACATTTTTCGAGTGGTCTGGATCTTCACAGCCCAGCTACAGCTGTATTCTCTGCCAAGTCCCAGTTACAGGACTCATCCTTATGGAGGTATAGTTTGTCCCTGTGGCTCATGAAATAAGGAGATTATTCCAAAGCTTTAGTTTAGTTTGGTTCTATTTTAAATAATGAAATAAATTATTCCTTCATCAATTGATCCGTTCAGTAACTGAGTACCTAACCATATGCCCCGTAGCATTCTAGGTGCTCAGCATGTCTCTATGATCAATACCAAACTCCCTGGTCTTGTGCAGCTCAGCTTTTGGTGGAGGAGACATACTCTAAGCAGTAAGCATAATAAATAAGGAAAGCACATTGTAAGTGGGAAAGTGCTGTGTACAATGTTAAGAGGGACATTTTGAACAGGGTCTGTCCGTTAGGGGCTTGCAAATGGGGCGTAGGGGTGAAGGACAGTCAGGTTGCAGAATAAGCCTCAATAAGCAGTTAGCAGTTAAGGACAGTTTTTAAGCAGAGAAGTAATTGTTTCACATACTTCTGAAAAAGATAGTTTTGGCAGCTACGCATAAGATGGATTGAGGGAATGAGGGAATCAGATTGGAAAGCACAGAGGGAGAGCAGTCCGCCTGGAGGTTATGATAATACTTGGACATTTTATCAGACATGATTTAAAAAAAACTGCACCTACCTTGGAACATTTTCTGATTTCTTCTTTTGAAGATGTGACTTCCATGCTGGGAAAAGGGGTCTAACCTAGAGCGTTTTAGGGGAGTGCATACGTGGGGCAGACACTGAAGGAGAGTTATGTGGTTCCCTTACCCTCAGGGTTAGCTGACTGGACCTGCGGGGATGTATTCCAGACCAGGTGTTAGATGTCCCGACGCATCAGTTCTGGAGATTTGGCAGTGTGCACAGAGCCTCACCTTGAACTAGGCTGTGGACAGTTGAACAGCTGAGGAAGCTGGTGACGGCATTTTCCCCTTTCCCTGATTCATGCTCGCTTACTGCTTATCAGATTTTAGGCTGTGTGTGGCCACCTCTGCTGATTACTCCCTGACCATCCTCCAAAGCTTGGGTCAGACACTGGCTAGGGCAATATTTGAAATGTTCCAGATCAGAGTGGAATACGTGGATCCTTCTTTGTTCAAAGCAATGCCTCATGTATTCCAACAGTGCTGGGACATTTTCTGATGCTGGAGAGATAATATGATCCAGGGCCCATGGCGGCCCATGGCTAGTCAAATCAAAATAATGAAGAAGGCAAATTTTGTTTTCCAGTTCTGGGCTTTTCTCCTGGATTTGCAAACCCTCATGCCCTCCATGTATTCCAGACCTACTCTGGATATCCTTTCCATGGATAGCACCTCATTCCTCAATTCCTTCTCACTTTTCTAGCCACATTAAAACTTATAGTTACCTGTTTTGTATTCCATGCCTCATGGCCCTCTTCTCCTTTCGTGTTGGGAAATGTATGATTTAGATGGTATTATTACCTTTTAATCGAGGCCCTTATGAAGATAATTTCTTAACCAAGGAGAATGGTTAATAGGCAAGGAATATCGTGCCCACCCTGACTGGCCTTTCAGGGAGGATTTTTGTGGGAGAGATTTGGACAATAATCACAGCTTACCATGTAGGTGGCATCCAACCTGCTCGAAGTGGAGCAGATCATGTCTGGGTCTGAGCATTGACCCTAAGGAATTAGGTTTTTTGACATCCTGCTTCTACTTAGTGAAAGATGATTCGTACCCCTCCGTTCACCAAGGTGACTGAGTGCAGGGAGCAGAAGAGTCGACACAGTGATGTTTGTGTTTGCCAAAGACTGGTCTGAGAGTTGAGGAGGAATCATACTGGAGAAAGGCTGAGAGATCAATAAACAGCCTTTTAAAAACTCATCCAATGTGAAGGCTGCACTGTCTTAATTTCTACCAACTCTCCCGAGTCAGGAGTGATGCAGAACATTTGCCAAAAGTATTCAGAGGGAGGGAAGTCCACATGAGAACAAAGTGATGTCAGAGTGTGTCTTTCTACAGGAAGAGGAAATGAAAGGGTGGGTTTAGGGGGTGGGAGGTATGAAAAGTAGGTGGAGGCAGGAATGGCAGACAGGCTGTTAGATCATTTGTTTTTCTTTCTGTTCTTTGCTACTTAGGTAGCTTCTCAAGTCTATGAGTGAATGCTTAATTAATGAATGCATGTTGCTTTAATCCTTCTCAAGGGAGAGGGTAGTGCTAAAGCACAGTGAACTTGGACTCTAAGGGACCTTGGGCGCCATGGGAAGGAACATACGTCTGGGTGTCAGCAAGAGGGAAGCACACTGTTCTAAGTCCGGCTTATCTGAGCCTGCATCTTCAACTGGAACTGGTCAGGCTATAGCAAGAGCTCCTGTGAGTGAAAAGGCCCAGGATTTACTTCTTTCAACTCCTGTTAATCATTGACTACGGTTTTGTTACAGATTCTCTTCTCCTTCCTAGCCGGATTCCACCCCACAGTTTCAACTCACTCAGGTCTCTGGAGACTTCTGATAACTTTTTTCTAGAACATTTATCCTATTTGCCTACCTGCACCTTCATAAATTATATGCAAGGAAAATAACACTTGGTAGAGTCCCTTAGGAAAGTAGCCAGCTGGTCTCATTTAGGGATCAAGAGTTGCAGCTCCTAGATATCTTACCGCCTTCTCTCTATCACTTATTTTGAATATTAATGAAAATATTTAATTTACACTTCAAAAAACAAGACTTTTTTCCCTGTGCTATTTACATTTGTTGCTTGTACATCTTCCTGCTCACCATGTCACCATTACATCTTCTAGTTCCCGAGACTGCTCCTTCCATTAGAAATATTGAGAGCTCGAGTCCCGACACCGTGGAAGTCAGTTGGGCTCCACCCCAATTCCCAGGAGGACCTATTTTGGGTTATAACTTAAGACTGATCAGCAAAAATCAACAATTAGATTCAGGGACACAGAGAACCAGTTTCCAGTTTTACTCCACTCTGCCAAATACCACCTACAGGTAAGAATTAAGTGGGGCAAGGAAGATGTAGCCAGCATGGCCGTAGGCGTAATCATTACTTAAGACATATGGCCCCAAAGTCGTTTAAATGTATTTGGAAAACTCCCATTGACTTTGTGCTGTTGGGTTGATGTTATCATAGTTTTCCTCAAGTTTGTGTCTGTTAGACTACAGTGTCCTAAGCAAAAACATTCTGAAGTATTTCTGTTATATTCAGAGGATTCTTATAAATAGGCACCAATAAAGATATCATAAACACCATAAATACCATTTTTTCATTTAACCCAACATGAAAAAAGTAAGGAAGTGAAATTCTGTTAGTGGTATTTTTTTATTAACCATTAGGGGGATTATTTTATTATTGTTAGCTTTTCCAGGATTTACCAAGGCCTCTTTAAATTAGGGTAGGGATGGGGGTCATGCAGATAGCAGAGTTCAGTTTTTGACCTCTGTGACCCTGAACTGTTCTATGCGGAATGCAAACAAGGATGTGATTGATGGTCATCTCAGTGCTGAGCAGTGGGACTGAGTAACTAGATACGTGCATGGCCACATTGTTCTTTAAATAGAAGTATTATTGCTCCTTCTCTTTTTATCTCATGTTCACACCATGCCATGTGAAACACATCTCTCTAAATTGTTTTTGGAATAGGTTTTCCATTGCAGCAGTAAATGAAGTTGGTGAGGGGCCAGAAGCAGAATCTAGTATTACCACTTTATCCTCAGCAGGTACAGCCTGGGAATGCCCCTTCTGTTACTTGGGAACTGAGGGGGTGGTAAGGGTGGGTTCAGATCTCAGAGTCCTGGTTCATCTGGTTGATCCCAAGAACCCCACCTCTTCTGCCCAAATCAACATTGTCTTTTGGTACTTGGTAAGCTCCGATTTTAAATGAATCCCATCCAGTATTTGACAAATAGAAGTTATTGGACCCAAAGGTTTTAAATTAGAATTTAGGAATTTCAAAATTAGAATGAAAAATTTAGGGATTAAAAAAAAATGACCTCATACAAAGCCTTAGTTTCAGATGAAATCACTAGTGATTGTGACTCACATTAAACACTTAGGTATACATGTAATCTTTTTGCCCTCACCCCCATTTTGTATTATGTATCATCATTTAATACATATCAGATATCTTTTTTTTTTAAAGATTTTATTTATTTATTTGACAGAGAGAGACATAGCGAGAGCAGGAACACAAGCAGGGAGAGTGAGAGAGGGAGAAGCAGGCTTCCCGCAGAGCAGGGAGCCCGATGTGGGGCTCGATCCCAGGACCCTGGGATCATGACCTGAGCCGAAGGCGGACGCTTAACGACTGAGCCACCCAGGTGCTCCTATCAGATATCTTTTTATTCCATTCTCCTTCAGGTTTTTAAATATATCTGGACTTAATAATTTACATTTTACCATTTTGAATATTCAATCTACCAAGTTAGCTTTTGTTATATTTTGAAGTATTATTTTTTTTTCATTTTGGCATTTGAATGATTGCCTGAGAGATTAAATACTTACTGTATGATACCTGTATGGAAAAAATAATAAATGAAAATGCTTTCTAAGAAGCACTGGAAATATTCTGGGGACACGAGTAGGAGTCTTGAACAACACAGAAAGATTCAGAATTCTAGGAGTCTGTTTTCTATTTTCGCCAGAATCCCATTTGCTGAATGGACTGCCCCTTCCCCTAATGTGCACCCGTCTATGTGTATTGAGTGTTGTCTATCACCAGCCTTTGGTTTTTTGGCTGTTACTGGAGTCTAGGAAAGGAGAGGCATTTTTGTTATGCAAGAAGCATCCGAAGGATGTGTTAAATATAGAGCAGGTTTAAGGTTGTTGTTACTGCAATTACTGCGTAACTTTTGTTAATTGCCCTTCACTGACGCACCCTGCATCAGTCTCCGACTGAGTGGGATGTCAAGCAGAGTCCTGCAGTCCTCAGATTTCATTGCTCTAAGGACTTTTCTCTGGCCTCAAAGGGAGAGAGAATTGAAGACAAAACAGAGACAACCAGTGTCTGTCTGGTGTTACGCAACAGCCCAGTCTGGCCTGGGGGGACCACCTCCACCGAGCAGCCACATTCTCATGGCTGTGGGTAATGAGCTGAGCTCCTGAGGGTGCAAGGCTGTTGAGAGGAGTGATCCCTTATGTGGTGTTATTTTGGGGGTCTTTCGGGGCACATACATATAAAGCCTACTTGACTGACACTGTACTTCCCACCCCCAATCGTGGAATAATGTGATATATGTTGCAGTTGAAATGCCCCCGCTGCCTTCAGAGAAAAATCCGACCAGCCTCGTTCGATCGTTAGTTGCCTTGCTTTGAAGGATGGTAATGGTTTTTTTGTGTGTTGATGTGCATGTGGTTGGTCTGCCTATAAATCATGTTATTGTTTTAGTTCAAGAAGAGGAACAGTGGCTCTTTTTATCCAGAAAAGCTTCTCTAAGAAAGAGATCTTTAAAACATTTAGTAGATGAAGCACATTGCCTTCAGTCAGATGCTACACACCATAATATTACAGGTCAGTATGATCGGAAGAAATGTTTCCTTAGTGTGGAAAAAAAAGACCCAGACTGACTTCTATTTTAAACTGCTTATTAAAAATTAAAGAAATAAATTTTCTGTCACGTAAGGTTCTTTTTGGTTGTGATATCATAACACGCATGTATTTGCATGGTTCTTCTAGGAATATCGGTTAATGTCCACCAGCAAGTCGTTTATTTCTCAGAAGGGACTCTCATATGGATGAAAGAGGCTGCCAACATGTCTGATGCGTCTGACCTGAGAGTTTTTTACAAAGGTTCAAGATTAATTTCTTCCATCTCCGTAGACTGGCTTTATCAGAGAATGTATTTCATCATGGATGAACTGGTGAGTCTGAGGATTTAAAGTGAATAATTGGATATCGACACTCACGTGCATATCTTGATATATCTGTAGGTAAACCTAATTCTTTCACTCAGTAAATACTCAGTGAGTATTTACTAAGTTTTACACACTAGGTTAGCCCTGAGTCATAGATCTGGTCTTTAGGAAGGTCTGGACTTGACCTAAGACAGTCCTGACCTACTGTTAAATCGTCTTTATTTGTGATTTTTCAGAGCCATGGGTTTATTACATTAATGATGATCCATTTTTCATAAGAGAGTGGTGGTGTCTGGTGTCTGTGCTTTCAGTAGCTGATTAAAATCGGCTGTGAGCGGGCGCCTGGGTGGCTCAGTCGGTTGGGCGACTGCCTTCGGCTCAGGTCGTGATCTTGGAGTCCCGGGATTGAGTCCCGCATCGGGCTCCCTGCTCAGCAGGGGGTCTGCTTCTCCCTCTGCCCTCTTCCCTCTCGTGATCTCTGTCTCTCATTCTCTCAAATAGATAAATAAAATCTTTAAAAAAAAAAAAATCAGCTGTGAGCATTTTAAATTATATAATAACCAAGGGTAACTTTAGTAGTCTCTGAAAATACAGTGTTACTGAAATCTTTGAGAAAACAGTCCTGCTGTGTTTCTTTCAACTTTCCTTCTTTCAAAAGGACAGGCCTATTACAATCACCATGGCCGGAAGCGCATAATCTTGGATACAGCTTAACATTTTAACAAATAGTTGAAGGGTGGGCCAGCTCAGTCGATAGAGCATATGACTCCTGATCTCAGGGTTTTAAGTTCAGGCCCCATGTTGGGTGTAGAAATTACTTTAAAAAAAAAAAAAAGGAAAAAAAAATCTTAAAAAAAAATTTTGATTAGTTCCACAAGCCAGGAAAATAGGTATTTGTATTTCATTGGTGTAAACAGGATGCACATTCATTAGGATATGGGATATAAAACTGACTTTTATGAGTTTTGTGGGTTTCTTTTTATACTTTGAAAAGTGGTCAGTGACTAGCACAATTCTAAGCACAGAACAGATGCTCAGGAAATACTTATTCTTAGAGAGGGGGTGGGGGTGGGGGATGCATTAAAAAATAAAAAAAGAAATACTTGTGAGCCAAACTGAATACAGACAGACACTGATCCACGGATGCATGCTTGATTCTCTAGGCGTATGTCTGTGATTTAGGAAACTGCTCGAACATTGAGGAAATTACTCCTCCCTCAATTACCGCACCTCAGAAAATTGTGGCTGATTCGTACAATGGGTAAGTGTTAGCCTTATAACCGTGAGTTCTCTTCCGTGGCAAGAATCTTTGGGAAACTTGCTTGATAGAACCAGAGGAGCCAACCTATGTATCTCATTTCAAATGTAATTAAATCTAGGCAAAGTTTGCATTCTATAGAGCCACAAGGAAATTTCTTGCAAACTTGATCCACAACTTCTCAAGTTGAGTAGATTTTCCTCTCCTTCACAGTAAAATATGGGTAGGTGGGTAAGATCTCTTCTCTGGGTCTCAGGGATCTAGGTTCCAGTCCTGGAGTTGTCATTATTTTATGGCATGACTCCGGGTGTCATTGCCTCCTCGGTGCTCCCCATGGAGTCCTTCCTGTCTGTGACTCCTCCTTCCATTTTACTTTCTTTTGCTGAGCAATTCAGCACCAGTTCATTTCCCTGGTCCTGTCCTCAGACCTCTCAGAGGCGGCTGGTTACCAAGAACGCTGCTTTTGCCCATCTTCGGACATAGGTGTTGATGGTTAATAACAAGTGAAAATTTCCCATTTTAAATAACTATTCCCCCCCCGCCAAATAAAATGGACACATTTTAGCTCAGCTGTCCTGCTTAAATTGCAGTCTGACTTTGAGCAAGTAACTGTGCCTGTGACTTTTCCTTTGTCCGTTCGTATGTGGAACATAACAATGCTTGCCCAGTTGTGTTATTTTGAGGATGAAATGAAGTATTCCCTGTGAATATATTGTGTGATCTCCAAATATACATAAATGTGAAGGATGAAAACACAGAAAATTATTTTGGTGATATTATTTCTCAAATGTGACCAGAGAATGATAGCTAATAAGCAAGGCCAAGTTTATAAGATGAAGTTTTTTTCTTTCCTGTCAGATAAAATTGTTTTCCTTTTGAATGAAAAAAATATATATATATAGCCCATGACATTTTTTATTTTTCATGAATTGATCTTTTTTTTTTTTAAAAGATTTTATTTATTTATTTGAGAGAGAGAGAGAGAGTGCAGAAGCTGGGGGGGAGAGGCAGAGGGAGAGGGAGAAGCAGGCTCCCCCCTCGGCAGGGAGCCCGATGCAGAGCTGATCCCAAAACCCTGGGATCATGACCTGAGCCAAAGGCAGACGCTTAACTGACTGAACCTCCCAGGTGCCCCAATGAATTGATCTTAAAAAAAAAATAAGGTTGCTCATTATTGCTCTGAAATCAAGTTTTCTATTGACATTCATTCATAATTTACTAGGTACTTATTTTGTCTTACTTTGTCTTATTTTGTCTTGATACTTAAGTTTGCATGAATTACTGATTCAAGAATATGTTTTACAAACACTGTGTTGTAGGGTGAGTCCTTTGGACTCCCTGGATCTTATTTTTCTCATTTGTAAAAGTGTAAGATCCTATGAGATGGAACTTTGCTGCTGGCATTTACCCAAAATGACTCATTTTATAAATAAACTTCACCCACTAAATAAATAATAGTAAATATATTTAACTTCACCCACTAAATAAATAATAGTAAATATATTTATAATATTACATATAATAAATATAACAAGGATAATAAACTTCACCCACTCAATCAGTCACTCAGAATGCATCCCAGTGAAGTCTCTGGTGGCTCTTTATTCCATTAGATAAAATTGATTTGTGCTTAGATTTTGAAATGTGACTAGAAATGATAATGATAATATTAATTGGTGCCTCTAAGTGTATTACTTCCAAAAATTCATTTAATTCTTGTTCAACTGTATGAAGTAGGTACTTTTATTATCTCAGCTTTATGGATTGGAAAGTAAACACAGCTTAGTGATTGCTCAAGATCACGCAGCTCTTTTGCTGTGGAGCCAGTATTTGTCTTCCAGGGCCTGTCTTCTAATCATCTCCTCCTACACTAATAGCGTTTCTGTAAAAATCAGCGTATACCTTTTAGCAGCACTTTGTATATAGTGTCCCTAAGGAATGCCAGATGTGTGAATCACTTATTCTCCTGGCATTAGAAGTGGTTTCCTCTCTGCTGTTATTTTGCACCATTGAATTATTCACTCACTGAGTTTGTACTTACTCTAAACCTCTTCCCTTCTTCCCCTACCCTGCTTCTTCTCCTTCTCACCTCTGCCCTCTTCCCTCTGCAGCCCGGCTCTGTGCACCTTCCCTCTCCTTTCTTTACCCTCCAAAGTGGCAACGAGGGTTAAACACTTGTCCTCTCTCTGCTGCAGCCCAAGGATTGTAATCTTCACCCCAAATCTTCTTCCTCTTGTCTACTCTGAAGTCCCTCTATGTTCCATTAATAGCTTTGAACTTGGGAAACTAAAGCAGAAAGTTAAGAGCCAAGTTGTTTCTGCTTTTTGCCGGCTACAACCCTCTCTTAAGAAAAAGAACATAGGTTCACATCTCAACATGGAGTTTATATTTCAGGATATTATTGTAGCACAGGGGTCGAGCATATTGATAAAGATTTGGAATAGTCATCAAGGAGAACAAGGGTGGGACTGAATAGGACAAGGAAAATAATTTGACAGTTGTGATGAGAGGTTGGAATCCTGTCAATCCATGGGGCTGTGATAAGAAAGATTTGCTAAGCAGAAGTATACTTTTCTTTCTTTCTTTCTTTTTTTTTTTTTTGAGAGAGGAAGAGAGGGATGGGCTGGGGCAAAGGGAGAGAGAGAGAGAGAATCTTAAGCAGTCTCCGTGCCCAATGTGGAGCCCAACTCGGGGCTTGATCTCATGACTCTGACCAAAATTAAGAGTCAGATGCTTAACTGACTGAGCCCCCAGATGCCCCGCAGAAGTGTACTTGTGTTAGCATCTGTCTCCATGATCACAAATTCTAAATTAGCTTCATCCAAATTAACAGTTTTATGTTTTAGTTAAAATTCTATTTGTAGATTTGGTTTATCAATGAAATATTTTGGTGGTGTTTTCTGTTTCATTATTAAAAATCCACATGTACTATTACCATGAGATTTGGCTCCAAATTAGGTGGTTTATTTTACAAAATTCTTCCACTGGCTCCTTCTAACTGCTGGGTGGTCCATCCCAGCTGTTTTGCTGTCTTGTGGGATATTTCTTCATGATTTATAAAATGGTAGCTCTATTGTCCCACTTAACTATAAATATTAAAAAAAAAAAAAACCTAGTCCACTACAAAATGCAAGGTAGTTTTGCTAGATATTTATAGCGAAATAATAAGTGGTTTTAAAAATAGGTTAAAAACGTTTTTGCTTTCTTCTATTTTATCCTTCACAATGCATGGGAAAATGTATAGAAAGAATTAGATTTAAGAATATGTGCATTTTGGAGGAAAGTGTTTTCAATAAATAACATGTTTAGCCATGTCATTTTTATATACTATGCTTTCCTTTAAAAGTAGGCTTCATTAGCAAATCTGAAAGACCCTTTCTGCTCTTAAATTCTGATTCCTTATAGTCACATATATAATTGAAAGACAAAGCATTGTAAGCGAGGCTGAAATTTTCCAATGTTCCAGCTTCTAACTTAAATGAATAGTACATAGCTTTAGTAAGTACCTTTACCCTTGTGTACCTTGGGACACCCAGTGCTTAGCGACTGGTGAGAACTATGGTTCTGATTGCATCACAGGACAAAGCAGGTTGCAGTGGATCACACCAGGTTTCTTTTGATCCCATGTCAGGTATGTCTTTTATCTCCTGAAAGACGGCATTTATAGAGTAGATCTCCCCGTGCCATCTGGTCGGGACTCAGAAGCCCTACATATTGTGGAGAGTTGCACATTAAAGGACTTTGCAGTGAAGCCACAGTCCAAACGAATCATTTACTTCAATGACACCGCTCATGTCTTCATGTCAACATTTCTGGACGGCTCTGCTTCCCATCTTGTCCTAGCTCATGTCTCCTTTGCTAATGTGAAGAGCTTTGCTTGTGAAAACAATGACTTCCTTGTCACAGATGGCAAGGCCATTTTCCAGCAGGACTCTCTGTCTTTTAATGAGTTCATCGTGGGATGTGACCTGAGTCACATAGAAGAGTTTGGCTTTGGTAACCTGGTCATCTTCAGCTCCTACGCTCAGCCGCACCCCCTGCCAGGCCGCCCACAGCAGCTCTCCGTGCTCTTTGGCTCCCACCAGGCCCTGGTTCAGTGGAAGCCCCCTGCCTTCGCCATTGGAGCCAGTGAGTGCCCCCTGCCCAGTGTTGCTGGAAGGAGGAAAGTTTGAATTGCTTGACATCACAACTCAATTTTGAGAACCTGTATGTGATTATTCAGTCATCAGCCAGAAGTGCTATTTAGCTCCAGAAAAAGTGCTTAGACGTTTGTTCTGCGTTTACTGGTTTTGCACTAGGAACATCTCTATATTTCTTGTGTATATCCCAACACAATAGTTGGAACATTTACTGAGTGTCTACCGAGAGCCAGGCACTGACATTCTGGTCTGAGTGAATATGGTAGCCAGAAGGATAGTGCAGGTGGGTTGAGATTTGTATCCATCCAGACCTTGCATGAATCGGAGCAACTTCCTAAAACTCTCTGAACTTGAACTTCCGTCTCCGGACAGGCAGTGTGTGTGGAGGGTAAGCAGGTGGGCTCTGGAGCCAGGCTGCATGGGTTCAAAGGCTGGTCTTGTCAGTTATTAGTAGAATGATCCTGGGCATATTACTTAACTGCTCCGTGCATTGGTTTTCACTCCTAGAAAATGGGAGCGTTAATTATATCTTTCATTCGGATTGTCACACAGAATGAATTAAGATGCATCATTAGAACACTTAGCACAGTATCTAGTACAGAGGTCGGCAAACTTCTTCTATAAAGGAAAGGCTAGATAGTACATATGCTCAGCTCTGTGGGCCATATGGTCTCTGTCGCAACTACTCAAGTCTGTCGTTGCAGTGTGTAAACATCCCTAGATTATATGTAAATGAGGAACTGTGCCATTCCAGTACAATTTTATATTCAAAAACAGGCAGCGGGCCAGATTTGGCCTGTGGGCTATCGTTTGCCAACTCCTGGTCCTAGCGTATTTAGCAAACATGGACTATTTTTGACTTGAAGACAAAGCTAATTACGCCTATTTGCTGTATATTTCCACTGCTCTAGAGGCAGTTTTTGTTGTTGTTGTTTGGTTTTGTATAGTTTGGGCTTCTAGAAGGAAGATACTGTACAAACACTGAGAGTTATATTAAAGATTCATCATTAAACATTTGTTTATTAGGAGGCTGGTTACACCTGGGGTGTTATTTGACACGCCTCTGATAATTTTATGCAGCCCACGTGTAGCTTTGACTCTGATTTGTTGGAAATGATGTCTCCTTTGATGGAGCACAAACTATGGCATGGCTGGAATGGACGGTGTCCTAGTCGTATCGTCAGACCAACCCTGATGACTAGTGAGGGGTAGCATGTTTTACTGCCCAATTACCCTTCTACTCAAGATGAAGCTGTAGATGAATTCACTGACAACCTTTTGTTTGCCCTTGCCTGTCTCATCCTGGTGAGTAATATGGTTTAACTTTTCTGATTAGGCCCTTCTGCCTGGCAGAACTGGATTTATGAGGTGAAAGTATCAACCCAAGACTTTCCTGAAATCACTCACGTTTTCTCGAACATCAGTGGGACCGTGCTTCATGTGTCTGAGCTGCAGAGTGCTACGAAATACAAGGTTTCTGTGAGAGCCAGTTCTCCCAAGGGGCCAGGCCCTTGGTCAGAGCCTTCGGTGGGTACTACCCTGGTGCCAGGTGAGAACATGTTCTTGATTTAGGGAGTAATTCTGACAACATAGGTTTATTCCCTGTGTCCTTAAGAGGTCCTCAACTCCAATGTGGTAAAGAAACTGGAATGAGGATGCATGGATTTCTTGGAGTACGTGTTTATTATCTGGATGAAGAAAGCAAATAGAGCATTGTGTGATATTTAACTTACGTTTCTAAATTGTTATCTTAACCTTTTCAAGATATTTTTGAGGAAACGATATAATTTTCCTCTTCTTTATGGCTTTCTTCTTTCTCGTGGTTTATGAAGCAATAATAGCCCTTGAACTCTGAAGGTCATGGTGAGAGAAGTTGAGGGTCTGTGAATTATGCTGAACTCCACCCTCTTGGCTGAAAGAACATGGAAAGAGAATTATACCATTTATACTGCTCTTGTTACCACGATGACTTCTGGGTGCTCGGCATGAAATCGTGGCAACCAATAGCCAATGGGGAGGGGAGATCGTGCCATGACCATGACATTGCTAAGAGGCAGCATCACCACACATTTCTCTTCACATTCAACTTCAATTACTTATGTAAGAATCAGGAAATACGTTTAACATGATAGATAATTCTGTTAAGCAGATGTAATCACTCATATCCTTCCATGGTATTTTTTAAATATCGATAGTCTTTTACTTTATAAAGGAAATCTTAGGGTATAAGATGTGTACCTTAAAACGTGTGTTTTCTGTGATATTTCTTTTAATTTCTTTTCACCAAACAGCTTCAGAACCACCATTTATCATGGCTGTGAAAGAAGATGGTCTTTGGAGTAAGCCACTGAATAGCTTTGGCCCAGGAACATTCTTATCCTCTGATATAGGAAATGTGTCAGGTAAACACCAAATCCTTGTTCACTTGGGTGTCAGGTTTCTACATGTAAGAATTCCTAAGCTCCTCAATACATCCAAAGAATTGAACGTTTTGGTATTAGGTCAATAATGAAAGGGAAAAAACAGGGACTGAACTACGATGCCAGTGATGCCATTAAGAAAATGTCAGTTCTCCAGTATGGGTGTTATTTATTAGTTCACAAAATGTGAGGCTATTTATTGATTTATGCCCATTTCAGTAAGGCTTTGATATAGTTCTCCTATATTTGAACCTCTCAATGTTATCTCGAGATAACAGCCTACCTGGTTCCGAACCTAACATAGCTATACTTCAGTAACTAACTACGTTTGCTGTAAGACTGACGCAAGGAATGGTTGCACGGAGTTCTAAGTAAAGTGGAAGAAATAATTTCTTGACAAAGAGCATTATTAAGTAATAAGTGGGTAATTTTGCCTAGAAGACCTTAGGATGAAGGAAAGTCTTCATTGTGAGGTGGTGCACCAGGGAGCCTACGTGCAGATGACATCTCCTATAGTTATGTGAATTAGTTGTTATATTCGCTGGGCCACTGAAAGTACAGAGGCATTTCTGACCAACGTAGGACTTGGACTTAGGAGGTAGTGTGGTCATAGTAGAAAGAATTATGCTTTGGAGTTGTCTTCAGTCTGGGCTCCTACTGTTTTCATCTGTGAGGCCTTGGGCAGAATAGATAATCTCACTGAGTCTCAGGTTCACCAAGTCAAAAATGGGGATAATCCCTTTTTAAACCTTTGTTATCAGATTTAAGTGATATCTGTTAAGTACCCGGGACAATGTTTGGCAAAAGGGAGGGTCTCAGTGAATATTAATCCCTCTCCCTAGTCCCAGGGGTTGAGATGTTGAGAGAACATTATTGAAACATTCTTGACAGATCCCTGAAGTTCTAATGAATATCATGTTAGTATGCACTCTGAAAGTATATGGAGGTGCATGTGTGATTTGTTGACTCACCACGTTTACGCTGGCATGCATGAGAAATAACTGCTACCAATTCACTTTGTTTTGAGACATGGATTGGTATAACAACAGCCTCTACTACAGCGATATGAAAGGTGATGTTTACGTGTGGCTGCTGAATGGGACGGATATCTCAGAAAATTATCACATATCCAACATTGCAGGAGCAGGCGCTCTAGCTTTTGATTGGCTGGGTCAATTTCTCTATTGGGCTGGAAAGACATATGTGGTAAGTTAAATCTCAGCATTCTGGATGCTCTAGCACAATACCCACCCTCCAGTGACTTACATGTCATTTTCATGACTTTTTTTTCATACTTGTATACCACCTATGCTGTTATTTAATATTTGTCCTCAAACCTACTCACTTTTTTTTAAAGATTTTTATTTATTTATTCATGAGAGAGAGAGAGAGAGAGGCAGAGGGAGAAGCAGGCTCCCTGCTGAGCAGGGAGCCCGATGCGGGACTCGATCCCAGGAGTCTGGGATCATGACCTGAGCCGAAGGCAGATGCTTAACCATATGAGCCACCCAGGCACCCAAACCTACTCACTTTTTAATTAAAAGGGATTTATATGTAAAGGAAGCTTTATGTTGCTGTTTGGTACACTAGTTCTAGATTTTCAATAATATCTTAAATATATGAAAATGTTCATCTGAGGGTCAGTGTCCTGGAGGAAGATGACACACTCCAAAGGCATGATTAAAGGAAACCCAATGAAGGGACTATTTTCAAAGGTGTGGAGAGGGCTAAGGAAAATGAGCAAAGGATGGTAAAGCATGGCCGGGGCTAGTAAGTGTGGGAAGATATAACTACCTTCAGGCATATGAGGGCAAGGGACTGTAGGGGAAGAATCTGGGGAGGGCTATAGCTATAGAAGCTGCTGACAAAGGGGCGCCTGGGTGGCTCAGCTGGTTGAGCGACTGCCTTCGGCTCAGGTCATAATCCTGGAGTCCGGGGATCGAGTCCCACGTCGGGCTCCCTGCTCAGAGGGGAGTCTGCTTCTCCCTCTGACCCTCTCCCCTCTCATGTTCTCTCTCTCTCTCAAATAAATAAATAAAATAAAATCTAAAAAAAAAAAAAAAAAAAAGAAGCTGCTGACATGAAACCCAGCCACTGTCAGAAGGTACGGTCTTCCAAGGAGCGACCTGGGGCTATAAGGACCCCAATCCTTCTTTCTTTCTGCCCTCTGATCTTCTGCCAGTGCTTCCATTGGCTGAATATCACTGGAAGCCAGAGAATGAGTCTGGCTGATGCAGCCTGTAGCACCAGGCGCCGGGCACACAGAGTCAGGCAGAGTGGGGGGCAAGTGTAGCTGGACACAAAATGAAGACATCCTGCACATCTGTGTAGTGGTACCCTTCGAAGAGAAGGATGGTTAATGATGAGAATACTGGTCTGACAGATCCAGAAATATGGTACTGGAACCATTTTCTAATCAGGAGGGCACTAATTGTCCATTTATTCATTCAACAATCATTTATCTATTACCAATGTGTTGAGAGCCATGAGGATAGGCATAGTAGGGAATATGAAGTAAATAGTAGACATGTATCTGTTTTAAAAAATTCAACTTTATGAGATACAATTCACATACGACAAAATTCACCCTTTTATTGTATAAAGTACAGTTTTTTAATATGTTCAGTGTTGTGTAAACCACTGCTACTTGTCCTTGTTCTTTTGATGAGATGAAATACCTATATACAATAATAGAAGAAGCATACAAAGCAATGTGTTTAGAGACAAAGCAAGGTGGTGTAGCCTGAATTCTTAAGTGCCAATGTTATCCGGTGGAATGGAGTTGAGTGGGGTAAATCTGAAAATACTCCCTGAAATGGATTAGTTTAAAAATAGTTTTGAAGGAGGAAGTGGAAGAGTAGATGTAAAAACTGCTTTCAAGTATTTGCTCTATCTCTAACAAAACTGCTTAACTCCAGGAAAAATTACTTAGCTTCTTTGAACCCAGTTAACCTGTGATAGAAATCCTTTATAATGTTAGGGTTACAAAAGCTAATATTTTAAAGATAAAAACATACACTACCTGATACATAATAGGTATGCAGTAATGGCAGAATTAATATCAGAGAAATATACTGATAGAGATGAGCAAGGAGAGAGGTCATCACTTATCAGGATGTGTACATCTGATCCTCAAGAGTCCAATCCAATGCATTCTTATCTAGCAGTGTTTCAATTGTCTGGTTGTATGATTAGGCAAAGTAAGTATTTTAACTCAAAATCAATTCGCCTCCCTTTTTTCTAGAGTCATGAAAAGAGATGAGCTCCATGAGGGTGTTCCCCATGACTATTCTGCTCCCAAGGGTTTGCACACTACCCAGCACATAGTGCTAATAAATATTCGTGCTTGGATGAATGCAGCAATTTACTAATGATTGCAAAAAACTACTCAGAAATAACCATGTCATGTGAAAATTATTAACCGACCATATAATTATGTTTTATAGATACAAAGGCAGTCTCTGTTGACAGGGCACACAGACATTGTGACTCATGTGAAGTTGTTGGTGAATGACATGGTGGTGGATTCAGTTGGAGGTTATCTCTATTGGACCACACTCTACTCAGTGGAAAGTACCAGGCTAAATGGAGAAAGTTTCCTGGTACTACAGGCACAGCCTTGGATTTCTGGGAAAAAGGTGATGAATTAAATATAAGATCTGATCATTTACGAATATTAAGTAGTGCTACTGTATAGTTATGACAATGCTGTTTCTGGTAGAATCTGAAAGGAAATCTGTCAGGATGTCGGTATAACCAAAATTTCTCTAAGTCTCATTTGATTGTCATAATGGATTAAATAAGTTTAAATACAATATGGAGAATTTTGTAATTTGCTTTATCTTGAATGGACCCGCACCTAAAAGCATTTTAATTTCTGACTGTTTTTAGAGTCCTTAGGAATTGTATTGAATATTTTACAGCTTCTTGTTGGGTAATAATTAGATGCTTTATTATTTTCCATCAATTTTGGATACAGATTGCTTAGATGTTTTATTATATTTGATCAATTTTGGGTACTGACTGGTCTAAAAACTGTGTGACTCCTAGGCAAAGTATTTGACTTCTCTTTGTTTCCTTATCTGAGAAATGGGAATATTAGCAATTGGCCTACCTCTTAGGGCTGTTGCAAAGATTAAATGAGATAATTAATGGGAGGTACGGAGAATAGTTCCAGGCACACGGTAACCACTCAATAGTTAAGTTCTTATCACCGTAACTAAATCTGAAAAACACACCTAATACAGGAATATATCTAAACACATTACTTCCATTTCCTTGATCCTCAAATTCTAGAAGCAATACATATTTTTCTTGATCCTCAACTTCTAGAAACAATACCTATATTCTTGAGACCCTGTAAGTTATTCATCAAAATATCTGAATTTTGTGTTTCCTGATCATAATGGTAATATATGTTTGCTGTAGGAATTTAGAAATCACAGAAAATCGTGAAAAAGAAATAAAACATTCATACTATTTCAACCTAAGATATGCCTTAAAATTTTTATTTTTTTAATCATTTTTTTTTTATCTGCCCATAAAGGTAAAATACACATAATATAGATATACCCGATCATGTGTAAACAAATTGTGAGTCACATGATCTCCAATTTCAGGATATGTGGGCTGTAATTCCTAGGGTATAAAGACCTTATTTGCATATACAGATCAGAGCACAGATATTTAAAAGGAATAAAGACTTATACACATATCCAGAGATTAATCATTCCTGTCAAATCATGAAAACATCCCTTAATTCTACTTTAGAGCCACTTGAGTCTGAATACAGGAGAGTATATTTTTTATGTCTCAGTAGTAAGTGTTAGGGCAAAGCACTTTTATTTTTGTAAAAGCAGATTAAAGATAATATCATCTCAGGAGTAACGTTCTATCTATTTCTGGGGCTTTGTCAGTAATCTCCCTCACTGCTCCAATCTGGTCATTTGAGACATATTTACTCAGGAAAATTCTGTAGCGGCCCTGGGGACTTGCCTGAAAATGAGTGAAAAATTAGATTACTCAGCATGTTTGGGGAAACACGCCATTCTTTAAATCCCCACACCAAATCCTCTCACGGGCTGGCGAGTGTTGCTGCTTGTACAAATCTGAGTTCTGGGTCCATGGTTTGATGTCTTACCCATCCGCTTCCATTAAAGCTAGTGGGTGTTTTGAAGGTAACGCATTTTGCACTGCGCAAAACTCTCCATTTCACTGTCATTCCTTCATATGTTCCTCATGGATTTATCATGGAGTCATGAGATACTTTGCAATCAACAGATATAATAAAGTAGTCAGCCAATTCCTTAGAGAAAGACCCGATTTTTATGTGATTCAAAGGGAGAATGCTGGGCGCCTGAGTGGCTCAGTTGGTTAAGCGACTGCCTTCGGCTCAGGTCATGATCCTGGAGTCCCGGGATCGAGTCCCACATCGGGCTCCCTGCTCAGCGGGGGTCTGCTTCCCCCTCTGCCCTCTTCCCTCTCGTGCTCTCTGTCTCTCATTCTCTCTCTCTCTCAAATAAATAAATAAAATCTTTAAAAAAAAAAAAAGGGAGAATGCTGTGAGATATTCATCTAAAGTGAACAGATACCCTTTGCCACATCTGATGGATTGGGTGGGCTCCTAGTACATGGTACATTTTACCACAGGATTAAACCTCAAGCTTTTAGTTTCGATCAAAGGCATTATTTCCAAGGCATGGGCATTATTAGACATAACAATGGTTACCAAAGACTTATGGAACATCCTCTGGTTCTGTTTAAATGTGGGCCCAAATGACTGATGCAAAGGAATGCAGTAACCAACACCTGAATTTTACTTACAGCTCAAATAGTTTGTTGTATTCCAGAGCAGGGAGTTGTAAAAGATTCTTTTCTAAGAGATAAAAGAGACTTCATAATTTGGAAAACTCGAGTGCATCTCATTATAAATAATCAAACAAGATTAACCCGATTTCACTTTAATGGAAACAATAGTCAGTACATTTCTTTTAGCCTGAGGCAAGGCCATGATACCACTGCCCAAGGGCTGGGGATCGCTAGAATAGTGTGTGTTTATTTATTTATTTTTATTTTGTGGGAAAGGAGTAGGTTGAGTTTCCTTGAAGACAGCAGGCTGTGATGTGTATGATAGCCAGAGCTTCTTACAGTGACGTGCCTTTGTAGCAGGCCTTGGGGCACCTGTCAGCAAGAATTTTTAGTTCTTGGCTAGCTTGCTGTATTCTTTTTTACGCTTCTCACTGGCTCATCATTTTTGTTTTTCTGCTGCAGTGTCTTGTTAAAGATGTAGTCATCAACTTTAATCCTTGATCCCTCTTAGCCTCTAGGTCTGCTCTAGAAACAGTCCATCACTGAGGTCAGGCACCTGGCAATCTCAGCTTATTTGAAAATTACCTCTAACGCCAAAGAAAGCAAAAGTGTTCCTTTGGGTTGTAACTTCTATCCATGTAGTCTATGTCATAGGAGAAGCAGACTTTCCTCAGGCCTCACCTAGACAACTGAACATAAAATTAAGACAGGCACCGTGACAAGAAGACGAGGGAAGATTAGTAAGGAGTGGTTTTCAGATGTTAGTTGGAAATAGAACTTTATATATACATGACTCTATTTAATTATAACACATAAAAACCCTGTGTGTATTATATTTTTTAAATGTGTCAGGACATTTTGGTTGTAATTAACGGAAAATATAATTTAAAATGGCTTAAGACATTGGTTCTCAAGCTTGATGACATAATAAAATTATCTGCAGAATTTGAAAACACACTGGAAACTGGGTTCCATCTCCAGAGATTATAATTTAATAGGAGGCACTGTGGGAATTGAGGGGGGTGGTTTAAAGAACTCAACAGGTGATTCTAATGTGCATCCATGTTTGAGAACAACAGATTTAAACAACAATGAAATTCATTGACTGATGCGGCCAGAGTCCAAAGTTATGGCTAGCTTTAGGATATCCCTAGCTTTAGCTTTAGGGATAGCTTTAGGCTTTAGGCAAGGCTTGACATAGTGGCTCAAAGTTCCTGATTCAGTAGGACCTGAAATGTGGCTGAGAATTTGTGTTAAGTTTCCAGGTGATGCTGATGCTGCGGGTCCAAGAATCCCTGCCTCTTGAGGATTTTTAGGAAACCAGCGTCTATATCCAAATTGCATAGCAACAGGCACACTCATGTAATTTTGATATTCAGTGAAAGGTAAAAATCACTGAGTTTATTATTCCAAAGAGGATGTTAAAGAGAACTCTATGGCCTAAGTGTGACTTATTCACAAAGGTATCCTCCAGACATGTATTTGATTCATTTTCTTACCTTATTTTCTATTTAGGTAATTGCTTTAACTTTAGACCTTAGCGATGGGCTCCTGTATTGGTTGGTTCAAGACAGTCAATGTATCCACCTGTATGCAGCTGTTCTTCGGGGGCAGAGGTGAGTAATCGCCCTTGAAAACAATTGGTTAAGAATGAGAACGACTGGGCGCCTGGGTGGCTCAGTTGGTTAAGCGACTGCCTTCGGCTCAGGTCATGATCCCAGGGTCCTGGGATCGAGTCCTGCATCGGGCTCCCTGCTCAGCGGGAAGCCTGCTTCTCCCTCTCCCACTCCCCCTGCTTGTGTTCCTGCTCTCACTGTCTCTGTCTCTGTCAAATAAATAAATAAAATCTCTAAAAAAAAAAAAAAAAGAAAACCTTTAAAAAAAAAAAAGAATGTGAACGACTTACCCCCTCAGTTATGTGATAATGCATGGAAATTCATTTATTCTTCCAATAAACATTTACCAATTACCCACTGTTTCTGCAGGCATTGTGCTTGTGGGGTAAGATAGGTTTGTAAACAACTACTTACAGTGGAATATGGTGAATCCCGTGATGGGTAGAAAGAGTACGGTGAAGACACTGAGAAGAATGCTTCTCGAGAGCTCAGGAAATGGATAGATGTGTTTTTTCCTCTTAGCAAAGCAGAGTGTACATGATGGAGTTAGGCAGAAATCATCCTGTCTGGCACACGTGAAAACTGGAGTGGAAAGAAGCACATGAATTATTCTCTCAGTCTGTGTCCTCAAACTAAGCCCCCAGTTCTCTCGGCATCACCATGTCTTCCGTAATAGTGCTGTTGGGGTTGTTCGTGGTTTTTTTTCCTAGTATTTTTCCTATACTTTTTTTTTTTTTTTTTACACATTTTTGCTTTTTAAAATTAGGTGTAGGGATGCCTGGGTGGCTCAGTTGTTAAGCGTCTGCCTTCGGTTCAGGTCATGATCCCAGGGTCCTGGGCTCCAGCCCCACATCAGGCTCCTTGCTCAGCGGGGAGTCTGCTTCTCTCTTTGCCTGCCTCTCTCTCTCTCTCTCTCTAACAAATAAATAAATAAAATCTTCAAAAAAATAAAATAAAATTAGGTGTAATATACATAATACGAGATGCTCAGATCTTCAGTATTCCAGTGTATCAGTTTCGACAAATACATTTTAAGACACAGACTCAGTTCCTTTGGTTAACTGGTATTCCATCTGCATGGCTCAGTTTAAACACTGTTCTTTAAGAAGCACTTTTTCTGACCAGACTCCAGTAGGTCTCCTTGTTAAGGAATCCACTCTACCTTTCTTCTTACAGTGATGTTCAGCGGTGTCATTGTTTGCTCATCTTCTACCAGACTGCCTTTTCTGCTAGCCTGTGTATTCTATGAGGGCAGGGATTGTATTTGTCTTATTTACCATTGCATTCCTGGTGGCTAACACAGAAGTAGGCACAGAACATTTGTTGAATGAATGAGTAAATGAGTGAACCCTCAGCCTAGTAACCTCAGCTGACCTCTATACACAACTTCATAGCATCATGGAAGAGTTTGTCTTTTTATGACTTTTTTGGTGAGCTTTGACTTAAATCCAGTCTCACCTATTGCTGAGGGCTGAAGGGTTTAAAATTCCACATGGAAGGAAGCCCCATACTGACCTCCTGAAAGTGAAGAGGTTTTGCAGAAGTTGTGCTGTGAACATTGGAGGTCAAGAATTTTCTGGTTAGCTCAGGAGATTTTTACAGGGGAGGAGTCTTCAGCTGGAAATGAGGGGCAATCCAAGCCAGTAGCAACTAAGGGATATCCAGTCTCACCCCACGGGGAAATCCTCTGCCCTGGAGACTATTTGGGGAATGTTGAAATGAACAACCTGGTGAGCAAAACTAACACAAACATGTTCACAGGATACAGGCTGCGGGAGCTCTGTGGGTGGTCCAGAAGAGGCTAGCCTCTTCAGACCAAGGGCATCCTGCTTGGTGAGGTTCCTTCCATTTGGAATTTGGTTTTATGTATTTCACAAGGTTACTGGAAAGTTCTGATGAGAAATAGAAATAACAAGGTGTAAAATTAGACAAGTAGGTGAAAGTCCGAAAGGCGAATCAGATACTGTCTTCAGAACTGTGTTGGTATGAATAGAGTATTTTACTAGAAAAAGGATGATGGAAATAGTCTTCGTGAATATACTTCTTTATAAGGTTCCCAATTCCCAGTTATGGTCCTCTTAGGTAGTTTCAGTTTTGTTAAGGAGGTATTGTGAAATTTACAAATCAAAATTTTTTTTTTTTTTTTTTTTTTAGATTTTATTTATTTGACAGAGAGAGACACAGTGAGAGAGGGATCACAAGCAGGGGGAGTGGGAGAGGGAGAAGCAGGCTCCTGGCTGAGCAGGCAGCCCGATGCGGGGCTCGATCCCAGGACCCTGGGATCATGACCTGAGCCGAAGGCAGACGCTTAACGACTGAGCCACCCAGGCGTCCCTACAAATCAAAATTTTTATGTATTTTCATTTTAAATGCCATACTTCATACTTTTCTAAAGAGGGACATGTCAACACTCTAAAAAGCTTCAGAGAAATCATCAAAAAAAAAGTCAAACCACTGCTTCAAAAGGCTGAACATCATTGAGATCGTTTCTATTTATTGAGTACTAGGCAACTGGAGTAATCTGAGAAACCACTAAGCAGATTTTTAAATAAAAATCATTGTAAAATTCTGTCATCGAGAAAAAACTGTAAAATCAATTTAAGTAATAGTCTGTTAACTTGAATCCCCCAGTCTGAAAAGAAGCATTTTGAATAAGCTGAAGAGCTTAATAAGTATCACTGAAGCAACAGTTGTGAGTAGTATAAAGTAAAGGACCAAACAGGCTAGAATGATGAATGGCAAATAAGGAAGGTGACTAACCAAGTATAGGAGGGAGGCACGGCTCAGTGAGGAGAAAGCAGTCAATATTCAGGGTACTTCCAAGAACCAAAAGTATTTGTTAAAATCTGTGTATCCTCTTGCCATTGCAATATCACATTAAGAAGAAAAGTCCTAGGGGCGCCTGGGTGGCTCAGTCGTTAAGCGTCTGCCTTCAGCTCAGGTCATGATCCCAGGGTCCTGCAATCAAGCCCCGCATCAGGCTCCCTGCTCCGCGGGAAGCCTGCTTCTCCCTCTCCCACTCCCCCTGCTTGTGTTCCCTCTCTCGCTGTGTCTCTCCCTGTCAAATAAATAAATAAAATCTTTAAAAAAAAAAAAAAAAGAAGAAAAGTCCTAGAAAATTTGCTTTAGGTATACTTGAACAAAAATGTAAAAAATCAACTTTCTATGGAACTAAAAATAACAGTGATTATTGATAATGTTCTACTGTTATTATTGATAGTGATTTTTGTTCTTGTATACACAAACACACACTCTCACAAACACATAATCTCGCCAGTACTGGCGTGTACCAGCCCTCCCCCCCCCACTTTAGGTACACATGGTAATTGGTGCCATGTCTTCGCAGCTCTGGGGAGACCAACATCACAGAATTTGCAGCCTGGAGTACTTCAGAAATTTCCCAGAATACGCTGATGTACTATAGTGGTCGACTCTTCTGGATCAATGGCTTCAGGATTATCACAGCTCAGGAAATAAGTCAGAGAGCCAGTGTCTCTGTTTTGGAACCAGCCAAATTTGATCAGTTCACGATTATTCAGACGTCCCTCAAGCCTCTGCCAGGTACAAGATTTTATTCCTGCTTACCCTCTCTCCTCCAAACTTTTTGTTAAATAAATGTTTGGGTGGGATTTTTTCTTAATAATTATGTTTTTAAAAGAAAAAGGCTTTAGTAGTTTCCATTGGTTTGCTTGCAGTCAGTTCACTCTTAACCCAAATTTGCAGCATGTGACAGTCAGAAAAAGAAAAATTTCAGGATATATTCAAGGAAAGGTAAACTTTGTTTTGGTACCAATTATTAGTGATTTCTATTAATTTTCCATGTTTTCTATGATGATTGAGAATCTTAAATTCTTTCCCCCTCTATTCTTTCTTTTCATCCCACAGGCAACTTTTCCATTACCCCCAAGGTCATCCCAGATTCTGTTCAAGAGTCTTCATTTAGAATCGAAGGGAATGCTTCAAGTTTTCAAATCCTGTGGAATGCTCCCCCTGCAGTGGATTGGGGCGTAATTTTCTACAGTGTGGAATTCAGTTCTCATTCTCAGGTATAGTGTTGGTTCTAGTAGCTTCCATTTTTCAAGCAGTCTGTACCATCTGCGTCAGCCCTGCCTGCACTGATCTGTGCTTCCTTCATTTAGCCAAGCCCGTCGATTTCCTTTGTTGTTCCCGTAGCATTTGGTTATTAAGATTTTTCCTGAGAACCCTTGTTTATAGCCAGTCTCTGACCATTTTGTGGCTAGTGGTAACAACTGGTTTGTTAGATACATTTTAACTGGTTTATGTGGAGCCACATGGACCTTACCCACATTAGCGTTTCCAAAATTGCACATTTTGACTTTACATGTGAACCGGAGTTTGGGATTTTAGTTAATTAGGAGTAAAGGATTTTATGATTCCCTCACTAAGAAAATAATGTTTTGTTCTTATGTTTTAGTTCCTGGCTAGTGAACAACAGCTTTTACCGATATTTACTGTGGAAGGGCTGGAGCCTTATGCCTTCTTTAATCTCTCTGTCACTCCTTATACGTACTGGGGAAAAGGCCCCAAAACATCTCTGTCACTTCGAGCACCTGAAACAGGTACATGGGTCAGAATCTCTTTTACAAAAGGTAGAACCTCACTTTCCATGATCTAGAATAAATAGCTAATAATTTTTAAAAATAACTGTCAGTTTTGTAGATGTGTTTAGATTCAAGACCCTTTCAATGACTTTTCAGAGATTAGAATAGCACCATTAAAATAAATCTGCATAATTTATTCCAAAAGCATATTTCAAGGATTTCTTAGAGACTGTTTCACTTGATTATCATAATATATCTGATGCAGAAACCTGTTTCAGGAAATTTGTGAAACCCTTGATAAGGAAAATGGGAATATAACAGCAGAGACAATTTCATGGAAGGCGGGCATGTCGGTAGATGTTCCCATGATGGTAGCTCAGAATCTTCCGTAGGTGAATAACTGATGTCTAAATTTAACGTTTCTCTTTGGTATATATTTTAAAAAGGATACTAGTCATATTTTTACATGCATATCGCTATAAAATGTGCAAAGCACATTTATATGTATCACTCCTTTATTAAACATTTATTGCATACTTATCCTGTGTCAGAAACATCATTTCATCCTTTCATTTGACCCTCACCCTGCTCTGAGGAAGGTAGGACAGGTGTTACTATCTCAACTATGCAAATGAGAAAGCAGAAGCCCAGTGGCTGCCCAATGTCACATAGCTAGTTAAGTGGCAGGGCTGGGACTTAATCCAGACTTTTCACTGTAGTTTGATCAAATCTCCATTCAGTCATTTCTGCAAATGGTGGTTAAGGATAGTATCATATTGATTTATTTAATATCAACTTATTAGCACAGGACCTGGCAGGTGGTAAGAGCTCAGTAAGCATAGACATCCATTCACCACTGTGGTTTTTTAACTGCTAAGATTCTTTCAATGATATTTATCCATGAGTCTCATAACAGGAACATAGTGGAGCCTGGGCAGGTTCTGGAGCAGTTAGCATTTGGATCCAGGTATGCTCTCTTCAAGATTGTCTTGGGATGTCAGCTGTGGTCGGACTCTTCTGTGGAAATGGCTTTGTCTGCATCTGTCAGGGGAAGCACCGGGGGCTAAAGTCATCAGCACTCTGCTGGATGTTGGGGGCAATAAAATAAAAAGAAAAGAAAAGATCTAGCCTTTGCCTTCAGGAAATTTACAGTATAGTCGGGAAATTATTCTGATTGACAAATCTTTATTAAGCACTTCCTGTGTGCCAGTCCTATACTAGATTTGAGGGGATTTAACAAAGAATAAGAACATGTGCTTTCTCTCATGGAGCTCATAAAACAGTAGAGATAAACACATGCTTCCAATGGTAGTAGAAATGAGGCTGTGGGAACTGAGCTGCAACGACATAGAGCGAATAGACAAGATGGAAAGCTTCATCTATACCAAGCAGCCCCCGCACTCTTAGGAAAGCGCAGTGCTCATGGATTGGTAGGGCCACTGAAGGCCTTTGGGGAGGGGGAATTCTAGCTGGGCTCTGAGGAATGATGCAAGAAAAGGTATCCCATGTGAGCACAGCGTAAGCAGGCCTGGAGATTGTATTATGATGTGAGTGTCGAACATCGAGCAGCGATGCAATTAGAGTGGAGAGTGGAGCGGGGGAGGGACCTCGTAGAGGAGTCTGAAGAAAGAAGACAGGCATCTTGGATGAAATGACATAGACATCAGGCAGAGGAATTTCTCTTGATTAAGAGGAAGAGAAATTCGTTGAAGGACTGGGAGAGACTAAATTCTTGGTTTGACTCTAGGATTAATGGTAACCACAAACCATACTCTTGGGGGGTACTCCCTGCCGGGGAGGGTTCAAGGTGAGAGTGCCTAGATCCGTGATATGCTTCATGTTACATCCTGAACTGGCTGAAGGCTGGACCGAGTTCCTGCCTTGCTTCCTGTGACAGCCATTTCCACCACCAGCTGAATCACTGTGTCAGGATGAGAGTAAATATTGTATTTTATAAGGAGAGCCAGCCACCCTCCATCTATACAGGGTGCAGATGAGAAAGATGGACCTAAGTCCTGGCAAGAAGTATTTGGGTTGAAGATAAGAAAGATTTGCTGAAATATCAGGATAGGTTCCTGAAGAAATCTGTGGAATATTCTCTTCTGAAGATCTTTAAGAACAAGATAGATACACTTCAGTGGTCTGGAATGAGAAGTACTTATTACTAAGTTTCTCCACACCCTCACCATGAATGGTAAAAAGTCAACCTTTTATTCTTGTCTACCCTATCTGTGTCTCTGCTTTGCAGTTCCGTCGGCACCACAGAACCCCAGGATATTTGTATTACCAAGTGGAAGATACCGTAACCAGAATGAAGTTGTGGTGGAATTTCGATGGAATAAGCCTAAGCATGAAAATGGTGTGTTTACAAGATTTGAAATTTTCTACCAAATATCCAACCAGACAGACACAAATGAAACTTTCAAAGACTGGATCACTATCAATGCAGCTCCCTCGGAGATGTCTTTTCAGCTTGAACACATGAGTCCTGGGTACACTGTCGCCTTCCAGGTAAGAGTGAAAACAGACGAGGGTCTCAACGGTGCAAACAGAAGGTTGATTAAAGGACTAGGTTAAGAATTCAGCCACTGTGTCAATAATTTGAGGTCCACTGTGATCATGGAAGTCAAGTGGGTATCAAGGAATACAGAGGGGAGAGGGGACAGCTAAGGTAAAGGACATCTTGACAACTTCCTGGCTTTCAGACTCAGAACAGACCATTATTTTTTCCTGAGATCACTATAGGCCATGTACCACGGAGGATGCTTTTATATTCCTTATCTCATTTGATCCTCTTATGGTCTGTGAAGAAAAAGCCATGTCCCTGGGTGTATCAGTGAGTTACTAATGCTGCATGGCTAGGAAGTGGTGTGCTATAGTCCAACTCCTAGAGTCCTTTCCACCAGATCACATCACTATTGTGAATCCTCTGGATGCCCCAACTTGGAGCTACCAATGGAAGTAAAAACTGAGGGGCTAGGTAGTTGACATCTCAAAGTTACTGTCTGGTAGCCGATAGAGGAGAAAGTGAGAGAGAATAGGAGTCAAGAATAAAAAGCTACTGCCACCCCATTTGTGCATTTTAACTTTAATGTGAAATAGCTTTCTACTTACGATAGACGGCTTGATGATTTTCATATCTTCATTAAATAGCAAGTTGGTGACAATGTTGTACACATTTAGAACTATTTTCCAACTCTTTTTGGGGAACATAAGGCTTTGGGGAATGTTTTAGAGATTTGAGCATCCTAAGGATCTATTTTCTTTTTGTAAAATCCTAATTTAATAAATATTTTATTAATATATTAGGTTTACCTATATGAATCACAAAAGTTGTACATATAAGTTAAAGATGATACACATTCCTATTTGTTAAGAATTATGTGTATTCTGATTAAATAAATATCTTGGTTAATTTTATCTGTCTATATGTACATGGAGTTTCAGATCTTAGTCACCACAGGACCATGCAAAGTGATATACATGGATATGCATGAGCTTCACTTAACATGGTCTTGTGCAAAAGTGAAGACATCTTGGTATATGTATGTACCATGATACACACACACACACCATATACAGATATTAGTATGTATGATATGGTAAAATATATTTAACACTAGAAGTATAATAAAAATAATCTAATGGTTTGTTGATCGAGAGGGCACTTGAGGATCTACCCTTTGGGTCCATCATTACGGATGTCAATTTTCTTTATAGGCTGTTGTACATATGCAAGGTTTGGAAATGGAAATAATTTATTACACAATAAAAGACATGTAATAAAAACTGTTTTTAAAAAGCTTTGGTACTAGGATGCAGGGCAGCACTGTGGGAAGAAAGTATACGACCCTCAGAAGACATGATTTTTATGCCGGTTTTTGCATGTGTCATTGTGGATGAGTTACTTATCTTTAATTGTAATTTTGTCCAGTTTCTGCTCTTAGTAGTCATGAGGATCAAAAGAGATAATGTATGTAAAAGTGGTTTGAGATGCACAACTTTTTTTCAAATATAAGTTTTAATGATTATTTTCCTTTTCTAAATCTCCTTTTTTAAAAGTATAGTAAATTTAGTTATTTAAAGCTTCTACTTGTTTATTTCACAGTAAGTGGAAATTTACCATAATATGCATAGTTTTGTTTCTGTAGAATGTTCTACATAATTTAATTGTGAAAATAGCTAAAAACCTTTCTTAGAAATTCAAATCTTTTGCAGTGGAGATTTGTGCCATTATTTTGTACTCTTTTAGACAAAAACAACAACAACAATAAAAAACAAACCACAAGCATGAATGTGAGGCAATATTTACCTCTTAGTGATTTGTTGCTTTATACTCAGATGGAAGTAACTATTTGAAACTATTCAGTCAGAGAAAGACAAATACTGTATGATTTCACTCATATGTGGAATTTAAGAACAAAACAGATTAACATATGGGAAGGGGGAAAAAAGAGGGAGGCAAAACATAAAAGACTCTTATCTACAGAGGACAGACTGAGAGTTGCTGGAGGGGAGGTGGGTGGGGATGGGCTACATGCGTGATGGGTACAAAGGAGGACACTTGTGATAAACACCGGGTGTTGTATGTAAGTAATGGATCATTAAATTCTACTCCTGGAACTAATATTACACTGTATGTTAACTCACTGGAATTTAAATAAAAACTTGAAAAAAAGAAACTTCATAATCGATATCAGAATTGTGAAATGAAAGCTTCAATAATCTATCAGTCTCAGAATGTAATTATTTTCATCGAGGACACCATTGAATGCAATTTTTTTGGTATCCTTTTCTTTCTTTAGGTTCGAGTCTTCACATCCAAAGGACCTGGGCCATTTTCTGACATAGTAAAGTCCAAAACATCAGGTATTTGTTACCTAAAAAACATTCTTGACTGTTGGTATTCTCAGGGATATGAAGCTGTCTCTGAGCTGAAGTTCAAGTCAAATAATAAATTTTTATCATCACTGAACACACTTAAATAAACCTAAGCATAGGGCGCCTGGATAGTGTTGACTGAGACTGGAACAGTAGATGAACCCAGAGGAAACCTATGGATTTCAGAATAGCCTAGTGAATCAGGGGATTTTGCCAAACCAAAGTTTTGGTTTTTTTTTTTTTTTTCCCTTATACATATTATAAGTGTTTTGTTTCTTATTTTCAGAAATTAGCCCATTTCCATACCTCATAACTCTTTTTGACAGCAAGATAGTTCTATTAGATATGGATCAAAGTCAAATTGTTTGGACGTTCTCAACAGAAAGAGACATCAGTAGCGTGGGCTATACGGCTGATGATGGAATGGGCTATTATGCTCAAGGAGACTCACTCTGCCTTCTGAACATGCACAACAGGTCCACTTCTGAGGTATTTCACTATGTAAATATTCTGGAAGGAAGGATGTGGATAATTTGCATATCACACTACCCTGTAATTAAAATGATTGGTCAGTGGTTGAGCCATTAAGATAAGAATGGTTGAAGAGGACAGATGTTGTATGCTTATTTAGTCACAAATGAATAGAGATTAGATTTTGGGCAAATGTCATTCAGGACTAATTTAGTAAATAGTTATTTGGTATAAGGCACTGTGTTAGTTCCTGGGATAGAAGAAAAAAAATCACAGTCCTTGAACAAACCCAGTTAGGTATTAGTCTAACACTAGGAAGACAGTCCTGTAGCTATTAAGGGGTGAGATTTGGGATCTGAAATTTAGAATTTAATTCTGGCTTCACCACTTACTAAATCTGACCCTCAGAAAGCTATTTAACTACTGATTATGTGGTATCTGGTCATAGGACTCCTGTGAAGATTAAATGAGATAATCTAGGTGAGGCACTGAACATGATGCCAGGAATGTGGTGGCATTCACTGAATAGAGCAGACAGACAGAAGACAGTATTGTGCTATGCTGAGGGCAGGATGTGGTGGTATCACAGAAAATGGGTGATCAATCCAGGTTGGAGTGGTGATGGTGGTGGTAGAATGGAAAGACATGTTAGGTTCAAAGAAGATGAGCCAGGTGAAAGTGGAAAAAGCTGAGGGGGTAGTAAGAGTAAAGACAGGGAAACGAGAGCCGTACCACATTTAGGAGACTATAAATAGAGTGAGCTTGGAATGGAGATGGGGGTGAGGATGAGAGACGGATAGGTGGTAAAGCTGGAGAAGTAGGCAGGAGCCTCAATATAATGGGCCTCCTTCACCATGCTAAGGTGTGGAATGCCAATCCTGAAGACCACATCAAGCCATTAAGGAAACTTAGTGGGTCATTCACATGATTAAGTTATGTTATAGAAAGACCTCTCTCTATAAGTGGTGTGAATTATGACTTAGAGAAGGTTAAGTCTTAGACAATTAGGAGGCTATCACAGAACCCCAGAGGAAATGTTAGGCAGGAAGTGAGAGGCAGTGAGATGAGAAAGGAGAGGACAAATCTGGGACATATTTAAAATGGGACTAATTCACGATGGGCAGTCATGATAGGAAGAAGTCAAGGATGAACCACATTTGTCAGGATTGCTCCTCAGGTGAGTGTTGGAAATCCATAAAAATATACCATGCAGGAGAAAAGAAGGTTTTGGGGGTGGAGTGATGAATTCTGTTTTCTGGGGTCATTCATATGGAGATGTTCAGTAGTCAGTTTGAATCAGTAACTCAGTGAGGGATCTTGCTACTGTTCTTGTAGCATTGGTCTATGAATTATAGTTGAAGTCATGATAGTTGAAATTAACCAAGAGAAAGAATACAATGTGGGAAGAGGACCAGTGTTACAATGGTACACAGTCCAGAGCTATTGAGATTTTGGATTACAAAGAAGTGCAGTAAATAAGTAATACGGTAGATTACAGAAAAGTCCTCAAATTAAAAAAAAAAATGACCACTGTCTCCTTGGCTGTGTTTTCTACCTATTGTTAAGATTTTCCGAGATACACTGGTTTTTGATATCACAATTATTACAATTGACTGGATTTCAAGGCATCTTTACTTTGTGCGAAAAGCATCACAAAATGGAATGCAAATATTTGATGTTGATCTTGAACACAAGGTGAAATACCCCAGAAAGCTGAAAATTTGCAATAGAAATTCAACAATAGTCTCTTTTTCAGTATATCCTCTTTTAAGGTATGTAAAGTATGAGTATCTGTTTCTGTTGTGATGAAATAGAGACATTTAATATAATATCCGGTTTAATATTAGAAGTCATCAATGGGAAAATAAGATACTTAGTGTTCTTGACTAGCTACATTAATTCATAGTAAGTAATTCTACACATAAATTATGAGCCCACAGCCACAAATTTGTAAATTTAATCCATACTGACAACTTGGCTAACCTAAAGTCATGGTAATTACCAACAGGAAACCAAAGCAGATTTTTATACCAGTGGATTTCCTAATATCCTCGGATGATAAGGATGAGAGGGGCAAGAGATGAATAGGAGATAGACAGGCTACATGTCAGGCCCAGTGAAAGCTATTCTGGGCTCATCCATCTTTAATTAATGTCCTTGTAAGATGAGTTTTAAGGCCTCCATTCAGCAACTGAATAGCAGTTTCTCAGGCTGAAAGATATATTTTGTTTGTGCCATAAGCATGGTTATAGTCTTGAAACTAGATGGTTAACCAGTATTGAGAAACAGAAACAAGCTTGAGAGGAGGGGGATGGAGATGGGCGTTGATGGAGAGCGTGCAAATATATGTCACATTTACAGCCATTAATGACTCATTGCATACAGCACCTCAAGGTCATTTTAGTCCAAGGCTTTAGTTGTAAACACAGTTATTGAGAAAGCATGGGAAACTGCTACAAACTAGACTGCTTATGGCCACCTCCATCTCAGAAGGTTATTGGACACTTGGACATGTTCTCTCAAAGGCTGTATTTGTCTCTCCAGTCATTAGGAATGATTAATCCTCATTGGAACCTAACATTTACAATGATGTTTTACTTATTAAGTTGGAGGGTCTTTTTTTTCCCCCTATAGTCGCCTGTATTGGACAGAAGTTTCAGACTTTGGCTCTCAGATGTTCTACTACAGTATTATCAACCAGACCTTGAGTCACATTCTTCCACCCATAGCTACAAACCATTCAAATGGAAGGAGTCAGTGTTTTTGTGGTGTTACTCAATTTGAGTTTAGTGGAACAATGACGATTGATACCTCTGACCTAAAGAAACCGCAGATATATTTTGTCAAAGGGCAAGAGATCTGGGCCATGGATCTGGAAGGATGTCGGTGCTGGCCAGTTATCATGGTGCCCACTCTGCTTGGTAAGACATCCATATGTGTACATAGATGCTCATCAGTAATGGCAGTCCCTCCTGTTCCATTAAAAAGAATATATTCAAAAGAATCTACACATGGTATTTGCTCTGGACCTTGCCAAATGTTCATGTAGAATTTAAGTCAAGTTGTTTCTAGGAAAATTGTATATAGACATTCACAAAATTTGTTGGATCCATGGGTTTCTTTGTTGTTTTTGCTATTATTTTATAATTAACAGTAGAGCTACAATTTATTGAGCTTAACTATATTCTAAGCAAGCTACCAAATGTACTACCTCATTTAATTTTCAAAGCACCTTGATGAAGTAGATGCTAGTGTCCTCATTTTATGGATGAGGAAACTGAGGCTGAGAAAGATAAGGTACTTATCCAGAGGGCCATGATTGGTGGGGGAGTTGGGGTTTGAAGCTGGGCCTGACTATAGCATCCATGATGTTACTACCAGCACCTTACTTTGCTTCTGTTGTGATGGTCCCATTGACTCCATATTCAGCATGAGTTGGTCAATATTTGACAGGTCTATTTGTTGAAATGCACATGCTTGTGGAGGAAATACTTAAATGTCTGAAATGATTTGGAGGTCTTCTAATTAGGAGTAACTGCAATAGGACAAAAATGCACTCTAAATACCTACATGTATTCTTTTTTAAAAAAAAGTCATTTTATTTATTTATTTGAGAGAGAGAGAGAGAATTTGCATGAGAGGGGAGGGGAAGGACAAAGGGGGAGGGGGAGGGACAAGCAGACTCTGCGTCAGCCTGAAGTCCTACTCCTGGCTGGATCTCACGACCCTGAGATCATGACCTGAGCCGAAATCAAGAGTTGGACTCCTAACCAACTGAGCCGCCCAGGAGCCCCTACTTTCATATATTCTTTTCTTTTTTTTTTAAAGATTTATTTATTTGACACACAGAGAGAGAGACAGCAGTGAGAGAGGGAACATAAGCAGGGGGAGCGGGAGAAGGAGAAGCAGGCTTCCCACTGAGCAGGGAGTCCTATGTGGGGCTTGATCCCAGGACTCTGGGATCATGACCCGAGCCAAAGGCAGACACTTAACGACTGAGGCACCCAGGACCCCCTACTCTCATATATTCTTAAGAGTCTACTCCTCACTGTCCACTGTAGTAACCACCAGTCACATGTGATTTAAGTTCAAACTAACTAAAATTAACTGAAATTAAAAATTTAATTCTGTAGTCACATGAGCCACATTTTAAGTGCTTAAAAACCACATGGTTATTGTGTTGGGCAGCGTAGATATAAAATATTTCCATCATCACAAGTGCTATTGGACATTGCTGGTCTATATAGTAAAGTTTTGAAATTGCAAATGAGTGTGTATATATGTGTCTGTATTATAACTGCACATATGGTTTTGTTGACATGTTACTTAGAGCCTTTTAGGAACAATTTCAATATACTTTCAATGGGCTTTAGAAATAATGTTTTGAACTTCTCTTCTTAGGAGAATTACTTGTTTCTGTTCAGTCTGTGACAAAGACTTTCCTTGATCAAACATTAGGCTCCTCTGAAACCTTTCCTCAACTAGGCCTTGACCTTGGTCTTCCAAGTCTGTCATTGCTGAGTCTAGTTTTAGCAAGAATCTTGCTAAATCAGTTTAGAGATAATCCCCACCCTTGGTATCTGATGAAGTTCTTCATCCCCCACCCTTGATGTTCTTGAATTGCCTTTAGCAAAAAATCATAGTAAGCCTATTTAGCAAGAATCTCCCTATCCTTGATGTCTCCTCTTAGTAATTTTCTGTCCATGCATCCCCTCACTCTGTTGGCTCCGCATCCCCAGCTGACTTTGTTGTATGTGAAGTTGAGCACATCTCTCTCCCCCACTGCAGTATTACAGTAGTCTTAAGTCTTCCTTACCATTTAAACAAGTGTCAGAATAATTTTTCTTTATCATCTGATACACAAGAATTATCTAATGGGCCATTATCTTGTAGGTATAGAACTGGTTAGTCTTACAAGAATCCGTAATTGAAATTTATAACCCTAAAATTAGAATATCTAAATGACTTTAAAGATCCTTTAGCTGGTATGTTGTTGGAAGAAATCCCCTCTATGAAAACACCCTTGCTTGAACACCTGCTTATAAAAAAATCTTCTTTATAAGGAAGTGTTTAAATATTTTGCAACGATTCTAAATATTGGATTTTTCCCCCTATATTTCGCCAAAGTTTTCTCCCCATTTTTCCCATTCATTGGTCTGAGTTCTGACCTCTAACTTTATAAAGAAGAAATCAATCACTCTCTACACAATAACCATTCAGATATGTTGGGGCGACTGTCATAGCTCATTCTAAGTACTTCTATTGGAGGAAAAATTCATGTATCTGTAACTACTCCTCACATGATGTGGCTTCTAGATCATTCTTTGCCCTAATAACCCTCCTGTGGTTTCACTCCAGCTGCTTGATATCCTCTTAAATGTCACCCCCAAAAGCGACTCCCTGTACTCTCACTGTGATCTGGTTAGTGCAGGGAGCCTCCGACTTCCTCTGTCTTCTTTTATTGGAGGTAAATGGGCCTCATGTCTTGAGGTTGCCTGCCATTTGAAAACCCCATAGGCTTTTTCATGGTAACTATTATTAAGCCAGATTTCTTTCATTTGTTATTTATAGGGTTGATTTTAAGCTTGAATTTAGGATGCCACATTTATTCCTATTAAATTTCAATCCGTTTCCTGATTTTGTTGTGATATTTTCAAGTTTTAAGTCAGTGATTGAACATACTAGTGTCAGTAGAATCAGGTATTCTGTTCAAATTTGGTAAGTGTGTTTACTCTGCATTTATTCCTATTCATTGATAAAAAATAATTGAGCAAGACAGAGCCCTGGGCCTATCTTCTAACACCTCTCTTCCAATAGGCCTTGCTTGAGGTGGAGTCACACAAGTTAAGTTGTAAATCTTGGCTCTGCCCTTTACTAATTTTGTGACCTTGAGGAGATTATTTAACTCCTCAAAGCCTCAGTTTCCACTTCTACAAAATGAGGCTAATAATAATAGTATTTACCTTATTGACTTAGGATGGAGCTAAAATGAGAAAATATCTATAAAATCTTCATGACATAAAATAAAGGTGGTATTTTTTTCCATATTGAAAATTTAGCTATTACAATACAGAAAAAGGATTTCACATATTGTGTAGAGTAGAAACATACGCTATGTATTTTGTTCTTTGTGTTCTTTATTCTGCGTTTTTCACGAGCAGGAAAAACACTCGAAAGCTTAACTGTGGATGGGGAATTTCTATACTGGATCTCCTCGGCAAAGGACAGCACACAGATTTATCAAGCAAAGAAAAGCAATGGGGCCATTGTCTCTCTGGTGAAGGCTGAAAGGAGTAAGCGTATCTTGGCTTACAGTTCGGTTCTGCAGCCTTTTCCAGGTAATTAGATCACCCCCTTAATGAGCATGTTCTCCCAGTTTAGGGTCAGAAAAGTCTCAGAATGTGTCCTTCTCCAGGCTGTCCCCCCAAGCCCTTCGTTATGCTCAGCGTTACTCCAATCTGTCAGGATTGGTGCACACTGTGATTGCTGTTTGCCCTGGATCATAATTTATCTCCATGTGTATACAAGGCTTGGCTGTGGTAGACAACTTTAGACAGTGGAAATCCTTGTCTGTCATTCTCTCTGTCTGTCCTCTTTCTGTTCTCATTCCCATAATTTCTCTTCTTTCTGTCTTTTCTCCTCTGACAACATTTTAGACCTCCCAGTCCATCAAAAAGCACCGCATTAAATTTCGGGTCTTTTTCAGAGTAAAGTGCTGTATTTATTGTAGTAATTTGTGTATCAGCCATTTATCATGTGTACATGTGTGCTAGCATTTTTATTAAGTTCCTATCTTTTTTGGTAATGTGTCACTCATAACATGTTTTACTGTCGTGCCTCTAACTCTGTCTCCCCCATAAACCCTGTGGATTTTATTATGCTGTTTTGTATAATGCAGTGACTTTCAGGGATGTCTGTATGGCACTATGTATGTATGGCAGAACTAGCTATGTGATTCATTTTTCACTTTGAGAAATTTAAGAAATTTAGTAAGTCCGTGCAACATCTGTTTGAAATTGAACACACACATATACGCATACATCCTTAAAAATAAAAGCCCTAAACCTAGCATGAGTTTTTGTAACTGGAATTAAGTGAAAAGATATGATTAATATAATGCTGTCATTACTTTCTTCGAAGTAAAAAAAGGGTCAACTTGATTTTGCTATGTACATTATTCAGTGTTCTTTAGCTCCACCTGCTGGAGATTTTGAGCACTGATCAGTTACCTTGCTCCTTTTTTTCTGAGGCATTTAAGGACTTCAAAATGTATGGGGAAAAAACCCAAAAAACCAAAAAACCAAAACCAAGAAACAACCTTGTCTTCCTTTCCTGAAAAACATATCCAACACTTCATTATATCATACATTGTCAGCTAAATAAGAAAAAAAAAGAGACGTTATTATCCTTGATGTTAAATAAACCTGCTGTTCCTCTTTTATACAGATATGTGCATATTTTTAATCTTTTCTTATTATTTTAGATAAAGCATTACTGCATCTAGCTTCAGATATAGCAGAGCCAGTTATATTTAACACCACTAACACCAGCCTCACAATCCGATTACTGCCCACCAGGACCAACCTCTCGTGGCCCGACATCACCAGCCCTACTCCAACATACCTGGTTTATTACAAAGAAGTTAATGACAGGAAAACCAGCTCTGAGCTGAAATATAAAATGCTGGTAAGATTGGAGCTGGTGGTCCTTGTCTTTTCACAAGATACCTTGTTTCTGATATAAAATTCTCATTCAGGGCGCCTGGGTGTCTCAGTGGGTTAAGCATCTGCCTTGGGCTCAGGTCACGATCCCAGGGTCCTGGGATGGAGCCAGTCACTGGGCTCCCTGCTGAGCAGGGAGCCTGCTTCTGCTGCTCCCCCTGCTTGTGCTCTCTCTCTCGCTGTCCCTCTCTCTCTCAAATAACTAAATAAAATCTTAAAAAAATAAAATTCTCACTCGCAGTGAAGTATTTCGTATATTCTGAAACATGCAACTGTGTAGACTTTTACAGCTTATTCATCAAAGCAGATGGTGTTCTAGTCTTGTCTGGGAATTAAGCTTCAGGGAAGTATATTAACTCTGACCAGTGGTGGATTGCCATAGTGACAGTTTCCTGAGTCCTCCCTCCCTGACTAATTATCCCTCCCTGACTAATTATCCCCAGAAAGTGATAGAGATGTGTTTTTGTGGCCTATGCGGCAGATTGTAAGTTGAGGGATAAGAAATGATTAGACGGAAAGAACATGACTGTATACCCCTCCTCCATAGCACATATTTAATATAAAAATGGTATGTTCTATTTTTGTCTGTTATTTCCTGTATGCTGTGCAATGTGCTGTTATGTAGGGACTATGTCTGAGTTTATTTGTCATTGTGTTCTTAACACCTAGTGTAATAGTTGGCTTTGTAGAGGCTTTCACTCGATAGTTCTTGAATGGATGAATTAGTTGGCACAATTCAGTCTCTCACTGGCACTCGTGCCTGTTTCAGTTGTCCTTGTGATGGAGTCATATGCATCCAATATTTTGCTCTATGCTTGTTATTTAACCAAGTCAAAAGGTGAAATTGACCATCATCTGTTGGAAGTTAAGCACTATATACTTTTCCAGAAAGGACACATGATTCTTGTTATTTCCTTTATTTTGTCTATTTTAACCTTTCTTTACACATTTCAATGTATCAGAGACAGCTGGGATCATTTGGCTGAAAAAGATTGGGCCGCTGGTACCGAGAGTTCTGTTACTGCAGCTGATCGATCCTGTTGTCTTCACACTGATGAATATGTGTCCGAGGCAGTGGTTCTCCAGCCTGACTGCACATTGGGGTTTTAAAAATCTCTGGGCCCACACTTCTCCTCCGACCAGTGCAATCAGAATTTCTGGGGGGTGGGACCCAGGCACAAGTGTTTTCTTAAGACTTTCCAGATGATTCCATAGTACAACCGAAGTTGAGAACCGTGGCTCTAAGGAAAGCATTTTTACTTTCTTAAGCGTTACCTCTAAGAATGATGAGAGATAATCCAGCTTCATCTTTCATCATATTCACTTAGGTTGGTCACATCTTTACCAGACCATCTTGCTGAATGTTTGTTGCAGTGCTGGAGAAATAATATCCTCTTCTGAGAACTAAGCTTCATATGTGAAATGAGCATGTTACAGAATTGACCAAGGGCTGCCCATCATTTTGTATTTATTCTTGGAGGTATTAGGCAACTCAGGTCTGGGCAGATTAGGGCGGTGAACATGATCGTTCTCATGATCCAATATCAAAAAATAAATTAACTTCAAAAAATCTTTTAATTATCTTCTCCCTTTGGTTAAATATTTCTCCTCCTTTGTACAAAAAAATAATCAGGTATTGATTTTTAAAAATTAATTACAGGAGTTTCAGGAGAGGATAGTCCTTATTGATGGTTTACAACCATTTTCAACATATGTGATACAGACAGCTGTAAAGAATTATTATTCAGACCCTGTGGAACGGTTACCTCTGGGAAAAAAGATCTGGGGAAAAACTAGAAGTGGAGGTGAGTTATGGGCTTGGGGCGGGTTTCTAGAGTGGCATTTCGTGATGTAGGTGACATATATATCTGTATTTGTTTTTTTAAATTTGGATGCTAAGTAATCTTGATTATGTGAGCTTTTTAAGCTTAATAAGAAAAATGTATTGTTGAAAATACCCTGATGACCTGAATTGTACTCTAACAACAGATGACTATTATTCCATCGGAATGAAAATCAACTAGAAGGTGAAACATCAGAGTCAAACATACTGTTTGACCAAGAAACACATTCTCTGGTCTCACCACAGAGTGTCACCCTCTCCCCACGTAGTCACAGGTGTCTGTGCGCGCGGAGACAGAAGTCAGCCTCTTTGTGTGAATTTTACCAAGGCCACCACTGAGATTGAAAGTAAATAACATCATTGCCTGAAAGAAAATGGATCTAGACTCTAAAGAGACATTCTAAGTGGTGGTGGTGATTTTGAGGTGATGCCATTTCTTTCAGATGTCTCTGATGACATTCCCCAGTCGAATCTGAGTCCGTTTATTCATCCTCATTGGCCGTATCATTGAGCTGGAATCAGAGAATGAGTTAGTCCTTAGGCAAAAATAAGCGAGAGCCTTTCAGGCAGCCCTTTGACTTTCTGTGTTACTGTGATATGAGAGACTGGTTTTCCTTTGGAACATCTGTCATTTGTTCTGCTCGCATGATATGGTTATTCCGCAACCAAGACCCCGTTCCTTCTTCCATCGTTCAGTGCTGATGCAACATTCCTTATCATTTGTTGCTATTTGTTTCAGTGCCTGAGGCAGTTAGGCTCATTAACACAACTGTGCAGTCAGACACCAGCCTCCTTATATCCTGGAGAGAATCTCACAAGCCAAATGGACCCAAAGAGTCAGTCCGCTATCAGTTGGCAATCTCACATCTGGCTCTAATTCCAGAGACCCCTCTAAGACCAAGTGAATATCCAAATGGAAGACTCGCTCTCCATGTTACTAGACTGTCCGGTGGGAAACTGTATGTGTTAAAGGTACAGTGAGTGTCTTGGGCGCTTTTATTGCCGTTCTCAAGTGCAGGGCTCTGAAAAGGTTAAGCAATTGTTCTTTTTTACAAAAAGGTTCTGGCCTGCCATGCTGAGGAAATGTGGTGTGCTGAGAGTCATCCTGTCGCTGTCAAAATGTTTGACACACCGGAGAAACCGTATGCCTTGGTTCCAGAGAACACCAGTTTGCAATTAGATTGGAAGGCTCCATCTGATGTTAACCTCACCAGATTTTGGTTTGAACTCCAGAAGGTAGATCTCACCATACACGTTTCATGCAAATCTGTGTTTTATGCTATGGGATAAATTAGAAGACCTTTTTCATATGTCTAGAGTTTTCTCCTGTATAAATCAACAATATATTTTACAACATTCATTGATTTAGGTTTGCCATATACAGAAGCTATCTAAACTCATTTCTGACGCAAAGAATTTCCAGAGAGATTAGTTTGCTCTTAAAAAGGCTCCGTGGAAAAGGGTTTAAGCTATGGTTTACTGGTTTTCATAATATTTCACTTAGTTTAGATATTATCAGCATGGCTGTCTAGTTTAAAGTCCATAGCAATTTGGTGTTTTCTGTGAAAAAAATAAAAAAAATGAACGAGCAAACGAACAACACCCAAAACCTTGTTTAGAAATATTCTTTCCGCCATTTAAGGGCTGTGTAGCAACAAGAGAGATGTAAAATATAAACTGAGTTTATTCTAAACTAGTTTGATCTTGGGCTATAAAATTTAGAAGTTTCCTCGTCCAAAAATCTTCATGCTTTTTCCAATATAAAAACATCCACTGAATATGAAAGCATTAATTAATCTAATTAAGTCACTGCTGGGGAGAGTCTATGTTGATTTTTATATTGATACACTTAAAATGGATTATTTTTAATAATTGCTAGATTTCATTTTCAGTAGTATATATTTTGTGTGTCCACATTTGTAAAGATTGGTTAGGAATCTTTTGTTCAGTTGTAACAAAAACAAAGCAGTATAGTCATGGCCTGGCTTTTTTTAAAAAATGGAGTTCCTCCCCTGGATGTTTTTAAATTCTACTATGTGAGATATTTTCTATGATCTTGTACTTTTTAGATAAAATCTATGAAAACTGTGTAACCACAGTGAATGTCGAGTTGATAAAACCGAAGTCTGTAGTTTAGTTGGACTTCTTCCACTGAGCATGTTTTTTTTTTTTTTTTTTTAAAGATTTTATTTATTTATTTGACAGAGAGAGACATAGCGAGAGAGGGAACACAAGCAGGGGGAGTGGGAGAGGGAGAAGCAGGCTCCCCGCAGAGCAGGGAGCCCGATGCGGACTCGATCCTAGGACCCTGGGATCATGACCTGAGCCGAAGGCAGTCGCTTAACCAACTGAGCCACCCAGGCGTCCTCCACTGAGCATGTTTATGATGATTTGTTGCCTATTTAAAAAATGATCCTCTTATAAAAATGTAGTTAAATTGGAGGGTCACCTTTTTTAGGACATCTATTTAAGTAAGCTTAATGCAGTTTAAAGGCAAGGTGGGGGATGTAAAAAGTTTATTTCCTACGTTAAAGAAATGAGATGGGGATGGGCCTTACATCTGGTGACTCTAAGCCCCTCCTTTTACCAGTGAGAAGTCGGAGAGCCAGACAGGTGCTATAGTGAGTCAGATATCACAAGCCAGGCAGGGAAGAGCCCTGGGGGCTGACTCATCCTACAGCAGTCCTACTTGGGTACTATCCATGGAAGGAATGTGAGTCACTAAGGACCCACCCCACTCCTCAAAGTTTGGGACAAGGACAGCAGGCTGGGCCTGCCTGGTTCAGTCCTTGTGACTTTCATGCAATGCTCTTTGTTTCAAAACTTCCTCTACACTTGCTGAAAACCAGATATACCACATAGAAAACCTTGAAGCTGAGGAGGTAGGGTACAGTAATTTTCACAGGTGTGACCATGTACCAGCACTAATTGCTGAGCACAATAGAAGGCTGTGTCCTGAGAGGGTTGATGAGTCCATCTAGTCAGAAAGTTCTGTATCTTTTGAGTAACTTGAACCTACCTCATAATGATAGGACAGCTAGGAATGATCCTATAACTCCAGATTGAAACTCCGAGGGGTGAGTGTAAGGGTGAATATGTATCTTTTTAATTAATAATTTTTAAAAATTCTTTCTAGGAAAGAAGGAGAAAAGGATAAATTTACAGTTTTCATCTTTGTTGTTAAAATTTCCTTCTATAGAAAATGAAGGAATTAGATTACAAGGCTAAATTTCTATCTAGGTCTTAAATTCCACAGATCTTTTTTTTTTTTTAAATCACAACAGTGTATAGAAGAAGAACATATTTAATTTAAGATTGAGGAGAAGCAAGTAGTTTCACTTTGGTAAATTATTTTCATGGAAGCCCATTAAAAGTTGAGTGTTTCTCAACTGTCCAAGAAAGTTCCTATCAGAACCAAACATTTCTGAAGTTCCGGTCTCTGAGACATGGTAGTCTGCACCATTTCCTCCACACCCCCGCCCAAATAATTTGAAAATCCCACTGTGGTATTGAAAATCACCCCTGCACTTGTTGGCTTCTGACAAATGGAAGGTCCTGACTCCCTTGTGATTTACTGGGGTAGCCATGGCACCTCTCCAAGTTGGTGGTCTGCCCGGAACATTCATTGCTGTGGGCTGTGGCAAGGCCAGTACTTGACAGCTTTCCAGCAGAACCCTTGGTCACACATCTGACCTTCCAAGGAGCTTTGATCATTTCTGGATGATATGGAATGTTAGGTCATCTCGACTATTCACTTCAGGTAGTTTCTATAGCAGGTTATTAAGGAGGCAGGGCCACAAAGGGCTAAAATTTTTGAGCCAGAAATCAATATTTATCTGTCTCTCTCTCTCTCTCTCCCATGGTTCAGAGTAAATATTATGGACCCAGTGTATCTCTTTCTTTAGCCTGTATGTCATAGTGGGATTGATCCATTTATGAATTTAGCAGGCAATGGCCCAGACATCGGCATTTCTGTATTTTTTCCCCATTCCTTCCATCCCCCCTTTGCCTCTTTCTTTTTGTAACAAGGTGGTCTACTCCCCAAAGGTGCTATAGGAACCATTCCTTATTGAATAGAAAACTAATATAAAGTGTCCATCCAATGAAATGATGTGACCTTGTGAGCACGAAATGAAAAACGAGATGTAAAGTAAGGTTTATTTATGGAAACTGACCTTCTTAGGAAACTCTACTGGAGAAAATACACTAAGAACCCTTGACAGAATGCCACATTCTCTGTCTTTCCCTACTTGTACATTGAAAAAAAAATCTCCATTTTCAAATAAGATATTAAGGGTCCAAATACACAGATTTTTTAAAAGCCATGCACAAAGAAAGTGTAAAATAGCTATAAATAGAGACCTAGGATCTACAGTGGAATGAAAGTAAGATTTCCTATATTTAACTTCTAACCTTACTAATTGGTAGCTGAGTGATGGTGGGTAGAAATTTCCCGCTTTTAGGGAACTAGGCTTTGTATATATAAAAATAAGGAATGCTGATTAGAGGTCTGGAAAGAGTTTTGGAGGAAGAAACTAAATGTTTTAATTTATAAGTCACTGTGGACCTCTTGAAAGAAACGAAGTATGTAAAAATATTATTGATTTGAAATTAGCAAATACACAGAATTAAAAATATTGTTGTTTTGATCCATCACGGTCCCTCAGCTGTGAATTTGCATTCTCAGCCATCCTGATTTAAGGTAGGTGTCTCCAATTAGGGATAACAAAAAGCTAAGCTTCAAATCTTCCAAAATAATATATATATAGTAAGAGGTTCATGTCCCACCTTGGACTAATCCTAAGAACCATTATTCAAGTCAGTTATAGCTTGTCACAAAAACAGAAAAACTAAAAACAAAAAAACAAAACAAAAAAACCCCATAAAGTGGCCGTCAGTGGTGGAGATGTTTGGGATCAAACATTAATGAAGAAGCTTTTATTTTTTTAACAGAAAATACATTTGAATAAGTTTTTAATTGCTTGCCATAGACTTGTGAATTTCTATGTTTAAGAGGATTTTCTTAAAGAAACAACAAAAAAATGTTACTTGAGACTTCTTTTTCCAGTGGAAAGACAATGAGTTTTCCCGTGTTAACACTTCATGCATCCAAGGCCTGGCTTATGTGTGTAACATCACAGATCTACAGCCTTACACGTCCTATACTGTCCGCGTAGTGGTGGTTTATAGGACAGGAGAAAATAGCACCTCACTCCCAGAAAGCTTTAAGACAAAAGGTGAGTACTAACATCCTCGGTACTCAAAAAACTCCTATAAGTTTCTCAGTGCCTCTCTTATCACTTTTTTCACCAATTCTAGAGGTTAACCTTTTCTTAAAAGGTGTAAATTACTATCTCTAGAGCTTGAGTGAAGAAACTGAAAAGAACCAGGAGTCCTTACAAGCATTAACGAGGTAATACCGGCCTGGTCTTGCAGAATCCTGAACTGGGCAAGATTATTTTGCCTTTCAGTATCCTCTGCTTTCTTGTCTGGCTGACATTTTGCAGTGAGAACTAAATGAAAACAGTGTTACTGAGTGTTCAACACATATTTACTCACTGACTACTATATTCCAGATGCTAAAAATAAAAAAAATCCAAAAGGAATGTTAATTAGTGATCCCTATAAGTTGATCCCTATAAGAATCAAGGGAAAAATGCTCCAAAATTTACAGTTTTCTTTGCATCACTTATTTTGTGGTGAGCTGAGATATGTTATTATTCCTATCACTAATCCATCTAATCCATCATTAGTAAAAACTTCGGATACTCATTTAAAAATATACACTCATATCAGAGTATTTCTGAATATTTCTTTAATGTATTTGGCTTTTCTTTTTGGAAATGTATCCTATAGAAAGATGGTGTGCAGAATATTTTATATTTCTGATGTATCAGTCAGCATTTTCTTATGTTTCCAAAGCTGGAGTACCAAGTAAACCAGGCATTCCAAAAGTATTAGAAGGGAGCAAAGATTCAATACAGTGGGAAAAAGCCGAAGATAATGGAAGCCGGCTTATGTACTATATCCTTGAGATCAGGTACGTCTGTTTGCAAAAGTGCTTTGTAAACTACAAAGAGCTAAGCAGTTAATTGTAAGGTATTATTAGATCGAAATTAACAATATTTATGAATGTGTATTTATAAATAAATATGAAGGATCTTTAGTTGAAGGACCTTGAGTGCACCATTATGTTCTCTGCTCAATTCCTAGCAGTCAGCCTCAGCACTCCAATTATAAGGCAGATCACATCATTGTTCTCGGAAATCTGCAACTACTTGTCCGAACTTTATGGAAATAATCCAATCATTGAAACATGCAACTAATATTTATTTAATATCTATTTCGTTCAAGAAGCTGAGCTGATGTTTGCTGTTAGATGATGGTATGCATGTAAATTTCTGATGATGATTTGTTTTAGCAAGATGAATAAAGCCTAGTGAGAACCGGCAGTGAACTAGGTATTTTTCAGAATGTAAAAGTAGGTCAAGGTCCAAAATGATCTGACCTGTATAGGTCACACAGGATTCTTTATCCATTGTGAAGATTGCAGTTTGCAGTATGCTCCCAAGAGTCTGAAAATGTGCCTTCAGTGAAAACCGTGCTGCTGATGAACATAAGCAACCTCAGAGCCGGCCAGTATGGGGAGCTCTGTAAATGGTAACTGGCTCAGATGGACTGATTTCATGCCAACTTGAGGGGAGAATTCCAAATTCCACAGACACTCCCCTCGCAGGTCCATGAAGCTATCTTTTAAGAAGCTCCAAGGACAAAAGTCACTTCCATAATTATAGTCCTGGCAACTTGAGCTTTAGATCTATTTTTGCTTCATTTTGCTCTGGTACTCCCATAACCTTAAAAAATTTTCCTGTGCATGGTAGAGAATTACATTTGCCACACTGCTAACAGAAACCTCCTTGAAATTCCTATTACTGGTTTTCATGCAGAGTCAGATACATTCTAATCTGCTGAGCCGTCTTGGTGGTCTGTGACTGTAATTATATTCACCAGCCCGCCCACAGCCCCATCTTGCTAGGACCCCTTTAGCAAGTTTCCTTCAGTGATGCCTTAAGCCCATAGCTCCATAAATTCTTTGCATTTTCTTGCCCCAAGCCTCTACTGTCAGGACAGGGGTGATGGGATAATGGAATGAATTGCTGTACCTTCGGTATCTCAAAGTCGCGTCTTCAGTCAGGACACTGGCATACCCAGGTTCTTGCTGATGGTGCAGGGTAATGGTAGTGCAAAGTGTGTGAACTTGGGAGCTGAGCAGACTGTATTAGTGTCCAAAGACTGCCAGGAGAAAGTACCACCAACTGGGTGGCTTGAAACAACAAGAATTTATTCTCTCACTGTTCTGGAGACTAGAAGTCTGAAATCAAGGTATTAGTCGGACCATGCTCCTTCTGAAGGTCCTAGGGAAGAATCCTTCCTTGCCTCTTCTTAGCCTCTGGGGATCCAGACTTTCCAGCAATCCTCGGTATTTCTTGTAGATGCATCATGTCAGTCTCTGGCTCTGTCATCACCCGGTGCTCTCTGTGTTTATCTGTGCCTAAATTTCTTTCTCCTCAAGAAGGCACTGGTCTTGGATTTAAGCCTACCCTAATCCAGTATGAACTCATCCTAACTTGATTACATCTAAGAAGACCTTATTTCCAAACAAGGTCACATCTGAGTAGGCATGAGTTTTGAGTTTGGTTGAGTTCTTCAACCCAGGGCCATGTTTAAACACTTGCTTTATTCCTTTTTTGAATTTAAGTTTTCCCATCTGTAAAATGGGACGATGACATTTACCTCCTTAGGTTGTTGTGAAAACTCAATGAAATGAAACAAAATGAAAAGCACCAGTATGGTGGGTTATAAATAGAAGATGCTCAACCAGTGTCAGAATTCTTGTCTTCCTCGGTGGCCAGTAACTGTGAAGAGACATTTTATAAATTTTTAAGGGTCTCTTTCTTTTGGATCAGTGTTGTTTGGATTGAACAATGAAAATGCCAATGCCTAGCACAAGACTTCACAAAATGTACAAAAACATTGTATAAAGAATCTTAGGAGCAGAATGGTCCCTAGGACACTTAGCTCTTGGTAACAGTTGTGAGCAACTCCGCTGCCCTGATCCTCCGGATGTTCTTGCCCATTCCCTGTCCCTCAAAGTCTTAGCCTTCCCATCCCTTTCAGGATGACCACTCAGTTTATAGGAGCAGAACTAGCTATCCCTAAGCCTACTGTGGGTTGGTCCTAAAACTGTTGTTGTCTGAAAAGTCCCAGACTTTGAAAAGTTCTTCCCCATCACAAAGGAGGTAATTAGAAGGCCTTGAGCTTGCCTTCAGTTTATGATTCTATTAAAAGACATTCCAGGGGCGCCTGGGTGGCTCAGTCGTTAAGCGTCTGCCTTCGGCTCAGGTCGTGATCCCGGGATCCTGGGATCGAGCCCCGCATCGGGCTCCCTGCTCTGCGGGAGGCCTGCTTCTCCCTCTCCCATTCCCCCTGCTGTGTTCTTGCTCTCGCTGTCTCTCTCTGTCAAATAAATAAATAAAATCTTAAAGAAAAAAAAAAAGACATTCCATTTACAATTTTTGAGCCTCACTCTTGTATTCTTTCCATGTTTCATATAAAGAATGATGTGGGTTGACTTGAGGTGGCGTGTAGGCCAATACAAATGGAAGGAATACACCTCAGAATCTCAGGTATAATGATAATTTTGGTAGTCGAACTATTATACTTTCTTTATCAGTTTTATGTCCTGTATTTTATTTTATCCAGCTGTGGTATACATAAACTACAGATGGCATAAGAGACTGAGAATTAAGAAAGAATAAAAGGGGCGCCTGGGTGCCTCAGTCGTTAAGCATCTGCCTTCGGCTCAGGTCATGATCGCAGGGTCCTGGGATCAAGCCATGCATTGGGCTCCCTGCTCCGCAGGAAGCCTGCTTCTCCCTCTCCCACTCCCCCTTGCTTGTGTTCCCTCTCTTGCTGTGTCTCTCTCTGTCAAATAAATAAATAAAATCTTTAAAAAAAAAAAAAAAGAATAAAAAACTCCAGGTTAGAAACTATGGGCTAATTGTCTTATGTGTTTGAAATTCTGAAGAAAGTTTACACATTCTAATAGCAGGAAAAACCTCTTTCGCTTTCTCTTGGCCATTGATTATTTGTTATTTTCCCAATGGGCTGAGTTGGTGGGCTCCTATGCATTGCCAGGATGACTTTATGAGATTATGCTCAGTGAGGTGTCTGCCTGGGTGGCTCAGTCAGTTAAGTGTCGTCTGTAGCCAGTTAAGTGTTCTGTAGCCAAACCATGTGAGAGGAATGAGATCAAGGGTAAAGTGTGTACTAGGTGATGCTCTGGAGTTCTGTCATTAAAATGATACAGGAGTGTCCAGAAATAATACATATATTGTCTCATATTTTCTATATTTACCATTTTGCTCTTTTTTTGTTTTGGTAGAAAGGGCATTTCAAATGATTCACAGAACCAGAATTTAATGTGGAAGATGGCATTTAATGGATCCTGCAGTAGTATTTGTACATGGAAGTCCAAAAACCTGAGAGGAAGATTTCAGTTCAGAGTAGTAGCCGCAAATAATCTGGGATTTGGTGACTATAGTGGAATCAGTGAGGATATTCTGTTAACTGGAGGTATGTTACTATGTCTGTCTATATGCTAATTGACAACACAAAGGTTCGGAGATAAAGATAAGTGAATTCTTAACATTAGAAATAAATTGGATGACTGTGTAATTTATCATCCAGACTATGGAACTATCCATTTTATCTGATGTGACCTTCCTAAAACATCAGAATCCTCATGTCATTTTTCTCCTCAGCAATGATCAGCTACTCTTTCATGCCTAACACATCAAGTCAGTGCTCCTGGATAGGCTTCCCAGGCTGTCCACAGTCTGGTCTGGATCCAGCCTTATGTTCCTGCTCCCCATACTCTCACCTTCTACTCAACTGTCCTAAAACGATGCTTTCTACATCTTTCACTGTGTATCCCATTTTAGGTTATGATATATCATCTGTCTAATCACATAGGCTAGAAATCTCAATACCATATTTAATTTTTCCCTCTACTCAGTCACCAAGTTTTGTTCACTTACTATCTTGAATGCTGTCTGTTGAGTGCTCATCTTCCTATTCCCACTTTGGCTTTCCTAATTTATCATTTCTTGCCTGTGCTCTTGGCTTAATCACACTGCTGACAATTGATCTAGCTGAAGCACAAGCTGGATTACTTAACCCCCTTTCTGAAATCCCTGAAATGACTCTCCATTCACTGCCTTTGGAATCAAGTGCAAACTTCTGTGTGGCATTTAAGGCCTTCCATGATTTGTCCTCCAATTATAGTTCATTGTTCCTATGCTATAACCGTATCAGACTGGTAAAAGCTTCTTATGACACGAGGCCTTTAGCTTTGGTTTCTCTCTCTCTCTCTCAAATGAATAAAGTCTTTAAAAAAAAGATTATACATGTTTCCTCAGCTATTATGAAGTAGAAGCCTGGGTGGGTATATCATAATGGTGCATTGGTAAACCAGATCTTTGGAAAACTAAACCAAACCAAACCAAACCTTGACTTTGATGTCCTATGGTGTTAAACGCTCTTGCTATGGGTGATTTCAAACTACCAGTGGTTTAACAACTGGCTTGTGAAAATCTAGTAGGAGCTAGTTCAGACATATCTGGCATACCCCTGAAACTACCTAGCTGTATTCTGCAAATTAACTTTTTTTTTCATTTATTTTATTAGATGGTTTTTGGATACCAGAAACAAGCTTTGTACTTACTATTATAATTGGAATATTTCTGGTTGTTACAATCCCAGTGGTCTTTGGTAAGTATAATAGCTTTAAAAATACAGGTAGTAACCTTGATCCTATTAGTTGATTTATCACTTAGTGTATTCAACCTCCAACATAAAATAAATTCATAAATTTCACAGTTACTTTTGGCTATACTCTCATAAGTACTAACCTCTGTGAGTTGTTTTTGATCTTGGAGTAACTATTTTATGAAAAATATATCTGTATTTACACTTCATGGTGTACTTTAGATAAAACTAATTACAAAGGCACCAACTTTTGGCTTTCTGTAAACCAATATTTGTTTCAAATTGGCTACATAACAAGTGCTTTGTGGCTTAGAGTTTTAAGTAAAAAAAAGAAAAATAACTCTGGATGTAAAAAAAAATGTAGGATTAATAGGAAAACAGTGATAGTCCTCGGTTGGGAGAGTTTGGATCTCTAGGCAGGCAGACAGACTGGTTTGGAAGGAGCAGCTCCTCTTTTGCAGATGACCCATCTCTGGCTTATGGGGTCTACTCTCGCGTTCAGATGTCTGAAAGGTAGATAGCAAGGGTCTTTTTTTAAAAAAGATTTATTTTAATGATGAGATAATACTCTGACAACCCTAGAAATGTTGGGGCCAAATATTGGGCCTATAGGGTTATTTTGGTAATCATACATCCTGGTTCATTCCTGTTGTTTCAGCATAAACATTAATAGGACTTTCAGTGCCCAAAATGTCCTGGTTTGGATTATAAGGTATTTGGTCATCCTATCACTTACTGATATTATGAGTCCCTGACATAATAAGAAAGCATTATAAGAAAGATATGATAGGGCGCCTGGGTGGTTCAGTCATTTGTGTCTGCCTTCGGCTCAGGTCATGATCCCGGAGTCCCAGGATCGAGTCCTGCATTGGGCTCCCCGCTCAGCAGGGAGTCTACTTCTCCCTCTGACCCTCCCCTCTCTCGTGTTTTCTCTCTCTCATATAAATAAAATCTTAAAAAGAAAGAAAGAAAGAAAGAAAGAAAGAAAGAAAGAAAGAAAGAAAGACATGATACTTGCCAGAAAAGAATACTCAAGGACATATTTAGGAAATTGTAGCCTGTTTTTTTCATATAGAAAGGAAAGTTTAAGGAAAAGTTACAAACATAAAGCTAAACTCTCTCAGGATAAAGAAAGCCACTATTTTACTAAGTGGTCTCAATCTTTATTCTTTCCCCAAACTGATTGGAGTTGTAAACTATCAGAGAGCACACTGAAACTTGAATTGAGGTTTCTTTTCATAGATTCCACCCAGATGATATATGGAACTCCTTTAGCTAACTTGGAAAGCTAAAAATTTCAGCTGACCCTGCCAGGATCTCAACCTGTGGTTCCAGGGAGTCTAAGCGTTGCACAGCTGATGCTTGGGCCACTAAGCCAGCCCCTCCAGAATTACACGTATGACTGTAGTATATTTGGCAGTTGGCATATAGGCTTGACTGCTTGTCTGCTTTCCTACTGGGAAGGAGTATTACACGAAGAATCTTTCATCTGACCTTTGCTTGCCTACGTGTACACCACCATTGTTCAAACCCATAACTCTAGTGGATGAGCATGAGGTAATTTCAGACAACCTATTGTGCTTTCAAGACATTCTATGGATATCTGACTTTCTCGGGATTTAAAGGTCTTTATCCTATTTGGAACTTATGAATTTTTTAGTGCAGCTAAGCTAATCTGCTTCTTTGCTTTTAGTAGCAGTGCATGTGGTTTTACTAGTAGGAGTGGGTGAGTGCATGAGAAGAGATTGAGTTTATTAAAATAAGGAAAAGTAGCAATTGTTTAAACATATTTGTATTGTGCTGGGGGCTCTCAGCAGTCCTACTTATAAATATAAGATTGAAACAGTGATTTAAAAATAAACATCAGCAGCCTTGGCTTTGGTGAGTGGTCGCATCTAACATGCAACGTTAGCCTCGTGCCGGGAGCAGAGGGAAATATGAAGCCAGAATATTCAATTGCTGGCCTTGGCAGCTTGCCATTTAATGAGGGAGGTAAGACATACCTGTGTGAAAATATAAATCGTGAGAAATAAAAGGCAAGAGGACCTGACATGTGCTGGACACTGCGATAGAAATGCGGACCAAGAGCTACACTTGGTCTTAGACATTGAAAACCGAGAGATCAGCAGAGCGTCAGGGTCTCGGAAGGCATCACTGGGAGCTGGGCCTTTAAAGAAATGAAGAAGGGTAGGGACAGCTTTTCAGGTTTGAAAAATTGCATTAGCAAAAGTGTTTAAGATCTTTCCCTGCGTGGTCCCTCAGATGGAATTTCACTTGAATAAAACGCTGACCTGTTGGATATAGAATATACAATGGAATAAAATTCAAATTTTAATGATCATCTTACAAAACACCCTTGGTGTTTTCAACTTTTGAACCAATGTTCTAGTATAGATGGTTGATCTTATGACATAATTGTATTTTAATTTCCAAAAATCACTTATTTTCATGAGGATGAAAATAGTATTTGCTCATTGTATGAAGAAGACAATATAAATCATCCATGATTTCACAACTGAGAAGACCACTACTAACATTTGGTGGGTTTCATTCCAATAGTTTTTCTGTATGCTTGAGTATGTATATAAACTCTTGTACTCTGCATTTTAAAAAACGAAGTGTGCCATTATAATTGAAAGCATTCCTCAGATCTACTATAGGAGTATAACCTGGACGTATCTGGACTCAGAAATAAATTTGCAATTTAATTATAATGCAAATAATTATGTAATAATTATAATGCAAATTTGTTTTGGTTTCTGTTGCCTCTAGTTTAAGGGCGATTTTGAGAAATAAGTTCTGATATTAAGATACTTCAACTTGTTTATAACAGCAATAAGAAATGCATGAAGCTTTGGTTTGAGACATGAAATAAGAAGTGATGTGTTCTAAGTTATGTGTTTTTATAAGTCTTTGTACCAAGATTTAATTAGTTTTTCTACTATGGACACATTTTTCAATCAAATTCTGTTATTCTACCCATGGTGTTCTTATATATAAACATTTAAAATGTTAACATTTCTTGATGAAAAAAGAAAGCAATGTTTTGTTTTGTAAATTGTGTCCTTTTCTCTTTATAGTCTGGCACAGAAAATTAAGGAATCAAAAAACTCCCAAGGAAGGGCTGACGGGTCTCATAAACGAAGACAAAGAGTTGGCTGAGCTCCGCGGTCTGGCAGCTGGAATAGGGCTGGCTAATGCCTGCTATGCCATACAGTATGTAACCTGGGCCCTCACTACAGGGCACCTAGATGAAGAGTGGGCAACTATAAAGAGAGTGCCCATGGGTCCCGTGTTGCCCACGATTGTCTTGGTCCATGCCCATTATTCTGGCATGATTATTAATATCATCCCCTTCCATTTTCAAATGTGACCTGAGATGGATGGCAAATTATGTGGTTATTCTAGCCTAAGGAAAATAAGCAAAATTCCATTGTGTTCCAGTGTTTTATCGCATAGTTATAAAGTAAACGGAACAAGGACGTAAGTCCTGAATGGAAAAGAACAGACGGTAGCATGATTGGTTCAGCTGGAAGCATCCAGAAGAGAGGAATTCCAAGGGTCCCCTGCCTGGGCTGTTAAGTCCATCGGAGTCTGTTTTCAGAAGTTGTATGGTGATTGCCTACAAAAGCTCTTTAGGATAGTTGAGTTTTGAACTTATGTTGTCATCATAATTTTTTTTTAAAGATTTTATTTATTTATTTGAGAGAGAGAGAATGAGAGGGAGGAGGGTCAGAGGGAGAAGCAGACTCCCTGCCGAGCAGGGAGCCCGATGCGGGACCCGATCCCGGGACTCCAGGATCACGACCTGAGCCGAAGGAGTCGCTTAACCAACTGAGCCACCCAGGGGCCCGTCATCATAATTTTTTTAAAAAAATTCAATTAGCCCACATATAGTATGTTGTGAGTTTTCGATGTAGTCAAAATAATTAAAGAAAATATTTAAATGTCTTTTTATGCAAGACACTATATTGCGGTTTATGCAAGACACTGTATTACGGCCTCTTGCTAAGAGGAATTATGTAGTCATAGGCCTTGAAATTTATAATTGGAGATATAGAAATGGCAGATTTGAAGTAGACACGGGTGATCTAATTTAGTGATTCAGAGGTGACTTTTCCTTGAGAAAATACTCAGCACATTTGATATTCAGGATTCTCTTTTAAAAACTCAAAGCATTTAGACAATTTTTTCCCTCTCATAATATTCCAAGTGAGAGTTGGCTTCTAAAAGTTATGGAGAAGGAGCTGATTTTTGTAGTCATACTAAATTTTGTTTTACACAAAAGATCAGGTGTGTGAAATAGTTAAAGTGAAAGTTTTTAGGCTTATAAACCCAGATGTATTTATTACTAATTTGCAATAGCTTTTCACATAAATTGATTACCTGAAGAAATTAATAACACAACTTTTTAACAAAACAAGCTACAGTAAAAACTCCTGAGTCAATGCACACACAGGCATGTTTCTATCAAGATTATGGTAAAAGTGACGTGATATGCTCTCTGTGTTTTGGAATAGGGAAGGAATATTTGGAAGGTGGAATAGGGAAGGAATAGAAACACAAGATTCCCTGCCACTATATTACATAGAACAGTGTTGCAAAATCATGAGATTTCTCTTTCTCAAACACTAACTCCCAACACCAACTTGTAAACCAATGTATTTTGGGACACCAAAAATACTATTTTCCAGTACTCTTCCAACCCAAGAGGAGATTGAAAGTCTTCCTGCCTTCCCTCGGGAAAAACTGACTCTGCGCCTCTTGTTGGGAAGTGGGGCCTTTGGAGAAGTGTATGAAGGGACAGCAGTGGACATCTTAGGAGCTGGAAGCGGAGAAACCAAAGTAGCAGTGAAGGTAATGCAGATCTTTTAATTCCTTGACATGTCGGGTCAGCACATTTACATGAATTTACATGGATAAAACTGTAGTAACATATGAGTGATTTTAATTGAAAAGACAGCTGAAAGTGGGAGTCCATGCATGACAACAGAAATGACAATGTTTCTTCCATTTCTTCCGTAAGCTCTGTAATTCATAGTTACCACCTAAGGTAACTGATTAGCTAAGACTCGGCAGGTGGTTTTTCCCTTTGAATATACTATAAGAGGACCCGGGGTGGAAAGCACGTTCTCCATGTCTCGGGTATGAGGGCAGTTGCCGCTGATGCAACTCAGCCTTCGCAGTGTGAAACAGCCCTAGTCCATATGTGAACTCTATTTATGAAAACTGAAATGTGAATTTCATATCATTTTCACGGGTTAAGAAATACCCTCTTTTCGACTTTTGTCCAGCCGTTTGAAAATGTAACGTGTCACTTATACCTCAGGAAAGCTGGAAAAACACAAAGTTAAAGCTGAACAACTATTTTCAGAGCTCAAGCTGGACAAAAAAAGTTGCAGGCTGGTATTGGTCTACAAGCTAGAGTTTGCTGACCCCCGGTAGGACACAGTTATTCGCATGGTATATTGAATGTAGTTTTAAGGAAGTGCTGGGTAGACTCTCATATTTGTCTAAAACCTTTTCATCGAGGGATGATGAATCTTTTATGTAACAGGGCAACATCCTGACCACTGCTTGTTAGGAATTTGTTGCTTTGAGAGAGGGCTATACAACCAGAAAGGTTGGCAAAATCCTCTCCGCTGCCAAATCATGCAATCTAAAAGTGCTTTAAACTACTCTAGCCTCACCTGGTGTAAACAAGTGTTTATTTTTCTCACATAACGAGAGGACTGCGGGTTTTTGGTGCAGTACTGTGTTAGGTCAGAGCCAGAATATCTGAAACTCTCTTGACTTTGTACATGTGTGTTGCCTCATGATCCCAAGATGGTTGCCAAAGCTCAGGCATTACATCTTCATTCAGGTCAGGGCAAGGGGGAAGGAATGATGTTAGGTGTATATGTTCAAAAAAGTGAAAGTTTTCCACAAGCTTCTCTTCCCTTCAGGAGTTTTCCCCTTACACCGCATTGACCAGAATTGACACAGATGACCACCCCTATTTGCAAGGGAGGCTGGAGAATTACAAAACACAATTTTCCTGATTCATTATGACCAATTGTCTGGGACTGGGCATCTTGCCTCTAAGAGACAAATTAGGGGATCATTAGCAGGGAAGCCGGGGGAAACAGATATTGGGTAGAAAACTTTGAAAATTAAGAAACTGGCCCACACACCAAATTTGTTCTTTTTAAAATGTCTACATTTTTGGAGGGAATTTGTGTAGATGATACTAGGTCTTTTGTTTTTCAGGCTTTCCCACTTGGACACTAGTTCTAATACAGGCTAAGTTTTGAATGAGTTTACAGAGCACATGCACGTGTATTAGCCATGATCTATTTCCAGCTTTCAGAGTGAATATTACAAAACAAATCAAAGATTGTCTCCATTAACCCACTGAGCTCACAGAATGTCTGCTATACTGATTGCTGGCTTATTTTGTATTGTCTAGACTTTGAAGAAGGGCTCCACAGACCAGGAGAAGATTGAGTTCCTGAAAGAGGCACATCTGATGAGGTATTGGGGCAGCTCTGGCTTCATTTTCCCTTGATAGGAGTAGAAAGCTTTTATATCTGATTGGTAAATTGTTAACATTCAAAATGACCTGACATCACAGGTCATGCCCCAAACAAACATGGCTGAAGTTTAGACATAAATATGTCTGTGGTAACCAGTGTTCTATAGAAACCAGTCTTCCAACAGGCAGTCCTCAGGCAAAAGTTCCTCATTTCTTTGACCTTCAATAAGGAGCGTGTTTCGCAAGTGACATCTGAGGCTGTTCAGCTTTAAACATGCGTATGTTCTTCTAAATGTGTGATCATGGCTCGAATATCTGGATTAAGGGAGAGAGCTCTAAGTACAGGGATGTCAATGAAAATATCCTCTGTCTTAGTAAACTTATCTTCAAGGTTAGAGTCAGTTGCTGGTCAAGAAAACTGCTCAGAGGCATCTTAAAGGGAGGGCCTGAGACGGTGGTCCTGGGGGGTGGCGGGGGGGAGGTCCCAGCTGAGGATTCTAATTATTTGATCGGGGTTTCCTTGGTTTGATGTCTTGAGAAAATGGTGGAAGCCAAACCTGCGTGTCTAAATTGTTTCTCCAAAAGGAAGAGAATAATATTACATACTTGTGATGACTGAAAGTGTAACGCCTTCAAACATCTTTTGAAGGATAGTGGTTAAGATTACTTTCTTTACCAAAACATAAAATCCTTCCTGTGAACGTTTCTTCTAAAGATCACCTATTACAGTCATATGCACTGGCCACTAGGGGTTGCCATATCATCTCTCTAAGGCAAGCACAGGGACTGGTACTTGGAAAAGGAGACTTGCATTTATTAGAGAAAAACAACCCCCCCCCCCCCGCCCCCAGCCCACCGCAAACAGGAGTTTTGAAGGAAACCAGAGATAAAGAATTGCTCTATTTCCCGAAGGCCCTCAGCCAGGGTGCCTGTTGCTGTCGTGTCATCCTGCCTGTCTCTTTCCACCTTGTAGCAAGTTTAACCATCCCAACATTCTGAAGCAGCTTGGAGTTTGTCTGCTGAACGAACCCCAATACATTATCCTGGAACTGATGGAAGGAGGAGACCTTCTTACCTATTTGCGTAAAGCCCGGATGACAAAGGTAGGAAATGGGGTCCCCGTATTGGTTTTGTAATGCAAATGCCCTATAACTTCCCACTAAGTTTCTTTAAATTCGGTAGACTGCAGTTTGGTCAAACCTCAGAAGACTTCTGTGGAAAGAATTCTTGTATTTCCTTCAGTTGGATTAGGACAATTAGAATCCTGGGCTAACTTCTGGCATTTTCTGGTTATTTGAGGCTGTTTTTCATATTTAATGGGAAAATAGGTACCTCACTCCCAAAATCATTTTTTCTGGAGAACAGAGATGGTGTGGCGTTGGAAAGGCACATCTTTCTCTGTACTTAATCTGTATGCCTGTCTGTCCCAAATTGTTACTTGCAAGCCCTCATGTCTTTATTGACTACTCTATGTCCCTACCCAGTCGGCATATCTGTTTGGATTTTCATAGGCATCTCGAACTTGTGTTGGCCAGAACAGAAATCTTGATTTCATACCTCGTCCTCCAAGCCATCCATCCAGTTCCTTGCTTTCTCTTCTACGACCACACTAACAAGCCCAGCCAGCTCTGCAGTTCTGCCTACAGGATGTAGGACTCCATCTTGTCTTCCCTTGGCTTCTGTCCTCGGTGCTCACCTGCAAAGTCTGTGGGATCGGGGCCAGCTGTGACAGCACCTGCGGGAAACTACCTTCTATATCAGACGAGAAACACACAAGACAAACAAGACACTAACATTTAAAGATTTAAAAAAAAATTGGTTTTTATTTCTATCAAAGGGCACATTCTATGGCTAAAACACTGAGATACAGAACAAGGTTTATAGTGAAAGACAGTCTCGTCCCCACATGCCAGGCGTCTACACGTTTCTTCTGGTATTTACCGCCATGTTTCTACACACTCTATACTGCTGTGCATTGATTTTTTTCAATCTTGGGGGAAATCTCCTGACTCCCTACTGTGAGAGGTGAGGATTTAACTCTCTTAGACTGACTCAGTACCAGCCCAAACCTCACCAGCTCTACACATTGAAAAATTTGTTCCCACATCCTCTGACAGTTATCACAATTTTCAGATAAATCAATAGTGCAGATTTACATTACTATGACTACTACTTGCAGCTGAGTTACTCAAATGCTGTGATTATGTTTTTTTTTCCCCTTGAGTGAGAATAATAAACACCTCTTTTATTTTCCCCATTTGCTTCCTTTTTTATATATCTCAACCCTTTGACAGAATCGTGGCGCTTCTATCACTGGGGTTAAATAGATCAGCTGATCTAACACCTAACAGGTTTTTTTCTTGGACACTCTCCTCCTGGAGCCAGTGTGGGTGCTTGTCCTCTGGGCTCTCAGCAGAGCTATCCTCGTTGGAGTTACCTTCACATTTACCCTGCAAATTTTCTTGCTGGACCTTAGTTTCCTCTGTTCCATGACTTTTTTGTTCTGTTGTAGAAGAGAGAAAGCATGCATGTGAGGCAAAAGTCTCCTTTTCTCCCCTCTTTTTGAGAGACTGCCCTTTTTTCTTCCCTCACACTTGATGAATAAGTTGGCTGGATTCTAGGCTGAAAACCCCTTTGCCTTTGTTTTCTAGTTTGTACAGTTGCCTTTAAGAAGTCTCAGGCCATTCTGATTCCTGGACTTAGGATCAGTGACCTGCTTTTTGCCCCTCCTCTCTGGAAAATTTTAGGAACTTCTTATCTGTGGTACTTTTTTACCAATCTGGACACTCAGCCTTGAAAATCACCCCTTTAGTTCTGGGATTTTTTTATATTATTTTTACTAATAAATAAAATTCTTTGTCTCCTCTATTTCCTTGTTCTCGAAACTCTATTAGCTGGATAATGGACCGCTTTGTTTTATCCTTTTGTTCTATTGGCCGTTTTCTCCTGTTTTCCAGCTCTGTATTTGTGCTCTCAATTGTGGTAGATTGCTGTTACTTTTAAAACAGAACTTAAAATTTTAATTTTCCACAGACTTGTTCTTATATTTTGATCGCTTCTTGAAATAATATATATATTTTTTCATATGGGTGGAAACTTACCTAATCTTTCCTAGGACACTAATTATAGTTTTTTAAAGTATTAATTTGCTTCCTGCATTGTCCTGATTTCCTTTATCCTCTTTGTTCTGGGATCTGTTTGTAATGTGAGAAGCTTTTCTCAAATGTTTGGTGATTTGTGGTTGATCTTCCTATTTAACAGGGAGGCCTAAGAAGCTGACTGGAACCTGTGTGTCTATGGCAGCTTCCTTTTCGTTGTCCTGTGGACCCTGCTTTTTCACTGAGGGGTCCCCTAATCTTCTAATGACAGTATCTGGGTGTCTTCCCTGGCACACCTCACTTTCCCCAGAGAGGAATCTTTATGGGTCCTGCCTAGGCTATCGGTGCCTAAGCCTCAGTTCAGGGAGGTGAGAGAGGAGGGGGTTGGAGGTCCAAAGGCTGAGTATAGGGGCTCTCATTTAATTTTCCTCTCCATTTTCAGCACAGTGTCTGAGTGTGACTGGTATCTTTGAACTTGGAGTTGTTCTGGCTCCGTGTGTGTGTGTGTGTGTGTGTGTGTGTGTGTGTGTGTGTTCTGCAGTGGAAAGCCTCCTGCTGTGGTGGGAGGACCTGGGATCTAGTTAGCTCCTAAAATAAACTTCCAAACATTCCTCTTGCTTCCAGGCTTGCCCCTCACCCCTACATTCAGAGATGCCTGTAGGGGGTTTTCTAGTGAAACACAGCCCGATTCTTGTCTTTCCCCTTGCAGGCAGCCAAACTGTCTCTCGGCTCTGCTGAAGGACCACCCCTCCATCCACTTCGCTACCCCAAGATGTTTCATGCACTAAATTTATTTTCCTGATGTATTTGTCCTCGTGAGATTATAAACATTTCCCTTATACTGTCATCTTAGTAAGGTTTGGGGAGAGAGTGGGACTAAAAATGCACACATTCAGTCCCCCATCTTTAACAACCTGTGTTTATCTGTAGGTTGTGTTTTGTTTGTTTTGGGGTAGAGAAGAGGGGATGAAATGAAAATATGGGCCAGCTCTTTCCAATTTATTCCTATTTAGTCAGGATCCTGATGGTTACACTGATTGGTTCTCGAGGGTTCTTCCGCTGCCTTTCCTGAGCAGGACAGCTTCCGTGCCTCACTGCCCTCACTCCAACCAGTGGGCAAGATGCTGTTAGGTGCTGAGTACCAGAGCGCCACAGGCTCTAAGTCCCCATCACGCCAAGTTCATTTGGAGACAGCCGAATCTCCACAGGGAGTGCTCAGAGGCAACATTCCAGAACAGCCACAGCGTCCTTCTCTCCATCCCAGCTCCAAGACTGCAGTGCTGGGTTGAATACATCAGGATTGACTGCATCTAGCGCATATACCTTAGTCCAGTCTTTCATTCTCAGGACCTTAGTTTCTGCATCTATAAAATGGGATATTGAATTGACAATGTTCTCAGGCTCTTTTTTTTTTTTTTTAGCTCTAATATCCTAAGATTCTATTAAGACGGAAGAAAGTAAAAAACAAAACCAAAAACCAACCTATCAAAATAGTATAAATAGATAGCCAGATACAATCAATTCATCAGTTTTTTGCTGCATGTTTATTATACAGTAGTGAAGGATGTGGCTCTTGCTCTCAAGGACTTTGCCACACGGTAGGGAGGTAAGTCACATATAAATAACTTACTTAAGATAGAAAGTGGGAGGGCCTATCGGAGTGCAGTAGAGACTATATTGCAGACGCTCAGAGGAGAGAGATGATTTCCAACTCGGGAGAACTGGGAAGGCTTCACGGAAGAGGTCTTCCATTTGAGACACAACTAAAGTAGGGGATAGAACAGCCTCTGAAACAACACCTTCCCACGTGAGTCTTGAAAAGCTATCACCAGGAGCAGACCCAGGTGGAGGTCTGGGGGCAGCCCAGGGCAGGAGCATCTGGAGTCAAGGAGCCCCAACATGGGGTGATGAGGTATCCTAACAGGTTGTCACAGGGGCTGTCATGAGCAAGGGATAGTTAGAGACATACACAGACAGGCAGCATTAAAATCTGTCCACGGGGAACATGATGCTAGCCACCAGGCTATAGTTCAGAAGCAAGGTTCTAAGTGAGGAGCATCTTCGGTAGAGTGGGCTTTGCCAAAAGCAGAGCAGGGTTCCACTCACAGAGGAACCGAGGAACCAGTCTGGAGACCCAGCAGGGACTCAGACACAGGCCAAGAGACCAGTGTCTGGTGTCTGCTGGATCTGAGCAGTGTTGTTGGAGGATTGATTCTTGGGGGTAAGATCAAGCCTCGCTATCGGACCGAGGTGTGGTAGAGCGGGACCATGGCAATGTTGAGTCTGAGAACATGGAGAATCTTCCCAGTCTGGGGACAAGACATGAGCTTGTTGGGGAAGCTGGGGGAGCAGCACTTAAGAGCACTCATCTATGAGAAATTGAGAGGTTTCAAGGTTGGGAATCATTTGAGATGCTTGGTGAAGGATGTGGATGGAAATCAAGAATAAGAAGGGCATTCCAGACTGGTAGCAGAAGTAAAGAGGAGCGGTTGAGAAAGGCAGAGCAGGTATAAAAACTGCAGGTGGCCCAGTGTGGCTGAAGAATAGATTGGGAGAGGAAACGCTAGGGGACCTCAGTGGAGGTAAAGAGCAGCCTGAGGCCACCATGGAGTCTGTGCGTAGGAATCTACAATAGACTCCACACGCAGTGGGTCACAACGAAGCAGGCTCGTTAAAGCACCAGAGGCTGGAGACAAGTTTGGGATGCGTCAGATAGGGAGGATAATGGCCTCAACGAGGGTAATTGCAGGGAAATGTCAAGGAAAGACAATATATGAATGTGACCTCAGGGAAGGAACTTTGAATTTTTTCCATCTGGTACCAATAAAATCTTCCACTGGCTTTTTTTTATGTAGAAATCACTGCAGCTGGTATCAACTAAATGTGCAAGCTGGCTCTCAAGGAGGAGAGGAGTCGTCTGTGACCTTGAAATAGGGTGCTGCTAACAATTTATGTGGGGGCTCATCTGAGGAACAAGCCCATTGTCATGACTGACATTGCAGTGTGGCATTGGGCCAATAATTAAACTAGCTAGTACTGATTAAATTATCATTATTACATCTTATGACAGCAGCTACTATTTATTAAGTATCTGTTATATATCAGCCCGATTCCATATCTTATCTCAGATCCTATATGGCTAGTACTGTCATTCGCATTTGACATATGAGAAAGGTGCTTAGTACTACTGGGGATTTACCCCAAAGACATAGATGTAGTGAAAAGAAGAGCCATATGCACCCCAATGTTCATAGCAGCAATGTCTGCAATAGCCACACTGTGGAAAGAGCCGAGATGCCCATCAAAAGATGAATGGATAAAGAAGATGTGGTCCATATATACAATGGAATATTACTCAGCCATCAGAAAAGATGAATACCCAACTTTTACATCAACATGGATGGGACTGGAGGAGATTATGCTAAGCAAAATAAGTCAAGCAGAGAAAGTCAATTATCATATGGTTTCACTTATTTGTGGAACATAAGGACTCTGAGAAACAAACAGGGTTCTAGAGTGGAGGGGGGGGGATTGGTTAGCCCAGTGATGGGTATTAAGGAGGGCACATACTGCATGGAGCACTGGGTGTTATACGAAAACAATGGATCGTGGATCACTACATCAAAAACCAATGATGTATTGTATGGTGACTAACATAACATAATAAAATTAAAAAAAAAAAAAGAAAGGTGCTTAGTGAATTAAGCAATGTGATCAAGTTCACACAACTCGTAAGTAGAACTAGGTTTCAAATCTTGGTCTGTCTGAACTGACACCCTGAGATCTTTCCAGTAATGATCCTATATTGCCTCTGCCCACTAAAAATAGTCTTATTTATGTATATTTCAGTAGAAAGTATGTAAATCTAGCTCTTTCCCTCTTTGTTTGAGTTCTTGTAACCAGGACTAAAAATACCTTTAAAACATCACATGTATGTTTTGTACAAACTGGAAAAGTACTTGTAACTTTTCTTTCATTTCTTACAGTCTCACGGTCCTTTGCTCACCTTGGTTGACCTGGTGGATCTGTGTGTAGATATTTCAAAAGGTTGTGTCTACTTGGAGCAGCTGCACTTCATTCACAGGTACGGTGAATTCTAGATACAAGGTTCTTAATGGACATCGGCACAATAATCACCTGAGGTTTGGGTAAAACATACAAGATAATTAAACATTTCATTACTTCAAAATAGCAAAAGTTTTTGTAAAAGGTCTCTTTCTCTAGAGACCTAGTAGGGTTCCTTGTCTGATCTCTGGAACTTTATTATTAGCATTATTAAATATAGCTTCTGCCATAGGGATCTGGCAGCTCGCAATTGCCTTGTCTCTGTGAAAGACTATACCAGTCCATCACGGGTGGTGAAGATTGGGGACTTTGGACTCGCGAGGGACATCTATAAAAATGATTACTATAGAAAGACAGGGGAAGGCTTACTCCCCGTTCGGTGGATGGCTCCAGAAAGTTTGATGGATGGAATCTTCACTACTCAATCTGACGTATGGTGAGTTTAACAGGACACAGAGGAATTCAGGCAGAACCAGCCAATGTCAGAGCCAGAAGGGAATATAAAAGGTCATCTAAACTTGTGGGACTATTCTTGGGTCTCAGTATTTTCACCCCTCACTCTCATCAGTTTTGATCTGTTATCTTACTAGTACATGTGAAATAGATACATTTACTTCAAGTATTCTATCACTGTCCAAAAACGTAGTGGCTATGACTAATAGGAATTGGTACATATGACTCGATGTCCAAGTATGTGTCCAAATGCCTACTCTTTTGGGATGTGTGGTCATTAATTTATAGGTAGAGTTTAAATCATGGATCTCAAAAACAATATGACATTGGGGAGATTTGGGCATCTCTTTATTATTAATATAGGGTCACTCATGTTTGCTTGTTGACCCCAAATTTTGATTTGAGCTACTCAAAATGTAAAGATTTGTTCAATAACTTTTAAGCTGGACTGGCCCCAGGCAAAATTAGTGACGAGATAAAATTAGGCCTGAGTGTTGCCAGTTCACATTCATGCCTTTCCTCTCCACGTTTACTAGCAAGGGGAAAAAGGTGAAATGCTTTCTTGCTTACCCCTACATTAGTCTGCATGTTGATGTTATGAAAGCCTTAAGTAATGGAGGTCTGCAGTGCAGTTTCAGCTGAGAAGGAGGAACAAAGTGTGTGTGTGTGTGTGTGTGTGTGTGTGTGTCCCCTAAGCCTTCCTATCACCTTTGAAGTGTTGCTAGTAGGCAGTTGCTTTTTCTACTTTTTCTTGAGGTCAACTTGCTTTTAAGTCTCCCATTTGCCTTTTATGGGGCCAATAATGCCAATCACAAAGTAGATCCCAAGAGCCCCAGGAGTAATTACATTGGACAAACTACTCTAAACATGATGTTTGTAATAAGTATAATTAAAGTAAACTCTTTAACATCCTTAGGTCTTTTGGAATTCTGATTTGGGAGATTTTAACTCTTGGTCATCAGCCTTATCCAACTCATTCCAACCTTGATGTTTTAAACTATGTGCAAACAGGAGGGAGACTGGAGCCACCAAGAAATTGTCCTGATGATCTGTAAGTTAATTATGCTAATATAAGCACCTAAAAACCAAAAACATGTGCCCATGCAATCTTATGCCTCACTGGCATGGTATTTTAAAATAAAAACCAGAATTTATATATTTGTGTTGTCTACTAAAATGTAAGTTGATTGTAACATTTAATTTACTAAATACACGATGATCTCTTTTTATATATATGTGAAATTTCACTTCAGAAACAAAATTTAGAAGAGCAGAATATATTTATACTCTTGATAGATGAATTCTAATAAAGATATAAAAGCACTGTGTATACACAAACATACTCTTTTTATTTTGGAAGATCTAATTTGGCTAATACCTCAATTTGCATATTATGAGATCCTATTAAATAGGAATATATTCTTTAAAAGTTAGATTGCCTTTGTTGATGCAGCTGATACTGGGACATGGTACTATTAAAAATTACACAGGTTGTGATCTATTTATGCACTTAACACAAAGTGACTAAGAATTAGTGACTCTATTAAACTGATCCTGGCTACTAATCAATTCGTGATTCTCAGGAGAGTAAGCGATTTTGATCTAATTGTACAGAAAAATAAGCCCAGTTATTTTGCCAAGTAATAATCTGTCTTCTTGTGAAAAACCTCAGCAGAAATACCAAGTTCTAAAACCTTTTCTAAGGGATGTTTGCCCCAAGAAACTTCGAAAGGAACAAATACTAAACAAGTATAAAGTCCTCTGTTACGTGCACAATACCAAGCCACATATTATATGGAATATATAGGTGTTTAAACCATGGCCCCAGCTCTTCAGCATCTCAGAATGTATTTTGAAAGAAGAGAAACACACATGGAACAGTTGGATGACAAGCCAACATGTAATAAAGTGCTAAACCGTGTGGTACAGACAAGTGCAAAAGGAATTAGCAGTATGCGGATACACACCACGGCTGCAGTGCCCTGACTATGCTGTGTTATTTTAGAGGATTATTCAGACTGGAGCCAGAGGATGATTAAGAACTGGGCACCTTGGTTGATGTTCTACTGGTGAACGTTTTTGTATTACTTAAATCTTGCAGCCAGAAGAAGAAGAAGAAGATTTGAATCACTGCTTGTTTCGGATTGGGCTTTTACAGACTCTGGGACATTTACAGGGAGATCAGATGTACACACATCTGATCAAGTTTGGTGACTGTGCTTAAAAATGACTCATGGTCCTTTTGGGGGAGATGGAAAAGAGTCTGGAAATGGGAAGTCAGAAATTATACAGAATTTGAAAACCTTTGGTCTAGGGTTTGAGGAAAAACCCCAGCATGCCTAAGCATGAAATATATTTTTATTGGCTAGCAAACTAATCACTGCTCAGCATCTCTTACACATCTACCAAACACTCAGGATTTTTCCTCAGAATTTCAATTGTACCAGATTTTTATTATCCTTTATTATCTGGCCTATTTCCCCCTAGGAGTTACCATGTACCTCATCACAATTACCCAGTTTTTTTGGATAGGCATTTTAGGAATCAATCACTGAATTGTACATTTTGATTGATGTGTTCATTTAATTTGGAGAGGATGGAGGTGGATAATTACTGGGCAGTTGTGGAGCAGAAAAATGTAGGTATGTTGAACTTTGCTCTACCAAGGTGTATCCAGATACGCAACTAGAAAGAGGAGGAAGAAGGGATGCTAGAAAAGTGCTAGAAAAACATTCCAGTTTATGGGCAGACAAAGATATTCCATATAACATTTATGTTCTATATTTATATAACATACATTTATAGAACTTCTCTAAATATATAACTTAATATTCTATATAACTTTATGTCGAGTAATTCATTGGTTGGATATATTATTGCCCTAATTTTATAAAAATATCATTCCCTTAAAGCCCAAATTTTCCATTGGTGGCTTTGAAGTTCATTTGAACATCGGTCACGAAAAAGTAAACAATGCTTCCAGCCCCCTAAGGGTTGCGGTTCTCAGAGCCCTGGGAAGGGTTAAGGATCCATTGCCAACCAGGAAAACAAGTGTGCTAGGAAATGGAGCTCTTAGCCATGCCATTCAATCTGGCCACGGCCTTAAGTTGTCATGATAAAGATTAACTACTCTCCTTAGAGTACAGAGGAAACTGATTTTTATTTGAAGCAGGTCTCTGAGATCACAGGCCCAGCTTAGAGGGTTGAAAGTCTGCACTGAGCCGCGCTGCACCTTCTATTCACTGCCTAAATGCTCAGCACCTGGATGCACTCTGGTCAGGTGAGCCCATAGATGGCTACGCTGTGCTCAACTATTAATGGAATGCAGGAGTTCAGAGCATTCCTGCCCTTCTTTCCATAGCCTGGGATGTATGCTGGAAAGCCCGGTCCTCAGTATTCTCTTCAACTTTCAGTTTGCACAACATCCACGCCACTCCTGAGAAGAAACGGGATCAAAGGGCAATCTACTTCAAGTGAGAGCTCTTGGGGCTTCTCTGACAGATGTATCACAGTGGTAACTGAAACTACTGGAGAGAATCTCAAATGTAGGAGGTGACAATGGGAGGGCATGAAGGTTCACCATCTTATTTTTCCTCTTAAAATATATGTACACCTAGATGGTAATTGGGCCTCTTGGGGATTGGTTATAATGAGTAAGGGAGTTCTGGAAAATCTGTATTTTATGTGCTTTGTTTCAATACCTATAGAAACTCATCCCCTTCATACTGAGAGATGCTGTGAAATTTTCATCTGTTGAATTTCAGTTGCTTTATGAATTCAAGGACTTTAATACTCACAGAGACCAATAATGAACATGGCTAATGAGTCTCGTGCTATTTTAAAAAAAACATTGAGGCAAAGAAGAGTAAAGGGTTGGCATGGTGAATGGAGGAATTTGAACCTGAACACTTAGCCAGGTGAAATATTTCAAGTATGAGTGAGTATTTTGTAGAGCTAGAAAAACCAGCCGAGGGAAATTTTAACAAAGCAAATGACCTGTAAGTTTATTTAGAGTACTATGCTCGAATATTTGTAACTATAACGTAGGATAAGTGCGATATTGAATTGCGACAAGTGCAGGATTGTAAGGGAAGACCCGATGCCAAAGGTATAGTTGCTGTTATTAATTTACCTGAAAGATATGAGAAATGCATGTTTTAGGAGTTGTTATATTCATAAACGCCTTTTCGTTCCACTGCCACCTCAATGCTGTTTAAGAGTGTTAAGTTGCACTCCTTATTTTTAAATGATTATTGCTTTCTAGAGCTCCTCTTTTCTTAATCTAGGGCAATTCCCTGCTCCTTTGCTCCCGGATGGTGGGAGAGAAAGATTTGATATACTATCAGGTCGTATGTATTTGCCATCAGAAATTTAAGAATAATGACTGGGTTCAATGTAAATGAAAGCCCCTTAGACAAAAGACAATAGGGATGTCTGTTGAAATAAGTTACAGGGATTAAACAAGAGGCTGAACATCTGGAGGGTCGTTTGAGTGGGTGAGAAACAGACTAAGTGGTGACTGTTAGGAATGGCTTCTTCCTCCTTGCACCTCCTTCCTTCTCCCCTTTCTTCCTTCTCACTTTTTCTTTTCTCTCCTTCTGAATCATCTCCGTTAAGTATCTTGAGACCTTTATAGAAATGAAGCAGGTTAGGGGTGCCTGGGTGGCTCAGTCTGTTAAGCGGCTGCCTTTGGCTCAGGTCATGGTCCCCGGGTCCTGAGATTCAGCTCTGCTTTGGGCTCCTTGCTCAGCGGGGAGCCTGCTTCTCCCTCTGCCTGCCACTCCCCAGGCTTGTGCTCTCTCTCTCTTAAATAAATAAATAAAATCTTAAAAAAAGAAATGAAGCAGGTGGTAAATAAATAAAAAACTTCTTAGTTAACCTTAGTGGCAAGTCTTGAGAGATTCTAATTACCTCTTGGCAATATCTTTGAATTGCAACTGTATTTTCAAAAGGGATATGATTCCTGTGGTGAAGTATACTTTCTCCTTGCAACTTTTAGGACAACCCTTAGGTGATCATCAAGATCCTGCTTTAACTATTGGTTAAAATTGCATGATCGAATATAGTTATGATATTTTATTTCAGAGTCTAATCATCCTTCATTCAAATATTTTTATCACCCCTGTTTTTAAATGAGAGGTTATAAAGAAACATGTAAAAAATAGGTTCTCAGCCTTGATTCTCATTTTTAAGAAGTAGAGCCAAGTTTGGCACTCTATATTGAGAACGTAAATTCCTTGTCGTGTATCTGAAGTCATCAGATGAATACTGGAAATAGACCAATATTAGGTTTCCCCCTAATACTCTGATATTGAGTACCAACTCTGACCTGAGGTGCTTGTCAAGAAATGAAAGAGATGAAAGTGGACTTTGCAGGCCATACTATAATGGAACGGAGGTTTTCCATTATAATTTCTAACATAGATACTAGCTATTTTAAATATGATACCTATCATGATTTCTTGGTCATTGTCACCCAGTGACTGAATACATCCTTATCCTAGCACCACTGCCATTACCTTAGTCCAAACCATCATTATCTCTGACCTCATCTTCTTTAATAACTTCTTTGCTTCTCACTTGCCTCTCTACAATCCATTCATTCTCCACATATATCAGCTGGAGTAATTCCCTAAAAATGTGAAGATCATGCCTTCTTAAAAAACTTCAGCAGCTTCCCATCATAGTGCCATAAAATCCAACTCCTAGCCTGGCCTATGAGACCTGCATGATCTCCCCTTCTTCTTCTGATGTCCTTTCACGCTCTCTCCCTCAAGGACGGCTCTTTGGCCACACTGGCGTTCTTTCAGTTTCTAAAATGAGCCAAGCTCTTTCCAAATTTAGGAATTTACACGTGCTTTTCTGTCTTCTAGTATGTTCCCTGCATCCCATCCCCATCCTGTTCCCATGAGTAGCATCTTATTTTCCTACAAAGTTCCTTGGCTTAAATGTCACTTCTTCAGAGTGTACTTCTGAGAGCAACTTACTAAAAATGTTCCATCTCTATTAGAGATCACATTTGTTTTCTTTAGCACTTTTTTTTTAGAACTTGTAATTTGTAATTGTATGTTAATCTGTTGATACAGTAGTACTAATATTTTTTAAAGATTTATTTATTTATTTTTAGAGAGAGTGAGAATGAGCAAGCCGGGGGTGGAGAGGGAGGAGGAGCAGGGCAAAGGGGAAGAGAGTCTCCAGCAGACTCCACAAGGAGCACAGAGCCCAATACAGGGCTCCATGCAGGCCTCCATCCCATGACCCTGAGATCACCACCTAAGCCAAAACCAAGAGGCAGATGCTTAACGGACTGAGTCACCAAAGTGCCCCAGTAGTACCAATATTTTTAGATACGTCCCAACTTATGTTTCTTCATCAGTTTTTCTCTCCCTGCCGCCAATCTGACCTCTAGCTCCAGGAAGTGAAAAAAAAAAAAAAAAAAAGGAGCAGGTACTTGACCTTTTTAGTAAGTCATAGACTCAAAAGCCAGGTTTGGAGGAGGGAGAGGTTATCTAGAATCCTTTAGCTCCTTGTTGGTATGCTAAATGCCAGGTTTGAGTGACTAAAACCTATAATTCTGTGTAAGGATAATCTCATTAAAAAGAGGGAGCAGTAGAAACCCCATTCCTTCTAAGCCCTGTGGGAAGTGTCAGAAGAAGAGACCTTAACAGATAGAGGTAGGAGGGTGAAGATGTTGGATATCTAGGTTCTGAAAAACCTCCTGTAGGCTTCAGTTAGCCCAAGTGTGGGCAACTGCCCACCTCTCCCAATTTGGGAGGATGGCAAGTTGATCATTGAGCAGGGGACCCCTCCCCCATATTGATATGGAGACCCAGCATCAGGAATAAGGTAGAAGGGCATGTCCAGACAGAGAAGGTCAAGCTTGCACTTCCAAGCCTCCTTTGTTTCCCATGCAGTGTGAACATTTTGTTGAAAACTAGAGATTCAGCCAAGGAGCATCCTGTAGGGACACAATAGAAGCAGGAACGGATCCCCTGGGCCTTGTGAGCATATACAGGACATAATGCAGTCTCAGAGAAGGTTATGGCTAGAGAGAGGGAAGGGAGGAGCAGTTCAGTGGGAGCTGGGTGCAAAGAAAATGTAAGGAAACCATGGGCTGCCTGTCTTAGGAATGGACCAGATCAGTCACTCCTCACTGAATTCCTGATCATCCTACTCTGATACAAGCAAAGATCCGGAGGACACAAAGGGGTCAAAAAGGTTCTTCACTGTGCCATTATAAGTCACATAAGACTTTCACCCAACATGTACGCTGCCACCATCTTGTAGAACAGGACAGAGGGAGTAGGAATAGCATAAAAATAGAGATTGAGTTATTAAGTGGAAAAGACTGAGCATGACTTAAAAAGATCATTTAAAATTTTGAATCACACCAGGTTTTAAACTGCATTGTACTTAATGAAGTTCATTTTTTTCTCTTAGGTGGGGGCTCTAAGAAAGACCTAATTAGTAGCAGACAATGTAAAAGAGCTACATTTTTTCCTGTTCCTAGGAGTTGTAGTGAGATAGATTTTTGTCATCTTCTTACATTTACCATTTGTATCCCTATGAGGACAGGAGCCACACTACCACATCCCCAGCTCTTGATATACTGCTGATATAAAATAAGTGTCCAACAAATCTTTGCTGAATGAATGAACACAGTTAAGAGTGCTACACAGACATTTCTTAGACAGCTGTTAAGGAAAAAATAATGTTTAATAAACCAGCTATTACTGGAGCGCTTGGGTGGCTCAGTTGTTAAGCGTCTGCCTTTGGCTCAGGTCATGATCCCAGCGTCCTGGGATCAAGTCCCGCGTCGGGCTCCCTGCTCGGCGGGAAGCCTGCTTCTCCCTCTCCCACTCCCCCTGCTTGTGCTCCCTCTCTCGCTGTGTCTCTCTCTGTCAAAAAAATAAATGAAATCTTAAAAAGAAAAATAAACCAGCTATTACCGTCTGAGGAAACTGAGTCTCTTACTTAACCTGACAGTATAATGAAGAGTAAAAGCATTAGAATTGGATGTTTCTACCTCAGGTTCTGCCACTAAAGATCTATGTGGCTTGGAGTAATCTTAGATTTAATTTTAGATGTCAATATATGAATGTAAAATCTTCTTAGTCTTCAATAATTTTTATAGCTGTCAATTCCCTTATGCATTGAGTAATTGTTCTCCAGCCATCTATTTATCTGTTTATTTGGATTAATAACTATTAAAAATAATAGCTTTTCAAAAGAAATAGCTTTTCAAAAGAAAGGTATTATGTAACAAAGGTAGTAATACTGCAAGGCACTGTTAAATTAGAAACCAAAGATTTTGTTCTGGTTTATTTATATTAATTATGGAAAACGGGCAGTAAGTCAAATGTGTTGCCTTCCGAAATGACCTTACATAGACTATCAGTACTGGTTGCCTAATGATCTCCAATGACCGTTTACTTTCATGTCTTTACCCATGTATCCAGGTGGGATCTATTGACCCAGTGCTGGGCTCAAGAAGCTGACCAAAGACCTACTTTCCACAAAATTCAAGACCAGCTTCAGTTATTCAGAAATGTTTCCTTAAAGAGTATTTCTCAACGCAGAGAAGAAGCAGACCCCAGTGGAGTCATAAATGAAGGCTTTGAAGGTAAGTTTGATTCTTTTTCAGAATTTTCTGGTTTTCTTTCCAGTGTGAATTGAAGAGGTTAAAACGAGATATACATAGAAGACATTTATGGTGAGTAAGAAGAATAATATACTGGCACCATCGTCATAATAATGAAGTGCTCATTGTACTCCTCTTTGGAAATTATTTTTATTTGTGCACTAAATTAAAAAAAGAAGAATTGTGATATGGCCCCTGGATTTATCATCTAAGATAGTAAGGAGGTGAATTAACATGTTAGAAATCTGTTTTCCTTCCCCTCCACCCCTCATACGAGTTTCAACCTCAAGTGCAGAGCTGAGTTAATTATAGAGGGTTAGTTGGTGGTACATTATGATCATTGGTCTATGCAGGGCTTCTCCCTTGTTTGTTTAGTCCCTTTATCTCCATATTCTTCTCCTGTTCTACTTCCTCTCTCCTCTGGCCAGGCAACCATTCTAATGCCTTTAATGTGTATCTTTTTATTTGTATGTTTTGCTGCAAAATGTGTATTGTTTTGTATACACAGATGCTGCTGTATTTGTAAAGCTTCTTTTCTTTTTCATTGAGCACTGTTTCTAAGAGCCATCCGTGTTGCTATGTATATATCTAATCATTGCTTCTAACTGCTGAGTAATTTTGCAATGATTATTGGAGTGGCTCACGCCTTGTTAAGGTCTAGTCTGAGTCCACAACCTCAGTAATTTGGTAAATGAGGCAATAATCTTCTGGAACCATTCTACTGTGATGGACAAACTAACCGTTTTTAGTTCAATGAAAAGTCCCAAATGGAATTAAAACCCAGTAGTCACTTAATTCATTTCCCAAATCAGATTTATAATATGTTTGCCTCCTTGGCTGTAGAAAAATGAATTCTAAAATGAGCCACTATTAAAAGTTCCCAGGGCCCTTTGTGAATGCAGACATTTTTGCTTAGAAATAAAGCTGGCAAGACGGACCACGAGTCAGAATCTCTCAGGAATCAGGCCCCTCAGTCTTTGCAGTGACTGATGATAAGAGGCTGACGGCCGTCGTGGAGTCCAGAGTGAGACCTCTGCCTGGAGCGATGCTCTTGACTAATAGCAGGGAAGAATATGAGGCACAGGATGAACATCTGCTTGTCTTGCATGCTGTATCTCTGAATATGAATTGGGGGCAACTTAGACTCCATGACATGCATGGAAATAACACGGATCGCATGGTTTCCCTAAATGAACAGTCAGTGACAGACTGGAAAGGGCTGTGCTTGTCTTGAGCATGCCTCGTTACCCTCAGATAAGCCTTGGTAACAGCCCCACACTGGCTCCCCCTGCCTTCCGGTCACGGAACCCCGCTGATTCTGAGTGTCAGCGGCCAAGCCCTGAGGAGTGCCAACTGGGGCATTAGCCCCATCCTTGTGGAGGGTTCTGTGCATATAGGTACCTGCGTGAAGACCACACAGGATAAGGAAAAACAGACCGGAAGCCATTCTAGGTACTATCAAGTCCTTCTCATTTTCTAGGCATTTACTTAACGTATTTCTCTGAGTGGAATTTTGATAAAATTTTTTTAAAAATTATTTCAGCAGGTATTGACTTGTTGCAAGGCATAGTGTTAAGCATCTAAATTTAATGTGTTCCATTAGGCTGTTTTAAGAAAAAAAAAAAAGAGGCAAGAATATTTCTTTCCCTTGAGCAATTAGAGTCAGTTTCTTTAATTTTGTATTTAAGGTTTAATAGTGAGCGCTGCTTCTATTGGCTGTCCTTGTCCCAGGGCTGCATCTCTGTCCCTACTGTTCTGTTGAAGCCATTTGAATCTGCTCCTCTTGGCCTGGTTCTTAGTTGTGGTAACCTCACATACGGAAACTTGAGAGAAAGCGCAATCCGGGATCGTTTACCAATACGTAAAAGGAGATCTTTTGTTCCTAAGATAGGTAAATGGCAGTAACTGAGTAGAGCCCACTGTGTAGACATGTGAATCGCAAGCAGAGTGTGGCTTTGCTTGCCTGGCACTGAAAGAATGTTTTTCTTCCTAAATCACTGCTCTTATCTCTGCAAGCAGCACTTAACTGAGAAGACCCTGATTCAAATTTGTGACTATCCCTTTTGCAGACCTTATAAAATTAAGCACAATTCTTATCGTTTTAAAGCCTTAAGAATTTCTGTTATTTGACATCAATCATCAAAATGACTCCTGATTCCTTTCCAGTTTTCCTTAGAATTTTTCCAGTAATCAATCTCAGTAACTGCTCTCGCTGTGCTATCTCATAACTGCATCTACATTTTCAAGATCTTTGTTATGAAAGTAATTTATGTTTATGGTTAAAAAACATATAAAATTATAAAAACAGAATAAAAAGCAAAAGTCTCCTACTTGTCTCTGTCCTTACTCTCCAGTGCTCGCCATAGTTAGCAACTTGGTTATATGCTTTTAGATATTTTATATGCATATACAACCGATTATGGAAATATTTATGTATGTTTATATGTGGATTGGCTGGATTCAGAGATAAAATTGATGTAATCTAGAGGACTGAGTGGGATATAGGTTCTCTGGTCAGGGCTATATTATCTTTTTTCTAGTAAGTGAGCTGATATGTAAGGATTTGGGGAGCAGGAAGCATTTTCTCTTGCCACTGAGAGGGAGTTCGTGTTCTGTGGGAGTCCAGAGGAAGGACGCCAAGTCCATATCATGTGTCAGAGAGTCAATAAAAGCCAGTGGGAAGAGGTTACTTCCAAGCTGAGTTTTGCAGAGAGGTGAGAAAAACAGTATTTCAGGATAGAAGGCACAGTATGTAGAAAAGCAGGGAATAATAGAGAATGGGGTGTACACAGAACGGCATGTAGTTTATCACATATGAGGCTGGGAGATGGCAAGGGAGGAAATTGGAGGGAGAGTAGTCATACATAAAAAAATCAGGTAAAAAAATGAAAATGAATGGAAGCTGAATTAATGAATGGTAATAGATACAGAGAGGAGGAAACGAAGTCCAGAGGTAGATGTTGTAGGACTTGACATCTAACTGAGTGACAGAGAGAGGAGACAATGGTGAATCCCAGTGATTTGTGAAAGTAGGTGAAAAGTGGTGCTCTTCCCAGAGACGGGGGGCATAGGAAGAAGAATAGCTTCGCACAGATTTGGTTTCAGCTGGCTGTGGGCTAAGTGGAGAAACCTCATATTCAGTTGAAAGATCTGTCCTATAAATATAGGTAGTTGAAGTCAAACCCGTATGTGAGGTTACCACAAATAAGAATTGAGGTCATTCAATTAGAGTGTATAGAACAAGGAGAGGAGTGAATGATGGATGGGACCTAGAGAACAGTCAAGATATTAGAGACTGGCAAAGAAAGATGGTGGCACAGAGACAAGAAGCCAGAAAGGGACAGGAAGGTCATGAGAGAGTATTGTCAGATCGAAAAGAGAGAGGCTCATGAAGGGGGGAGTGGTCAAATGCTGCAGAGATAGAGAGTTCCAGGGGGATGCAAAGATCTTACAGTTGACATGTATTATATTTTAAAATCTAACTCTTTGCTTATGGAGTCCTTTCCTTCTAATGTGTGCAGACATTTTATAAACATCACAGAGGCTGCCATAGGGGCTTAAGAGGGCCTGAGAGCTGAGCGTTACCTTAGCCTCTACCAGAAGTCTCTGTGAACCCTTAAGACAATCTTTTTACTATGTTGCATTACCTAGTTCATCTGTGAGGCTGAGATAAGTAACAAACAATGCTCACATTAAATACAGAGAACAAAAACCTTATTGTGAATGGCTTTTATTTATTTTTCTCATCTTTTTTAAAAATTTAAATTCAATTAGCCAACAAATAGTACATCATTAGTTTCAGATGCCCAGGGCTCATCACATCACGTGCCCTCCTTAATGCTGATCACCCAATTACCCCATCCCCCCACCCAACTCCCCTCCAGCAACCCTCAGTTTGTTTCCCATAGTTAAGGGTCTCTCATGGTTTGTCTCCTTCTCTGATGGCTTCCCATTCAGTTTTCCCTCCCTTCCCCTATGATCTTCTGCACTGTTTCTTATAGTCCACATATGAGTGAAACCATACTGATAATTCTTTCTCTGATTGACTTACTTCACTCAGCATAATACCCTCTAGTTCAGCTAATCTTATTGTAGCCCTTTTTAATGTGCCCTTCACTGTGTTATGTGGGTTAACTCATTAAATACTCACAATAGTCTTATGGCATGGGTATTATAGCACCATTTTACAGATGAGAAGACTGAGATTTAGCAATTTGCCCGTGGCCATACTGCTGAGGTGGGGCTGGAGTATGGCTTCTGCTTTCAGCCTTCACAGAAACATGGCTGTCATAAGGAAAATACCCACACACCTTCCCCAATTTGTTATCAATAGTGTCCTGTGCAGCTAGGGATAGTGAAAGAACTTATTACTTCTGGCTTGCTAGAAAAGATACCCCAATTTGTCCTGGTCATTTAGGTGCCAAGTTGTTGGCAGACTGAATTAAAATTCTAAGTAATATTCAAACAACAGTGAAGCAGACAAACATGCAGAATAACGATGCAGGAAGAGTTTAACGAGGAATATAATCAAACTTCGATAATTTAGATAGAAACAAGCAATTCTGTGCCATGACAGAAATTCAATTTTAGTAAAAGAGAAATTCTCATTCTGTTATTTACAATGAATGTAAATCCTGAAGGTAAGGAATGGAAAGAGATATGGGAGTCACTAAAAATTTTGATTATTGAGATGTGACTGAATAAAAGCGACAGAGAGAAGAAATGGACTGACAGGCAGAGTTTGCATATTTGCAAAGGATAGAAATCATAAAACAGTCCCTTCAAGGGAAGCCTAAGCTTAATTACCTTTTTAATAAGAGAGAATGTGTTTAATAATAGTTTACTGCTCTGCAGACTGGTGGGCATATTTAGCAAAGCAGTTAAGATGTCTGTCTTGACTGTTATTATTGGAGATACATAAGAGGGGTAAGAAAACCATTGGAAGGACTTTTTTTGAAAGAAAAAAAAAGCTGGGAGGTGGTGGGCATTAGGATTACAGGGAGCAACAATACCATGCCTATCCTATGGTCCTACTGACCTAATGGGGTAGAGAGGGGATAGAGAGAGATTAGTAACATATCTGGGCATCTAGTAAAAATATCCCAGTGACTTCATCCAAACATTTTTGTAAACATCACCTCATCAGTCCCAGAGAGTTCTACAGGAAACAAATCTAAATGCTCCTCTGCTGTTCTAAACATAGCCAGTCAGCCAGCATATGTCTCGTCTGTAAATACCCTGTCTTGCTTGGAAGTCTTTATTTTAATATTTCCCTCTTAAAGAAAGGGTTGCTGAGCACATGCTATCTCTGTTCAGGATCTCTGCCTTAAGATCTGACCTGCAGGCTTTCTATTCAGTTTTAAACAAAAACAAACAAACAAAACACCCTCCTCCCCACCATCTCTCATAAGTTCTTTATGCAATAAGAAGATGTACTAATTGCTGAAAGCTTGCCAGGGTCAAGTTACTAAATATTGGTCTAAGTACTCTAAACCAATGAAGAAGTTAGCTAATGATTTTTCTTTGATGTTCGGTGCCAGAATTTGTAAAAAGAACTTATCTGCCTTATATAAAAGTTTGTTTTTTTTTTTTCAAGTAACTCAACAAGGGGAAAAAAAAATTGAAATCACGTATGGGTAGAACATTTCCAAATAGGCTATTTAATGGATTAAAGGTATGAAAATGAAGCTGCTGATAATATGAGTAGCTAGACCTTTACTATAGATTTAAGTTTTGAAATTTTCTCAACTTTCCTTTAGCCTGATTTCTTTAAACCTTTTCAGGAACATCCTAATGTCCTCAATAATCTGGGCCCCTGGACTATTTAAAGTTAAATATCTTATTTCTTCCTATCACTTTTTGATATTTTTGGTTGCTATCATCATATATAGAAAACTGTTCTTATGAGTGTCTCAATGGCTCTTAGTGCATGTTGACCATAATCCTAACAGCAGGATGCTTCCAAAGATTAAAGCACTTAGGCATTAACCAAGCTTGGCATCTGATTTCTATGGGGTTGATATTTTATAACACGGCGTGACAATCTGTGTGGTTTGCAGTGGGCTATCATGATGTTTGAACGATGAAGAGGAACATGAAATGATGGCCAGGAGTCTGTGAGCCTGTCACTCCACCATCTTGTCCTTCGCCAGTGTGGGAAGGTGGGCAAACAAATGCGCACATCCTAAGACAGAGCAGGGCCAGTGGTTCACATGCTCTTACAATAAAATAAGATTCGTAGTTCAGGCAGAACCATTACATTCCATTGGCAAAAAGTAGCTACAGTAGTGCCTCCCTCAGTCCTTTGAAGTTGTTTCTTTCCCCCATATTTCCATTTAAATTCACTCCAAAGAAACCCAACCTGGGTGTACATCAGGGCTAAGGGCAGAAGGTTGGCAGCGCAGCTGACCTCACCCTCCTTAGTGACACCCATCTGGAAGCTTCTTGCTGGAAGAATAATGGAGACAAAGGAAGGACCACCCTCTGTTGACCAAAATGTTTCTGATTTGTAAAATATCATCCATTTTGAAAGAACAGGAATATTTCTAATCATAAATTTTTCATCCAGGTAATAACACTCAGCAATTGGAAAGCATTGATCACCAACAAACAATCCCCATAATACACATTTATATATTTATGTTTATATTGTGTACTTGTCCCTTTTGATTACCTAGATTTTGTGAAATGTTTCAGAAGCTCTGCTATTAGGTTTCCGCAAGAATTCTTCTACTTTTCTATGGAAAAAAGGTCAGTCTTTAAGTAGAGAAAGACAAAATAATAATAAGCGTAATTGTGAAGAAGGCAAATTACCCTCTAGCTGCCCATTTTTCTGCCCAGCCACCCTGACCCCACACATGAGCATCCAGAGTCTGTGCCTTTCAAGGACTCCTATGGGGCACACTGCCCACCCACTTGGCTCCTCCTCACAGAGCACGGCAGCTCTGCCCTTCCATCGGGGAGGGTGAATATGGGGACACTGTCTGGGTTCAAATTACAGCTGTGTGACCTTGGGCAAATTATTTAACCCCTCTGTGCCTCAGTTTCCCCAAATGTTAAATGGGGATGATACCAACATCTACTTAATAGAAGAGTGAGTTAATATACATATATAGTTTAGAACAGTGCCTGGCACATAGTAGGTTCTCCGTGTGAACAACAACAATAGTGATCAGTGTTATTATATTTCATGTCAGTTTCCTTCTCCCTCAACTCAAACTTGCCAGGCCTCTCCATTTCCTATCAGCCTTATGAGGTCATAAGCATGCTAGTTTATTTGCTAAGTAGTACTAATGCAACATGTCCCAGGGAGATAGACAGCTGAAGGGGACCATTCACACCAATTCATACTCAGTGTGCTCTTGCCTCGGGGTCCTTGTTCTCGCTGTTCTCTTTTCCTTGAACATTCTTCCTCAGATACCCAAGTGCTGAATTCTCTCACTTAGTTCAGGTCCCTACTTGCAATGTACCTCGTTAGAGAGGACTTTGCTGACGTTTCATCTAAAGTAGCTACCCCCTTTCATGCCCACCGTTATTTTCTTGCCCCCTTTTGCTGCCACTCGTCACCACCCGACACAGACTTAGTTGGCTGCTAGTTTATTGTCTGTCTCCCCGCCATTAGAATGTAAATCCCGAAGAGGAACAACTTTGCTTTGTTCATTGTTGTCTCATCAATACTTAGAACACAGCCTGGCGTGTGTTAAGCATCCAATAAATATCTTAATATATGATTAAATTACTCAATCAAAAAGAATGTATCTTTCAAGGTGGATATTTGAGCTGGTGGACTAAAAGGTAAGCACTTTAGACAAAAAGGGCCATTGTAAGGCCACTTAATTCCTATCCCCAAGGCTGTGACCTGTTCACTTATGGCAGAGTTATCCTCTCTGCTCTCTCCCCACATTTTACATATTCCTTTATTATATACAGCACACATTGTCTTCTATAGTAATGTTTCTGCTCCCCTATGATGAGCCTCAAAGACAAGGAGCCTCAAGACAAGGAGCGTATCTTGTTTCTTTGTATTCCCTGGTGGTCCTCATAAATGTTTGCCGAACCAATGTTTATGGTTGGTATTGTTATAATTCTTGTACAGTCTGTATATTAGAGATACAGAAGGTCAAATAGATACTAGTATAATCTTTACATTTTTTTTGTCACAGATGAAGATGGCAGTGTGATCTGTTTGAATTCAGGTGACGTTATGTCAATAGCCTTAATGGAAACCAAGAACCAAGAAGGCTTAAACTATATGGTACTTGCCACAGGATGTAGCCAAGGTGAAGAAAATTCCAAGGGTCCTCTAGGCTCCAAGGAATCTGAATCTTGTGGTCTGAGGAAAGAAGAGAAGGAACCACATGTGGACAAAGATCTCTGCCAAGAAAAACAAGTGGCTTACTGTCCTCCTGGCAAGCCTGAAGGCCTGAACTATGCCCGTCTCACTCATAGTGGATGTAGAGATGGGTCTGATTAGTAGCTCTGTTTGGGAAATGCGGAGTTGAGATAAACACTCCCATTAAGTAGTTACTGAAAGAAAACCCTAGTAGAATGATAGATGTGGTGGTAGTCTATGACTCCAAATTAACACTGAAAAGTTCCTGACTTCCTGAATTCTTGGTTCCAAGAGCCATTTGATTTCAGTTGTGACAATCCCCATAACAACTGCCTAACCTTCAGCAGAATTCCCAAGTGAACCACTAAACATTAGGAAAGCTTAGGAAGACTCAAGAATCTGGAAGGGAAACTGCCCTCCCCTCCCTTGAGGCCCCTTAGTCCATTGCCCACCCTTCAGTCTGGGCTGGACCAGAAGCATCTTGGTTAGATGGTGAGAGACAAAAGAGCTATGTTCAGGGACCTGAAGGAGGGGGATGAAGAGCATGCTCAGGGGGTCGACTGAGCTACAGATATATATATTTATATCTGGAAATGACTAAGTAACTCCACACATACAGAAGGAACCAGCACTTGGGACATGAGAGATCATTTGGAATGCTATTACTACAATAAAATATTGTCTTTAATGACTACTCTAAAGTACTTTGTATTTTGAGCCTTGGAAGAGCAGCTTCAGAGAGCTCTAAGTCCTAAAGTTTAACATTCCATGAACTTTGGGTTATAGAAAAATCGCTCTGTGACTTGTGTGCTGCTATGGAATTTAGCTAATATAAAGATCGTTTTCATTTGCTGTATCTATCTTATACATAAAATACTTAAGATTACACTTAGTATCAACTCTCCTTAAAACTAAATATAAATGATTGTATGATGTTAATTTAAGCTCTGTGATTTTTTAGCAACTACATGAAATAATAGATATCTAAATGAGAACTATTAAAAACATTTCTTCAGAGAAATGCTCTGATTTAAAGCCAATCGTGTTTTTGCAGTCACCCATTTAAATCTGAGTGCCTCAATTCCTCCAAGGGCAACGCTAATGAAAGCATTCTGTGTGTTATCAGTTGCAGTATACAGGATGTTTGCTAGATACAGAAAATACTTTGATTATAAAATTTGCTAAAAACTACTCCTGGAAGAGGATCACATATCCATTTGCACCAGGGATAATTTGGTTCTTTTTTTAACTTGCTTACTGCCTGAGAGGCTGCACCGATGGTCGGCTGCATGATGAGGGACACAGGCAAGTCGGTGTGTGAGTTCTGTGTGGGACGGCCCCCAAGGAAATGTCCAGGACCTGTGGCCTCTGCTATAACTGTGATTCCATGGAACAAAGCGGGATATTTTCTCTCTAATCTTCTGATGTTCTAATGGACATTTATCATTCTTCTCAATAGCCCAGCATATGACGCCCCTTGCCATGCTGGGGAATTCCTCCACCTGTATCTTCTGGGTGGGAGCTACATTCGATTTGCTTCCCCCAAGATCTCTTGTAGTAAGAAGGCAGGCATGTGACCCCCACCACTCAGACACACCTACCGCATGCTTCTAATTGAGAGGTAAGGAAGCAAAGAAACAGGGCCCACAGTTAGTCTTCCCAGGTGGTGGCGGCGACTGTCACTGGTCTGACTCCTGGCATCCTGTGTCCAGGGCCAAGACAGTCTGCAGAGCAGATCTGGAGCCTGGTGCCTCTCGCAGTCCGGGTAGCCAGATCAGACTGGTTCTGCTGTCTGCTTTTAGCCAGTGCTCCGGCTCCAGTCTGGCTCTCAAGCCCTCCCAGGGATTTTGTGAGTTACCCTCCTATCCTTTTAATAAATGTTTTTCTTTTAAATCAGCTGGAGTCAGTTTCTGTTGCTTGCAACCAGGACTTTCACTCTGCCAGTGGCATGGACCTTTATTTTGGAATAGACAAAAAGAGATGAAAAGTATGTAGAAGAACTGGGTTTTCAGCACATTTGCATTACAATTTGGACAATAGAGAAACTTACAGAATAGCTGAGGCGAAGAGCCCATAAAATATCATGTTTCAGGGGCACCTGGGTGGCTCAGTTGGTTAAAGCAGCTGCCTTCGGCTCAGGTCATGATCCCAGGGTCCTGGGATTGAGCCCCGTGTCGGGCTCCCGGCTCAGCAGGGAGCCTGCTTCTCCCTCTCCCTCTGCTTGTGCTCTCTCTCTCTGTCTGTCTCTCTGTCAAATAAATAAATAAAATATCATGTTTCCGCGAGGCTATAAATGTAAATTAGTAGTCTTTTTAATAATTCATAATGAATAATATTGATAGAAATATTTAATACAAAATAAAATAGTGGCTGAAATCTCATGGGTAAAATTTATTATAAAGTGATAAAATACAAATGACTGGTAATATTGAAAACTATATAAGTTAATTCTGGAAAAATTAGATCTTATAATCAAGAGGGAAAAATTGGCAATGGCTAAAAATACTACTTGTTAAAATATTTTTTACTAAAGGGGCACCTGGGTGGCTCAGTTGGTTAAGCGTCTGCCTTCGGCTCAGGTCATGATCCCAGGGTCCTGGGAACCTGCTCTGGGCTCTGTGCTCAGTGGGGAGCCTACTTCTGCCTCTCCCTCTGCTGCTCCCTCTGCTGCTCCCCCTACTTGTGCTCTCTCACTCTCTAAATCAATCAATAAATAAACTCTTAAAAAATATTTTAAAAATCCACTAAAAATTGATGGAAGAATATAATATTCGTGATAAACTTTTTATCTGCAAAATTTGACTTGGAAAAAAAAATGGCTCCCAAAGGCAAAAGTTAAAATTGGTAAGACTAAAACACAATAATACAAAAGCCAATCAATAAATCTAACTTTCATTTTACTTTATTTTTTTCTCATTGAAGCATAGTTGGCATAAAATATCCTGTTCGATTCAGGCATATATCATGGTAATTTGATATTTTTATACATTACAAAATGATTCCCACAATAGGTCTAGTTACCATCTGTTGCCATACAAAGTTATTACAGTATTATTGACTATATTCCTTATGCTTATATTCCCTAGGTACATTACATCCCATGACTTATTTATTTTATAACTAGCAATTTGTACCTCTTAATCTCCTTCACCTATTTCACCTTCACCCTCCCCCTCTGGTAACTAACAGTTTGTTTCCTGTACCTATGAGTCTGTTTGTTTTGTTTTATTCGTTCATTTGTTTTATTTTTTTAGATTCCACGTGTAAGTGAAATTATATGGTATTTGTCTTTCTCTGTCTGACTTATTTCACTTAGCAAAATACACTTTAGGTGCATCCATCTAAATTTCATTTTAAATTGTTCAAGGAAAAGAAATAATTCATGAGGAAAAGTAAGTTGCAAATGAAAAATATTGTTTACAAACAACAACAACAACACAACAGACTATAAATATAGAGAACAAACTAGTGGTTGCCAGAGGGGTAGGGTGGGAGAGGGGTAGGGTGGGAGAGGGATAGGTGAAATAGGTGAAGGGTAATGATTAAGAGGTACAAAAAAGAAAAGAAATATTGTTTATAATTTAACATTGCCAACCAAACAAAGATTTACCTAGATAAAATCAATATGTTGATGTAATTCTGATGAAAATGTTTTACTTAAAATGCCCTTGAGAAAAGAGCCTGTCCCTGGGCCCAGATACGTTCTGTTGCTCACCCATCCTGGTTTTGCCTGGCCTTGTGGGACTCCTTATCTATTCCCTGCTTGTCTGAATTGCACTCATCCTTTAGGATCAGCTCATATTCCCACTGTTTGGAAAGGCTTGTCCTTAACTGCCTCTCCTCTCCCTTCTCGAAATTACTGTTGCCCTTCTTGTCCTTGCATCTTATTTAGCAGTAGCCACATATATCTCCATCCAATTTCTATGTATCTTACCCACTTGAATAAATAGCAAGCTCTCTGAAGACAAGGTGACATATTTTAACCCTTTGTATCTTCTCTCAGCCAAAATAATGTTTAATGGATTAATTGGCTGATTTTCTCATCATCTTTTTACAACACATTTCACAACAAGTCTTCACTTGTAGCTCTTAGAATGGATGTCAGAAAATTGGTCTAATGCCAAGGGGAGCTCAAGAGGATTCTTTTGATCCTGAGTCATCTCCTAAGACCTAGATAGATTATAGAAGTTAGGAGACTGCTTTGAGGTTCAGGCCAGACTTAGGATAGGCCTGAAATTCTGGAAGCCCTTGAAATGATGGAGAACATATGTAGAGGAGGCAATAATTTATTTTACCATTATCAGTTTCTTCCCTGTCTCAAACCCACCTTTTATCCTCAGAATGGCCTTTGAGAATGTTTCTAATGGCTACATAAAATCTCTTAGGATGGATATGCTGTGGTTTACTGCTCCTTTGTAGATCTACCTATTCATTCATTCACTCATTCAATAAATATTTTTTGAGTGCTTGCCATATAGCAAGCATTGTTATAGGCACTAGGAATGGAGTAATAAAGCAAAGTCTCTGCCTCGGTGGAGGTTACATTCTAGCATTCCAGGTGGGAGAAAAGACATAATAAATAAGCAAAAATATATATGATAATACACTAAAAGTATCTTACACCATGATCAAATGGAACTTATTCCAGAGATACAAGGATGTTTCAATATCTACAAATCAGTCAATGTGATACACAACTTTAACAAAATGGAGGATAAAAATCACATAAGCATCTCAATAGACACAGGAAAATTATTTGACAAAATTTGACATCCATTAATGATAAAAACTCACAACAAAGTGAGTATAGAGGGAATGTACCTCAACATAATAAAGGTCATTTATAACCAGCCCACAGTTAACATCATACTTAATGGTGAAAAGCCAAAAGCTTTTCCTCTAAGACCAGGAACAAGACAAGGATGTCCATTCTCAGCACTTCTGTTCAGCATAGTATTGGATGTCTTAGCCAGAGCAATTAGGCAAGAAAAAGAAATAAAAGACACCTAACCTGGAAAGGAATGAGTAAAACTGTCACTGTTTGCAGATGACATGATATTATATATAGAAAACACTAACCACTCCATCAAAATAATATTAGAACTAATAAATTCAGCAATGTTGCAGGATACAAAATCAATACACAAAAATCTGTTGTGTTTTTTTTACATTAATAGCAAACTATTAGAAAGAGAAATTAAGTAAATCCCATTTATAATTGCATCAAGAAGAGTGAGATAACTAGGTGTAAATTCAGCCAAAGAGGTGAAAGATCTATATATTTAAAGCTACAAGGCATTAATGAAACAAATTGAAGAAGACATAAACAAATGGAAAGATATTCTGTACTTATGGATTGGAAGAATTAATATTGTTAAAATATCCATACTACCCAAAGCAATATATAGATTCAATGCAATCCCTATCAAAATTTTAATGGTATTTTTCACAGAAATGGAACAAACAATTCTAAAATTTGCATGAAACCACAAAACCCCAAATAACCAAAGGAATCTTGAAAAAGAACAAAGCTGGAGGCATCACGCTTCTTGATTTCAAGCTATACTACAAAGCTACAGTAATTAAAACAGTAGTGTTGGCATAAAAACAGACATTTAGATCAACAGAACAGACAGCCACACATATATGGTTGATTAACGGATGACTAAGAACCCAAGAAGATACAATGGAGAAAGGACAGTCCCTGCAATAACTGGTGTTGGGAAATTGGACAGCCACATGTAAAAGAATGGAACTGGATAACTATCTTACACCATACACAAAAATGAGCTCAAGATGGAGTAGAGACTTGAATATAAGACCTGAAACCATAAAACTCTTAGAAGAAAACATAGGCAGTAAGCTCCTTGACGTAAGTCTTGTTGATGATTTTTTTTAAATATGACACAAGCAAAAGCAACAAAAGCAAAAATAAACAAATGGAAATACATGAAACTATAAAACTTCTGCACAACAAAAGAAACCATCAACAAAATGAAAAGACAACCTACTGAATGGGAGAAAATAATTGCAAATCATTTATTTGGTAAGGGGCTAATACCTAAAATATACAAAGAACTCATACAACTCAATAACTAAAAACAATCTGATTTAAAAAAGGGCAGAAGAGGGACGCTTAGGTGGCTCAGTCAGTTAAGCATCCAGCTCTTGATGTCGGCTCAGGTCATGATCTCAGGGTTGTGAGATCAAGCCCTGCCTCAGGCTCTGCTCAGCCGGGAGTCTGCTTGGGGATTCTCTCTCCCTCCCCCTGCTCATTCTCTCTCTCTCTCTCTCTCTTAAATAAATAAATAAATCTTTAAAAATAGGGCAGAAGAATTTGCAACGACATGGTTGGAGCTAGAGGGTATAATGCTAAGCAAAATAAGTCAGAGAAAGACAAATACCATATGTTTTCACTCATACGTGGAATTTAAGAAACAAAACAAGTGAGCAAAGGGGAAAAAAAGAGAGAGAGAGAGAAAAACCAAGAAACAGACTCATAATTATAGAGAACAAACTAACTGATGGTTACCAGAAGGGAGGAGGGTGTAGGGGGATGGGTGAAATAGGTGATGGGGATTAAGGAGTGCATTTTTTGTGATGAGAACCTGGTGATGTATGGAATTGTTGAATTACTAGATTGTACACTTGAAACTAATGTAACACTGTATGTTAACTAACTGGAATTAAAATAAAAACTTTTTAAAAATCAGCAGAAGATCTGAATAGACAGTTTTCCAAAGAAGACATATACAGGTGGCCAATAGGTACATGAAAAGATGGGGAATCATTACTCATCAGGGTAATGAAACTCAAAACCACAATGAGGTATCATTACACTGGTTAGAATGGCCATTATCAAAAGACAAGAACTAACAAGTGTTGGCAAAGATGTGGAAAAAAGGGCACCCTTGTGCACTGTTGATGGGAATGTGAATTATTACAACCCCTATGCAAAAAGGCATGGAGGTTCCTTAAAAAATTAAAAATAGAAATACCATATGATCCAGCAATTTCTCTTGTGGGTATTTATCAGAAGAAAACAAAAACACTAATTAGAAAAGATGTATGCACCCCCTTGTTCAAAGCAGCATTATTTACAGTAGCCAAGATATAGAAAGAACCTAAATGTTCATTAATGGATGAATGGATAAAAAAATTTGTGGTGTATATATACAATGGGCTATTATTTAGCCATAAAAAGAATGAAATTTTGCCATTTATGACAACATGGATTGACCTCAAGGG